GCCGTTCAAGCTCTTGTAGCCTGTGCGAATATCCCTTCTATCGGTTCTCTCGAGGTCCCCAATGTGGATGTGTTTGACATGTCTGCGGGACATAAATTCAATGATTCGTACATTAGAAGTATCGCGTTAGAACATGCGGTACCTTTTAGCTACAGCAAAGAAGCGTCTTTGACGGCCCTTCGTCATGAGAGCACCATGGAACGAGATCAACGGCGCTCGAGAGTCTTTGAGAGCAACCAGTATAAAGCAGCTGTGCAATTTGCCTCTGAATTACGAGAGCAATGGGTTTGCAACATTCCAGAGACGCCAGACGATGCTGACGTATACAATTATATATATACTATGAGTGCTAGAAACAGTATCCTACCGACCTGGCGAAAATGGTATGACAACCATCAACTCTTCGAGTACCTGCATTCATTGGGCGACCGTCTTCGTTTACTCAAAGTAAAACATATAACGATGCCGAATCCCACCGGGCCCCTGTCAGCACTTGCACCGGTGTCTCGTAGGGGCTTTGTCAACCAGGCAGATCTGTTTGATCATGAAACTCCGTCATTAGATGTTTCATCAGACCCTATGTTGGAACTATTTGACGCAGACATTGCGCATCGGCAACCTCATGAGAAGCTGGGACAACTTCTTGAATTTCTGAGACAACACGCATCCCGGGATTCCGAGCACAAATACATTCAAGATCTCGATGACAGCCAGAAATCCCATAAGCGCACTGTTACCTCGTATCGAATAAGAGAGGACAGTGAGACACTCTTTCACACTCTCAAAGAATACTTGTCACAATGTGAATCCAATAGCGACAGGATATACCAGTTACTAAAAGAAGCTACTGGCACGAATTGCGAGGCAAACATCAATGGCGCCCAGACTTGCACGACATCAGCATCGTTGGTTACCACACAGTTTATGGCACCAAGAGTCTCTCCGACTTTTTTCCTGGGCCAGCTTGCCAGAGAAAACTGGAAAGCTCTTCCGCGACGATGGAGAAGAGCAATCGTCACCTATGCGCGATCATTGACAATGGTTCAGAGAGCTGAGAGAATGCTCAATCAGCAGAACAACCACGCAGAGCTAATCAAGGAACTACAAAATATTGGCCATACGAATTGGGATCCGATGGAATACCCTGAATCATTACTTTTGGAAGTTGAAAGCGGAATAATGATCCGCGAGGTGCAGGAGAATATTGCGTCGCAAATGCGAAGCCCGCCTCAGGACCAAAACGCAACTATGCAGCTAAATATGGGTGAAGGTAAATCAACGGTGATTTTACCGACTGTTGCCTCATATTTAGCGGACGGTTCACGGCTTGTTTGCGTAATCGGCACCAAACCCCAGGCCAAGGAATTATTTCGAATGTTGACGTCCAAGCTTGGAGGATTGATGAACCATCAGGTCTATCGAATGCCCTTCTCGAGGTCGCTCAAGTTGACGGTATCTGATGCTCATACAATCTTTAACTTCTTGAAGAAATGTTCCGAGACTGGCGGTGTTCTTTTGATGCAGCCTGAGCATCTGCTGTCTTTCAAACTCATGGGCATCGAGAATTGCCTCAGCTCTCAAGAAGAAGTCGGCCAAATTTTGCTAAATGTTCAACACTACTTTAATACTCATTCGAGATTTATTGTCGATGAGAGCGATGACATATTCAGCGTCAAATTTGAGCTAATTTATACGATGGGATCACAAGTCGCCATTGATCTTAGCCCGACTCGTTGGATCATCGTACAACGTGTGCTTGGCATGGTGATGGGAGCTGTGCACTTAATACGGGACAAATTACCTCAGTCTATCGAGATTTCTGATGCGAAAAGAGGGCAATTTCCACGCATCCGTATCTTGCGCCAAGATGCAGATGATATGCTGTTAAGCTTGCTTGCTGAAGAGATCTGCAGTACAGGGGTTAATGGATTACCTATAATGAGACAACAGCCCGCTATTAGGGAGTGCATTCGAGAGTACATTCTCAATAGCAGTCTGGATATGAACCAGATCAATTCTGTCGAAGTCAAGTCGAGATTCTTCACAGAATCCATGAAAGGGCCTTTACTTCTTATCAGAGGATTGATCGCCGAGGGAGTTTTGAGTTTTGCATTCAGACAGAAGCGCTGGAGGGTAAATTATGGTCTGGACCTCAGTCGCACGCCAAAGACTCGACTTGCTGTACCCTATCGAGCCAAGGATAGTCCCACGACCAGATCCGAGTTCAGTCACCCCGATGTTGTTATTGTACTGACTTCACTTACCTACTACTATGGCGGTCTCTCTGATGATGATCTTTTCGCTAGCTTCGATCATTTATTACGTGCAGATCAAGCTGAAGTGCAATACCAAGACTGGGTTCTGGATGCCCCCGATCTACCAGACGCCTTCAAGAGTCTGGCTGGAGTAACAATGAAGGATCGCCACCAAGCAATTCACGAGATATTTCCCCATTTTCGCTTTGCGAAGAATGCCATCGACTATTTTTTATCACATATCGTTTTCACCAAAGAAATGAAAGAGTTTCCCGAAAAGCTGTCGGCTTCGGGCTGGGACATTGGTCAGATTAAAACACTTCCCACCACTGGTTTCAGCGGAACCTGCGATTCGCGTAATCTCATGCCTCTTGACATGAAGCATCTGGATCTTCCGGAGCAGCGCCATACAAACGCATTAGTCCTTTCTAATATCCTCCAACCGAAAAACTCGGTGGCTCATATACGAAAGGTTGACGGTACGCAGAATTCAGACGCTGAAGCCCTGTTGGATTTGGTAATCTCAATGGAACCGTCTGTTCAAGTTATTCTTGACGTTGGCGCTCAAATCCTTGAACTTACCAATCTCCAATTAGCTATTTCCTGGCTCAAGAAGGTTCCAGAAAGTCAAGGGAAGAAGGCAGTGGTCTATTTTGATGACCATGACGAGCTATGTGTCGTTGATTGGCAAGGGCGCGTCGAAAGTCTTCAAACATCACCATATGGCCAACAATTAGATCTTTGTCTAGTATATTTGGACGAAGCGCATACAAGAGGCACTGATCTTAAACTGCCGCTCCATTATAGAGCAGCGGTTACTCTGGGCCCTGGATTGACCAAAGACCGACTCGTGCAAGGTAAATACTAATCGCCGATCAATCTTGACTCTATATGCTAATGTATCTAATAGCTTGCATGAGAATGCGAAAACTTGGGCAAGGCCAATCCGTTGTTTTCTGCATATCAGAGGAAATCCAATCGAGAATTCTGAAGCTGAGAGAGGATGATAATAATCTCCCAATCCAAGTGCTTGACGTTTTGGCCTGGGCAATTCACGAAACATTCGTGGATCTTCATCGATGCATTCCGATGTGGGCGGTACAAGGCCACCGATTTGAGAAACAGCGTGTCATTTGGGAATCGGCCACAACAAGCGACGGGATCCAATTATCTTTAGAACAGGCTAAAGAGTTTCTGGAAACAGAGATGCAGTCATTGGATGATCGATACAGGCCGCGCAGCACTGAAGAACAACCGGCAAAACACTCGAGCTTTGACGAAACCCCACGTTTAGAACTTATTTGGAAGCGGTGTGTTGAATTTGGAAACACTCAGCTCCGTTCATCCGTGCTATGGGAAGAGCAAGAGCGAGAACTATCACCCGAAATTGTCCAAGAGAGGCAGATTGAGAGGCCACGACCGATTGAGCCCGAAAAACACACGATTCATCCAAGACTTGTCGAGTTTGTGACTTCTGGACTATTTGATCAATCAGAGGCATTTTTTCCGGCATTCCATGCCCTCAGGAAAACACGCGCTGCTCAGCTATTGGACATCGGCTGCTTTCCAGATGATGTTTACGTCACCCAAGACTTCATGTCAACGGTGATATTAACAAGAGACGTCGACAATGACGACTTTTATCAGCGCTCGGTGCAGTGGATATTGAGTCAAGCAGAGCCAGACGGCACTGTGCAACGTCTGGTGATTATTAGCCCGCACGAAGCACAGGAACTTAAGCCACAGATAACCAGGTCGAGGCATGTACATATGCATCTCTACACACCACTACCGAGCTTGGCGTATACTTCACTGGAGAGCCTCAAGCTTTACTCAATACCCGTTCTTCCAGAGAATTGGTGTCTTCCTTCTCGGTTACGGAATGTGCTCAATCTCTTCAGTGGTCAATTATACATCACTTCGCAAAATGATTACCATGAAGTGTGTAAGCTGCTTAACTTGTCCTATGGTCCTACTGAAGATGGCGTTACGGTCGAACCAGACGGATTCATCGTTTCGCAGTCTGGCGATGCGCTTACCAAATTCGAAAAGAGCCCGATAGTGTTTCTGAAAGCTTTACTAGCGATACGGTGGAACTCGGAAGTGAATGACAAAACTCACTGGGGCAGTATCTTGAGAGGAGAGTTGCTAAGGAAGGCAGACTTTCCAGACACTAGTTATAACAATATTGTAGATTAGTCTTGGAATTAGCATAACAGTACGGTAGGCGACTAAGACAGGTTCTACGGCGAGAAATTATGGGATATGGCGAGCAAATTATTCCCTCTCAGTCATCAGAGAAAATAGTTCATCGCCCTACTGTGTCAATCTTTCAATTATGTATTTTGAATAGGTAGTTATTTTTTCTTTCTTTCCGCTTAATAACGGGGCCTCAGCAGCAGGTAGAATCACAGAATGAATCTCAAAGACCCTAACCCTCAACTTTGCTATTTCGGTGATTCACAAACGGCATCTTATTCACATGTACATCTAATTTACATGTAGTTATCTGACACTTTTAGTACAGCTTACACGGTTTTTTAGTTGCAGCAGCTCCACTCTGTCACTGATCAACTTCATTTTATCCAGGAGGGATAGCACACCATTGGCTACATCATCGTGCTTATTGAGCATTCTATCGGACGCTTTATTACGCACCTCGTTAGGCACCCCATTAGGCATTTCATTGGGCACTTCATTAGGCATCCTCCAGAGCGAATTTTAGGATATCAAATCGTTTAGACTCCAATCTCCTTGTAAGAGCGTTTCAGCTATGGCTATGCCCACTATGGTCGCATCACTATGAAAAGGTCATGCTATCAATGACGGAAAGAAGTAAAGGCTCACGGTCACCTGAGAAGCTTCAAGTCGTACCGAGATTGAAAAGATATGTCTACGGGCCTTTGAAAGCCAGACAGAGCGTTCGATTTCTCGTCCTCCAGCCAGGGTCCGAATGCGACCCTTTAATTGGGAGCCTCGAAGTTGGGAGCCTTGACTTGGCAGACATCGAACAGCTTCTACCCTATGAAGCTATATCGTACGTCTGGGGGAACTGCGACCGGCATTTTGAACTCATTTGCGATGGCGATATCCTCACTCTCACACAAAGCATTCATGATGCATTACATCGAGTTCGACTGCCAGACCAACCGCGGCGATTGTGGGCCGACCAAGTCTGTATCAACCAAGAGGATGGAGCAGAACGCAGTCAGCAGGTGAGGCTTATGAATTCGGTGTATAAGAATGCTAAAAATGTTCTTGTATGGTTAGGAAGTGATTTAGATGGAGTTGCTGAGAAGGCGGAACGGACTGTTCGTGAACTTAACGAGGCATTTAAAGATACCGAGGCCCATGCGGCCTTTAAACTCAACTATGAAGAAAATCTAGCGACACAAAGCTTAAAGCCGTGGATTCCTCTAGCAAAACTAACAAAACTACCTTGGGTAAGTACGTATGCCACATCCCTTGCCAAAGACAAATAGAGAAACGCAATGAATGGAAATATCAACATCAATGATACCGCCATTGCTTCTTAGAAAATAATGTGCTAACAATGAAGTATTAATTTCGACGAGTATGGATTGTCCAAGAGATTGGAACCACTGCTCCTGCAACACTGTACTGGGGCGATACAGAAATAGACTGGGAGGAATTGTCTTTTGTGGCAACCGTTCTGAATGGACAGTATTATCACTTTCGTACCCGATTTTCCATCAATACGTCTTCCATAAGCTACCTACGCCGACGCTTCGTCGAGCCAGACACAGCATACTACGACCGCAATAAAGGACACTTTGCATACGAACTTCACAAGGCCAGGCCTCTTTTGGCGGGCGACAATCGAGACCGCATATACGCCTTTCTAGGGCACTACTCCATCAACAAAGGTGGTAAAGAACTTCAAAATCTCACCGCAGATTATTCCAAGAGCCTTAAGGATGTGTACATCGATGTTGCGGTGAGAATCCTCCGCGGCGCCCAAGATCTCGTCATGCTGTCTTCAGCACATTACGACGTGCCACAAAAGGACAATGAACGCTTAGGTCTACCATCCTAGGTCCCGGATTGGAGATACTTACCGCTGCACATCCTTGGCTCACCTTCAGTGCCTCATCGAGCGTCGAAGGACACCAAGCCAGACTTGACCATCGATGAAGATGCCCGAATTCTGCACATCCGAGGTGTCAGAGTAGATGTTTTGACAACGACTTCATGGCAGATTCGCAAAACGGCGTTTCAGATACGACAGGGCGCTCAGGAGACGAAGGAGAGAAAAGGAGATTGGGGCAATAATCTCCAACGAGAGGAACTCGACGATACTAGCGCGAATAAGCGTACTCCAAACATCAATACAAATCACAATAATGGATCCCCAACGAAAGCCTGATCGAAACGGTCCTCGCACACACGCCATGGAAGCCCTCTAGAAGCACATCTGTGGCTACGAAACATTCAACCTCAGCGATGTTTACCCTCCTTTTCTCGCAACTTCACCAGCAGTAACAGCAGCCAACCTTTCGCCCTTTTCTTCACCTTCTCCATTGTCATCTCCTACAGCCCCAACATCTCGTATATCCGCTACATCCTCTGCACTCCCATATGACCATCGTCAATCTGCCTTCTTCGCCTTCATTCAGACCCTCACCAATGGTTGTGTAAGTTTTGATCGATCGCGACCTTACTCGACCATCTCTTCTGAAGAATTTCTTGCTGGCGGAGCAGCTTATCTCACCCGTTATGCACAACCACCCTCCTCTTCTGCTTCTCGTCCCGCTTCTTCCTCCTCAGTTACTATACAATCACAATCGCAGACCTTTTCTCCATTGTCTTCGATATCTCATGACAGAGACAGAGGAGACAGTACAGTCAGAGTCAACGAGAACGGCAACGCTAGTCCCGTAACCACCAACTTTCTCTCCTCGCACAGTGAGCTCGTATCTCCCGACATCCACGCACTATCCTGCAATGGTGATCCCTTCAAATGGAGCCGTGAGGCCGTCATGGTTACTCGACACCGCCGCTTCGCCGTCGCCCGCAAGGGGTATTTCGTGCTTAGGCCCGGTAGGCTGCAGGAGAATGACGTCGTGGTTGTGCTGCGCGGCGGCACGGTTCCCTTTCTGTTGCGGAGGGTCAGTGTCATGGGCAATGGTCCTGAGGGAGGCTGGGTGCTTGTTGGCGAATGTTATGTACATGGACTGATGGACGGCGAAAAATGGGAGACTGAAGGGGTGGAGGAAGAAGTATTTTCGATAAGGTGAGCAGGCGGGTGTAGTTTCGATAGGGTTTCTTAGAACGATTCATAAGTAGTTTGAGAGTACAACGATTGTTGTGTTACTCGTCACCGGGGCAGATAATTTCTAGTCGGGTGGTATTTTAAAATATACACAGCAAAGGGCGCCCATTTGGCTGTCTCAATGTTGTCCGAATGTCCAAAAAAAAAAAAGAAAAAAAATCTTCAAGAGTTCCCAGGCAAGAAAATAGGGTGCATACAAATCATATCCTATTCCAGCAGTGTCACTAATCACAGAAATAAAAGATACCCTCTTCTCTTGAGAGCGATAAGAGGCCGGGGTAGTAGAGGTCCGAGATATCAGATAGCTATGCCACGTAGAAGTATTCCTCTAACGAATCCACGAGCGAGGGATAGCATCATTTCACTGCTTTACCGAGATGGGTATGGCTGATTGAAGCTGAAATTCAGCCGCTGCTGTATTTGGTTGAAGCGAGCTGTCAAAGTCGAGGCTAATGAAGCCCTACTTGGAAGGGATGGGATCTTGTAGCTTAAGCGGCCTCGATTCCACTTTGCCAAGTACAGCCACAATGCTTATTTTGACGTGGCAGGCTTATATATCTGCTGCAAATGGACAGTTAATTTTTGGTAAAAAGAACGTTATCCAAGCTGAATGCTGTTAGCGCTCGCCTCGAGCTTCAAGGTTAGAGCTCTCGAAAGACTGGAATGTATCGACATGCTATTTACGTCACACATTAATTGCATTTGTATATTGTATCAAAGAGATGAGGTTCGTCACGTTGAGACACTTGATGCACTGGAAAACCAAAGGCCACGCAAAAGTTTCCTTCATGTCTTTATACAAGGTTCCTGATAGTTGGCACGGTCACCTATATTTACTCAAAAGAACTTGACAAGTCATATAAGCAATGCGGAATACACATTAGAAATAAAATAACAAAATGACTTTTGAGTAACCTTGAATGTAATACAGCTTCATCCCTCAAAGCTCAGAGTTGTCTTGTCCATGCCAATTATTACGAGCAATCTCATCCAGCCACGCCGCCATCCGATATCCCGCACGCGCGATTTGCTTCTCAACAAGGGAGCTGGCCTGATCATAATAATCCTTCTTGCTCAGCTCTTTACCTTTAATTTGTGAAGGCTCGTAGTTGTCGATAAAGACTATGCATGGACGAATATGTATTAGTAAATCGCAATCGAAAACTAGCTGAAAGCATGAGAATTCTTACCGTTATCGCAAACAAAGTCGTTTGCTTCATTTGACCATTTCAGAACCGTCTTGAAGGAATCCGACGGATCGAAATCCTTCAGCCAGCTATCCTTCTCCGCTGCGAATTTTCCATTGGAAATTTCACCTGCTAGTTCTTGCGCCCACTCCAAGGCACGGCGGTTCTGGCTACTATGCAGATGCTCGGTGAATTTTTCGGGAATCAACGTATCCCAAACTTTGTGCAGTTTTCCTTCGTCACCTTGCCACTTTACCGATAATTGAGTGCCTCCTTGTGCGATGTCTTCGTTATGAAGCGGCTGATGCAAGTCGCCGATAAAGTGAACAAGCATTTTGACGGCGAATTGGCGGTCCTCTTCGGATTTTTGGCTGTTTAGAGCCAATTCTGTCATATTGACCAAGGCACTGATAACACAGCCGTCCTTTTTGCAATCACGCTTGTAGTCGACATTGCAGTCTTCAGATTCTGGATGATCGTGAGCATCGATATAATGCCACCCTCCAGTATACTCTCCCTCATCGCGATGTGCAAAGTCGTCCGCCCAAGTGGAGATTCCAGCGAGATAGTCATCGTCATTGTTGCCCAAAAGGTCCTTGAGGTAGGCTTCCGTTGAGTTGGAGACGAAATAGCTTGCAACGTAAGCTGTAGTATAGTGGCCAAGTTCTGTATGTTTTGCTTAGTTTTCACTAATACTCAGAGTCTCATGGCATGTGTCGGGATAGGGTTTCACTTACGCCCCCAGGCTATGGCCCCAGGCAAAGACACCAGCCCAAGCACCACGAGTTCAATAGAAATCTTCATCCTGTTCGATTAATCCTGAGAGAATTATCAGTTGGCAAACGCAATTGCCGATCTATTGGATATGATGAAGTGCTTTATTTTATAGATGAGACTCACATCACAACTCGTTTTCAGCTGGCATGCCTCTGACGTCAACATCAACGTCCTTTCAGTGGGCACGAATGACAGGTCCATGGCGCACCATGTGAAGCAATGTTGGCTTGAAGCCTGAAGTCAAATTACAGATGGGAGGCATCTCAATCGGTAAAGCTGGCGGCTGAACGCTCTGAAACTGCTTGAGCGCTGAGAACCCTAATTATAAGCTCAAAATTTGAGTTTCGTTTGACAGTGACGTCTGCTGTCAACTTTGGTGACTTAGTTTGGTGATATATATCTCAGCGCTGCCCATTTTGGCCGGGCACAACACTTAAAAGACTGTCAATACTATCGAAACAGATCTCGATACGCTGCCAATTAGTAACAGCTCAAACATCCGTCTTTGCATCAGCAGTACAAAGTACTGTTCATACAAGTCAAAATGCCCAAGATGACACCAGACTACGAAGTAAGACTACAGCTCGACCCTGAGAGAGTACTCAACTCCGAGCACAACCTGGAGTCAGACATCTTGGAGTTCTTCAAAGTATCCGAGAAACCTCTACAAATGAATGTGCAGTTTCTCGACAAATGTTCCAAGGACATATACAATGCCGGCTGGTGTGTGCGAATCCGCAAAGTAGAGGAGAAATCCCACCTCGAGCTGACGTACAAGAAACGGTACGACATTGACAACGGCAACATTGATGAGGTACTCGCTCGAGCCAAGAAGGATGGATTTCATGGCGGGGATACCAAATATGAAGCGCAAGTCGAATGGGGGTATACGAAACAGACACTCTCCATCAGCAGGGAGAAACAGGTTTCGCATTCTGGAAAGACCGAGCTGGAACTCCCGGGGCCGAGCGACTCGCGCAAAATGGCAATCAAGGAAGAACCCGACAAGTTTGACGATTGGGGACCAGGCGAAGATTGGGGGACAAAGACACTGGCGAAAGCGAGAGTGTTTGGCCCGGTCCTCGCAAAACGCTGGATCGGCGAGTGGAATGACATTGAAGTGTATATCGAAGTCTGGCCAATCCCTGATGCTGAAGGGACGGGAACCGAGTACATCGTCGAGGCGTCGTTCAAGACGGACAGCTATAAGACGGCCTCTGCCGGGCGCATCAATCTCACCAGCCAATTACAGGCTCATGACTGGGTGCTTGCTGAAGACTCTCTAAAGACAAAGCTTATTCTAGAGCGCTACTCGTGCTCTAATATGACAGCTGAAAATGGGGACTAGAAGCTGTTTTCATAGTGAGGCAGGGGTGCGAATAACTCAAGCATAGCTTCAACCCCGCGATGCTATGCCATAAGCAGCAAAGACGACTATTTTGTGTGAGCTGAATCTGCATTCTGCAGAGTGTGTACATTAGCTCAGGAGCGATGACAGAATCGTCGGGATTTCTGAATGCTTGATTAGTTGTCTGCTCGCCACGTCACTTTTGGTTGGATCTAAGCAGTTTTTTTGGTTGTCCGTGAGGTGTATATCTCAGAATATGAAATCGCCCGAGCTGGCGGGGGAGGCCTTCGGGGTGAGAAGTTATATAAAGAATGTCTCAACCTGCCTCATTTTGTACGAGACTGAACACAAGTCCATAAGGCAAACACGAGAGCTATACTTGCACACAGTTTCCATCTTATAAACTCTTTTTGAAAGCACACCTAGCTGGACGAAGCATGTCCGACTCCCAGCAGACCGAGGCGCCAAAGCCTCAGCAATCCGTATTGAGTATGTAGCATCACTTGATGCCAGCACTTGTCCGCTAACAGATATTCCGCAATTTAGAAAAGCGTGAAACACCAGAATCCGTGCAAGCAGCCCATGACGAGCTTGAAGAAGTCGCCCAAGAGTACAACAAAGCCGTCCAAGCCGGAAACAAGGAGCTAGCAACCGAGCTTCGTACCAAGCTGAACAGCTTGCGAGACAAGGCTCACGCAGGAGATCATCTGGGAAGCAAGCTGCAATGGGGCGATATATACGAGATGTGGATCGAAATCCACAACAACACCTCAAGATGACTGCGCGGCGCAGGCGGCTGGCAAGTGAATTTCGGCTGGTTCGAGTCCGCCGCCGTGGGAGACATTGAGCCCGGCGGCGTGTGCTACATTCACATGGGTGGAGGCGCCATGTACGGAATCGACTGTGTTGCGTACTTTCGTTTGGACGGAGAGTCTAGCAATTCGTGGTTCCAGTGGTGGTTTGGCCCGTATGACCCGTATGAGGAGCTTGTTGAGATGTGGTCTCCGTCACCGTATTCCAGATCTCTTGACGGGGACAAGAATATCGGATATTTCTATGTAAACGAGTGAGCTAGAACCGATATTTATCTTGTCAATATACTCTGAAATCTGTTATTGTATCGAAAAGCTTGTCTCGTGTGACCGTCTTGGAAATCTGTCCCTCACCTCTCCCCTCATCATCCCATCCACATAGCACTCGCCGACTAGAGTGTAGTTTCCATTTGCACATGGCCTCAAAACATAAGGTACTCTCCCTCCGTTGAAGATGCAGACAACATCTCCCTTCTGCGCGGCCTTGGGCACGGCGGCGAAATCACCAGCATCTGTAACTGCAAACCGGCGCCCTGGGCACCATTTCACCGCGCTTGTGTGCATGAGAAGAAGCTTGGTTAACAAATCTTCGGTGAGAGGCACGACATCATGGACAGCAACTTGCGCGGTCTTATTGACTTCACTGCCTGGTGTAAGTGAGCTATCGCCGTGCTTTAGTCCAAGGCGCTCTGCGTTGACGAGATAATTCTCATACAAAGCCTGTGCTGCACGTGAATAGATGGTAAACTGGGCATTCTTCCCGTTCGCCGTCATGCAGCATATCATTGTACGCCATACTGCGTCGATTATGTCCTTGGGGAGCCGTGCATACATGTCGCCGAGCACGTTCTGCCCAGCCACGGCCCACGTCTGGTTGAACCAAGCCCATGTGTGCAAGATGTTGGAAGCAAAGCCCGAATCCTCGCCCATGAAGTCTTGGTTCGCAATCTTCTGGTCAAACGGCGTACCCATGGCCTTTAGGGCCCCGATTTTGGTGCCTACCACGTGTATCACCGCCGTCCCTTGGGAGAAGGCAATGCGGGCTGGGCGAAAGTCGGATTGACGTCCGAGGGCCCACCAAGGATATTTCAGATCCGCGTGGTAGACCTTGACGGCTTCCCCGAAATACTTTTTACGCAGTGCAAACTCTTTGAGCACGTCATACCGAAGATCAATGTAGTTGATTGAGAGATACTCGAGTTTCGGAAGCGGTGCGGCAAAGTCCGGCCTCGTCAAGTCGGGGACCCAAGAAGGTAGTGGCTCCAGCTCTGGGGAGAGAGGAAGGCTCTGGCCGCGGCCAAAGGAGAAGATTTCAAACTGCCTTTTGCGAGTCAGATGCCAGAGAGCGAAGCGATGGTAGACCTCGGCAACGGTCAAATCGTAGTTTGGCGTCACCTCCCAGTCGGAAGATAAAACGTCCCCTGCGAGGCCGACGAGCGCAAACAACTTGTCTCGGGGGTCTGTAGCTTGGAAGCCTCGAGTGAGGAAGAGCAGTTCCAGCAGGTTATGCCTTTGGCTCCTCTTTTTCTCGTGCTTTTGTCGCATGTCGTGGAGGAAATAAAAGTTTTCGATGGATTGGTTGTTTTGGCGTTGCGTTTTCATTCGGTAGGTGTCGAATTGCGTTCTAAGCTCCAACACGGCTCTGGCAAATTGATCCCAGGAAATCATCGAGTCACGCGTGACTATGAGGGGATTCGATGCCAAGACCAGCTCTTGGATGCACCAGACTCTGCTGAACCACGGGCTTTGGACGACGGGCATGAGTGCGGACCAGTCAAACTGCTTTGGGGATTGCGGCTCTTCAAGATTTGCGACGCCCATGTTTACTGCACTATCGAATCCGAGCCATATCAGGAAAGCCTGGGCTTGATAGAACAGCACATTTGTAAACACAGGCTTGAGCGGCTTCCAGTCGACACGCTTTTCGTCAGGTTGCCATGAAGCCAACTTGCCAACTCCCTCTTGTATAGCCTCATTATTTCCCAGCCATATGAGCACCCGCTGTGCTTTCGAATAGATCTCGCCCATGAGGCGAACCTGCTGCGTCTTCTCCTGGTTGTCGGCCTGGTTGATGCAGAGGGCGTCAATCCACAAGACCCTTTCCTCGTTTGGAAGCCGAAGCCGCGCCAGTGGATTGTAAAGATTCCTGCCCACATTTCTCCGCCTGTTGTTGCAGGTGATTTCGCCCGTGACGGCTGGGCTTCCCCAAACATATGAGAGGGCGTCAAATTGGGCCTTGCTGGATCCGAGACGACGATGTTCAAGCGTGCATTCGATCGGAGAGCCCTTTTTACCAGGATGCAGAATCAGCACCCGAATCTCCAGTGGTCGAACGAGTGGTGCGTATCCGTCTTTTTCGACAGGCTTGGAGTCTTTGCTCGCTGCCTCTGCGGTGTCGCTCCATGGCATCCATGAGTAGTTGTTTTGCGTCTGCCAGTTTCTCTCCTTCCAGTAGCCGATGTAATAGCCCTGCCCAAATTCTGAGACGACGTACACGAGGAGAGCCAAAGTCCAGAAGGATGGACGGCGTTTCCAGATTGGCTGCGGAGAGGGATTGGAATTGGACTGCGAGTCGGTGCCGCCGCCGTCATGCTTGGTTGAATAGGCACGCTGTCTTGGAGGAGTTGCTTGTGATGCGAGTTGGTTTGGGCGTCTAAAGAGTGGTCGGAGACATGCTGTATATTGAGAGCGGTGAGAGTATTTGAAGCTCTGTGGGAAAGAGAAAAGTGAATGCTTCATGATATGGACACGTTCATGATGTTTGTGGTTGCCTGCAGTAGAGGTGTTTAGATACAGGGTAGCTGGATTACTTGACAGCTGCCTTGCACCTGTGATTGATTCTGCCGGGCGGAGGAGACACCCGATGTCTCAGGCAAGTACCTACTTTGCAGGACTTTTTTCTCACGACTTCACTTTTGACACTGCTCTCTTCCATCGTTGCTCAGTAATCCGCGACTCTCTCGAATCCTGTTGTTGCTTTCCGACCAGGATTTGCGATTCTTTCTCACCATTGCTTCGAGCTTCTATTTTAGTCTCGCACTCAGCCTTGGTTGCGGGGCAGCGCGAAATGGCCCTTGTAAATGCTCATGACCAACCAAATCAACAACGGGACGAACCAGTTGGACAGCATTTCGTTGCCATTGATTGGTTCATTTTGCTTGTATTGGACTTTGTGCCAGTATCAGGTCTGCTCCAGTACTGACGAATGCTTTGACAGGTTGCCAATAGACATGCGCACTCGACGAAACGCCCATCAGTTCCTCTTTCCAGCCCATCGATGCTCCCGCTCGCTCTCTTATTGGCCTCGGCTTCATTTCATTGTCCACTGCAGGCAATTGATGCGAATGTGGCTGAACTTGGTTGCTTCGGCCCGCTCTTCTCTCCAAGCTCAGCTCCAAGCCCCAGCCAGACTAATGCCTGTCAAATTGCTGATTCAAGAAAACGAACCCACACGCCCTTCTTTAGTGCAGCATCTTCTGCCGGCCGGGCTCGTCATAATAGCCATGGGCACCGGCAGCGCCGGCAGCGCTTTTTTAAAAGCTCACTCTCCCAGCTTCCGGAGCCGGGCGCAGATTGGACATGGCCGGCCAATATTCATGTTCCTTCGCCCGGCGGCTCTGCCTGAGCATTGCGCTGCTGGCCGTGCAGCTGCTCTGCGTCCTTTCCAAGCCGACAGCCCGGGATGCGTCTTCGTCTTCTATATTGGCAGAATCGAGTCGCATTGTGCCGGATTACGTGACCCAATACGGTACGGGAAGCCCTTCACAACTTCCCTCTTCTCTCTTCTCCCAGCACAATCATGCATGCTTCTCCTACGTATGGATACCATACGTCTAGAACATCTAGAGACTAATTTGCCATGTTTTGAAACAGCGCCGCTCGTTTGGCTACACTCGGATGATCCGTTTCGACCGGCCGACTTGCTCCAACACATCCGCCACACAACCCCCGCCACCAACCAAAGCTCCATCCCCAACCTGCCAAAGCTCGACCTCGACAACCTCGCGATTCTCAACGACGTCGACACAAAAGGTGGAAGGATCGCCCTAACCTCGAACGACGACATTACCGGGTTGCCCGCATGGCTCTACGGATCGCTTCCAGACGAGTCGGGCAGGATTGCAAACGCTACGCCATGTGTTGTGATACTCGTTGAGAAGAGTCCTCGAGACGTCGACGCCTTCTTTTTCTACTTTTACTCTTATGACCGCGGCGCAAACATTACGCAGGTTTTGGAGCCCCTGAACCGCCTAATTGAGGATACTGAGCACGGGATGCACTTTGGCGATCATGTTGGAGACTGGTGAGTATCCTTCCACTCCCACCCCCACTGTCAATCAATTGCTAAATCACGTCTGAAAGGGAACACAACATGGTCCGGTTCCGAGATGGGAAACCCACAGGCATCTACTATAGCCAGCATGTGAGCGGCTCTGCGTACAACTGGAATGACAAGGCTCTTTCGATGAAGGGCGAGCGGGTAAGGACACCCCAACAGTCTGCAAGCTTGGTGGCCATCGCATAACATGTCTCGATAGCCTCTTGTCTATAGCGCATACGGGTCGCACGCAAATTATGCCTCTACCGGGTGAGTTGCGTTTACCTTGAGTGACCCATTTTCGATGCCCCGGTACTAACAGGAATTTCTTTTCTCAGCAACCACGTTCATGATGCAGCATTGGTGGATTTTTGCGATGCTGGTCGGCTCTGGGATCCCGTCCTTTCGGCGTATTTCTACCACCTGGACCCGGCCAACTTCAAGTTGACGCGCCTCTTTCTTTCTGGTGCCAACTCCTCCGCCGCGTCGAATTTTACCTCCTTTTTCTACTTTACGGGAATCTGGGGCGATGAACAGTATCCGGATAACGATATTCGACAAAAGACCGTCCCTCACTTTGGGTTGAAACGATTCGTCTCAGGGCCGCAGGGTCCAATCGTCAAGAATCTCGTGCGAAACGGCCTGTTTCCCGATCAGCGTGAAAAGAAGCCGTGGATGCAGTGGGCGGTTGGCATCTTCATGTTTTGGTATCCGTGCTGCATACGCGGATGGAGGCTCTGGGTATCGTTGAGCGTGATCGTTGGCTTCATAATCTTGACGGCGTTTGGGATCAGGTTCGTAATAAAGAAATACAGAAGGACCAAGGGATACAAAAAACTAGAGACGACGGACATTCCGCTCAACGACATGAGCTATAGAGAGGGGAGCTCTCGCCTGCCTCTCGCTGAGGACGACTTGGAGACGAGAGACGAGAGATGAGAAACGAGATATGAGATGAGAGAGTTGGTACCATTCTTGGCGTGCGTGGGGGTTTCTCACCCGTTACCACCTCCTTTGACAGCGAATACAAAAGTGCCAGCGATGGGGTTACAGCACATGAGGGAGAGGAGGGAGGAGGGGAGGAGAAGATGCTGATAAAGGACCCTGCATGTCAAGCCTCGGCCTTCCCCGCGCCGAGGAGGGGCTTCATAGCTTCACAATGCGGCATATTGCATGCTGGCTGCAGGTGAAAGTGAAACCCTGATAGACACAGGTACAGTACAGTACGAGTATATAGCGAAACCCAAAATTAGATACACCATTCCACAGACACGTCAAGCTGCAATTGGCTGACAAGAGCCTTGATTCTTCATAGATTTGGGGCGTAGCTAACGCCAGTTAATGTATGAATGCTTGTGCTTGCATTGAGGGGTTGAGGGGCTGGAGGGGCTCAAGCATCCTGTCAGATCTCACAGCCCCTCCATCAAGAGGGAGAGCCTCAATGTAATAGGGTCGAAAAATAATAGGGGTCCAATTGTCATGCATTGATGATGTACAATCAATTTACCGGGTATCAACTAGACATAAGAGGGATATGCTGAGCTGTATGTACTCGTATAATAGCGCTCGATCTAGTTTACAACCATCTCGATCTCATCAGCGCCCCCCACAGGCATTGGCTGAATGAGCGTCTGTCATCACCACGGCCATAAGCATTTAATGGAGATTATTAATTGCTTTATCAATCACTCGCGCGGGTAGTTAGATAATGCTCCATCCACAAGAGCGGACAACGGCCACCCATAGCGGACAATAGCCGCAACACTAGAACGCTAGAAACCGGGCCTAAACGCGCGTTGATTTTTAGTTGATTTAGGATCACCCGCGCGGGAATTATATAATAAAAAGCGGTCGCTGCCTGAATCCTGCAGTAAAAATCACGCCTGCGGGAGAGGATCCAACAAACAGGACAGATTTGGTAGCGCGGTTTGTGAATTACAAACTATGTGTCAGCAGGGGCCAGGGGGTGGTGCAATGCAACCGTCTGAGATGGAGAGCTTGGATTGAGTCTGTAAAACTGGAGTTGCGCTGAGGAGGGGTTTGATGGAGGTTTTTGATTATTCAATATTAGTCGTAGTTACAGTAGTAGGAGGCTGTATGTATGAATATGGAGACAGTGGGAGGGTTGATAGAGTGATATATAACATACCAAGCCTTCTCTTCTCTCTCCCTCATACCATTCATTCCATCCTCAACTCACTCACCCACACTAAAACAACCTACACAGTATCTTTTTACCAAACAAATCACTCAAATCACTCACAATGGCTCCTACCATCACAGCCGACCAGTTCCTTGCTGCCGCCAAGCACCGCCGCAGCGTCTACGGCCTCAAGAGCACCTCCGCCGTCTCCGACGAGCGTGTCAAGCAGATTGTCGGCGAGGTTCTCTCCTTCGCCCCCTCTTCATACAACACCCAGCCCGGCCGCATCACCATCGTCACTGGCGAGAAGCACAAGGGCCTGTGGGATGCCATCACCAAGGAGGCCGAGCCCATCCTCAAGGGCGCCGGCGAGGAGGTCTGGAAGACTATGAGCGGCATCTTTGCTGCCCACAAGGGCGCTTACGGCTCAGTACGTTTTTTGACTTACACTTACACCCTTGCTTATATACACCAGAACCCTCTTACAGCATGAAACTAACTCATCATTCGCAGGTCGTCTTCTGGGACAGCGGTGATGCCATCAAGGAGGCCGGCACCAAGCACCAGTCCGCCGCCCACATGTTCCCCCAGTTCGCCGACCACAGCACCGGCATGGCCCAGATCCTCGTCTGGACCGCCCTCGAGCTCGAGGGCCTGGGCGCCAACCTGCAGCACCTGCAGGCCATCCCCCCCGTCGAGGCCGTCATCAAGTCCTACCTCGGCGTCCCTGCCGACTACACCCTCAAGGCTCACCTCAACTACGGCGACCTGGCCCAGCCTCACCCCGAGGCTGTCCCTGAGAAGCTGCCTCTCAGCGAGACCCTCAAGGTTGTTGCTTAGATGGGGTTGTTATAAAATAGATTTTTTGCAAAATGAAACTGTTAAATAGCGCAATGTTTATAGACTATTCATAGAAACGAATAGAATATTGCTTTACAAAATGTTTTGGCATCGTGTTGTCAAACACAGCTAGCATATCATCGTGAAGAATTGTGCAATCTAAAGTATCCCTCGCATGGGGAATGCAAGAGATTCACTATAGTCAAATCCGTTTTTGGATAAAATTAGTCGAAACAGCCAATAGCAATATTTCGAGTTTTATCCAATAATGCCATCCAAAAGTCATAGCCTATCGTAACTCTTACACCGCATTGACCTCGATTATGTCTCTCACAACCTCTGCAGCCGCCTTCAGATGCTCCACAAACTCGTCCGATTTCCTCTCTCCATTAATCACCGTGAATTGAACTCTAAACACGTCATTGTCAGCAAACAATTCTTCATGCTTCATTCCCGTGTCTGATACTCTTGCTTACCTTTCGTCAAAGACCTGCACACCAACCCACACGTCAGGCTTGTGAGGCTGACACCGTCCCATCTCTGGAAGTCCAAATTCCGTGAAACTCGTGCAAACCGGCCGCTCACTCGTCCTCGCGAAAACAGTGTCCTTGTAAAACGCAGGAAGCTCCTCGCCAGGCTCCATCATCTCGCGGAGTGCCATGAGGTGCCATCTAAATCCTCTTCCTCGAGTTGCCAGCGCCACGAGCCTTGCGTGCGATTTGACGGCCTCCAGGAACAATCGTCGTTTCTCAACACCACTGACAGAAGGATCCTCAGCTGCAGCACAGAATGCCTGGACGGGTGGCGTCATGATGTAGATCATGTCTGTTCGTCCACCGCGGAAAGGGCGCTGGGAAATTACGTCCACCGCGCCCAGGGGGTTGTATCCGAAGAGGCGGCGGACGGCTACTTGGATTACCAGCTGGATGACAGTCTTTGGCGGGAGTTTGTGCTTTCTTAGATAAGTGGCTGCGTAGTAAGTGTGCGTGAGGTTGGCGAGTGTGTAGCCATCGTGGGCTCGTTGGTGTTGGACTTGGAGCGGAGAGATGCGTTTTGAGAGGGTCGCTGGCAACGTGAATGGAATATGGGAAAAGTCACTATCAACCACGATGTTATCGGAAGATGATCCGTTGGATGTTTGGAATGGCTTGTTTGAAGGCGAGCTGAGGGCTTTGATCAAGCCGCCAAACGTGGTGCCGTCGACCATGGTGTGCTCGCCCCAGATGGAAGACACGCCGTTGGCACATACGACAAAGGAGAGTGTCTTGTCTAACCATCGGTTGGAATTGTCGTCCAAGAGGAAGATGTCTGCTCGGTCGGTTGCTGTTTCGGGGGAGACGTCTTCGAGGTAGATGATGAAGAGAGACTCTTCGATTGTTTTAACAAAGTTGCGGCCGTCTTCGCTTCCCATTATTATTTCGTCACGGGCCTGAAATACAGTTAGCTTTTCAAGATTCTCTCTGACAAAGTAGATGATAGTTCAGAAGTGTTTGGGGGAAGATGACTGATGTTTCAGACTTACAAATGCCCACTCGTCGCGATTTGCAGTAGTGAGTAGACTTGTCCAGTTTGTTTCCTCTGGACTATGCTGAGAAATTGCTTGGAAGATGGATACGAGCTTGTTGTACGCTACAACCTCGCCGTTGCGATTTCTCATGGGGACCTTGTATGTGTGTCCACGTTTCATAACAACGATGTAATCACTCTCTGGGTATCTGTCGTAACCGTCGCATCCAAGGGCTGGGGTACGATTCGTGCTGAATAACCAATAAACAGTCGCCACTAAATCGAATTATGTCAGTATCATCATGAGAATGGAACTTGTTTCAGCTTCACTTACTGTCCAGTGCCTGTTCGTTGTAATAATCCTGCTGAACTGTTCCCGCATCCAGAGCCAGCTTGTATTTATATGCCCCCAATGTGAGTTCCGCCGCCTGATTCGCCTGAGGTTGGCGAAGCGTATCTTGTCCAGGCAGAGTCGCGAAAAAGTTTCGCAGCCTAGGCCTCCAGTCTCGTCCTCGGAGCCACTTGTTCCTCACATACATGTCGACAACTTCGTTATTCTCGCCTTCGTCGCCTGACATCTTGGCCAGTCGTTTTTGCAGCTGCTGTCCCAGTCCATCAGGGGCCTGGAAAGCGCCGATGGCTTCGCGAGTAACCTTCAACTCATCTTCGTTTGCAATGTGGCCGACTGAATCGAGGAAGATGTCCAGGGTTCCTTCGAGCGTCTGCATGGGATACTTGGGAAGAGCAACCTCTCTCTTGGCATTCATAGCGTTGCTGTCGCCATTTGTATCGTCGTTCTGCCCATTCTGCTGTGAGCCGACCTTGCTCTTCACCAAGTTGGAGCCTTTGGTGACAAAAGCAGCAAGATAACGAAGACTCGGCGCATCCAAAATGTCCGACGTTTGGACTGGCGCCTGCAGTTTGTTAGTGATCCAGTTCTTAATCTCGGTAGCGACAAGTGAGTCAAGCGCCATGTTTGCAATGGACTGGTCGACATCAAGTTCTTCGGCTTCCAGCACGGTAAGAGACGCAATCTTGTCGCGGATTGCAATCAGAACCAGTTCCTCTGCATCTTCGACAGTTGATGCAAGGGCAATTCTCTCTTCTGCAGTCTGTTCATTTTCGCGGCTGGCTTGACGCGCGAGGCCTCGGCCGTGAGCAGACAAAATATGAGACACGAGTGGTGGCACTCTTCCACCTGGAATCGTTTGGTTAATAAAGGATTGGGGATCGAGGCCAAAGGCAATCTGGTGATTGCCATCCTTGAACGCTTTGCCACTCATCGCATAGTCCACAACAGGCAGTGCAATCTCAATAGGAAGTAACTGAACGCCCTGTCTAGCCAAAGAGTGAGTGTGTTCTTGGGTAACGGTATATGTGCTCTTAATCAAGGGAAAGTCGATAGTGACAAAGTTCTTGCGGCCTGCAGATACTTGAGTGTGCGTAAACATGTCCTGGTATGTGCCTCCAGCCGCGTAATTGGACTGTCCAATTGTGCCGACAACACCACAAAGAGAAGAGAGGTTGATGAAGAAGTCGACGTCTTTGTTGTAGAATGCGTTGTAGAGGTTGATTGTGCCATGGTACTTGGGCAAGAGGGCAATCTCAAAGTCTTGCTGTGTGATTTGAGATATTGTTCGGTCCTGATGAGGATTGTTAGCATCATACTGACAAGATATTATTCTCTTCAGACCATATAGACTCGACTCGACTTACCGAGAGCACCATACCACCGTGAAGAATGCCTCTTACTGGCGGCATGTCTTGACTAAGTTGCTTGGCCACTTGTTCAACCACGCTGGCATCTCCAACATCGCACGTTACAATCTTGACAACAGCATCGGGAACATCAGTGAGCTCTTTCTCCATCTCCTCCCTGACCGCGTCATCATAGCTCTGTCGCGTAAACAAGGCAATGTGCCGTGCGCCCTTTTCTTGGAGATGCCTGCACAGATGCTTGCCCAAACTTCCAAGGCCGCCAACAATCATGTACGTCCCATTGGCTCGTAGTTGAAGAGGCTTTACCTTGGCCTGAACTGTAGACTCATCGGAAGCCTCTAGAACAATTTTCCCAGTATGCTTCCGGCTCTGCATCAGTCTGAAGGCTTTTTCGATATCGCCAATAGGCAAGGCAGTTACTGGCAGCGGTGTGAAATGTCCTTCTCCAAAGTCGGCAAATATTCTCTCTAGAAGTTTCTGGCACTCTGCTGGTCGCTGCTTTGAGAGTCCTACCAGGTCCACGCTGACGAATCTCAAATTCCTCTCAAATGGCTTCATGTTCAGTTGACTGCGTCGGGAAATGTCCGTCTTGCCCACCTCCACAAAGGTTCCAAATGCAGCGACAGACTCCCAAGAAGCATGAAGCATAGGACCAGAGAGAGAGTTGAGAACCACGTCCACCCCGGCGCCATTCGTAAGTCGCTTGACACCGGCTGCGAAATCGGTTGTGCGACTGCTAAAAATGTGACTCTCCGGGATACCGTATTGTTCCATGAGAACTTCACGCTTGGAGACACTACCAACAGTGGCAAAAATGACGGCGCCAAGTCGTTGAGCAATCTTGATGGCTACTTGGCCCAAAGCTCCGGAGGTAGAGTGTATCAGAATTGTCTGCCCTGGACGGAGATTGGCACAGTCAAAGAGCGAGTAGTATGCCGTTGCAAAAGTCAGAGGAATCGAGGCAGCATCGGTGAATGACAGAGTATCAGGAATGCGATGGATCAAATGTCCGTTTGTCCTGGTTCGACTGGCATAAGGCGTGCCGAACATGGCCGTTACACGATCACCGGGCTTATACTGCGATTTGAAGTTGGATCCAACAGCCGTAATGATACCTGCGCTTTCGCCGACCATGGGCTGCGTGGGAGGGAGTTGGCCGAGAGCAATAAAGACGTCTGAGAAGTTGAGGCCCCAGGCGTAAGACTGGATTTCAATCTCATCGGGACCGAGTTCGCCGGCATCATCGTCGATGAATACGAGACTGTTTAGGAGGCCGGGCTTGTCGACGTTGATCTTGAGGGGACGCTCAGGCTGATGGAATTTGACTTCCTCCGTCTCTGAATCGTCTGAAGTGGTGGAAACTGCCCGCGAGAGTTTCTCGTTTGCGACGAAGCGCTGGATTTGAAGTTTGCCATCCTTGTACATGAGCTCAAACTCACGGGGCTCGTCCTTTGCAATCTTGTCTTCTTTAGAACTGATGAATGATGTGATAGCCTGCAAGATTTGGTCCGGATGTTGATCCAGAGAGTCTTGCACGTCAACAGTGAAGAAATCGAGATGGGGATTCTCGTTTCGCGCGGATCTCGAGACTCCCGTGATCAACGAGTTCTCTGGCACGACATTGCTACTGGCGTTTGCGAAGCTAATCCAGTACACCTTCTTCACACTGGATAATAATTCAGTGATGCGGGCAAATTTCTCGCTGGAGGCTTGTGTGAGGAGAGGCTGGTTTGAAGACTCGATGATGATGTAGGAGCGCGAATCGTCGACAGCAGTCGTTTCCCACTCGTCAATGGAAGATTGAAAGCCCTTGGTAGTCAAAGCGGTAGCTAATTTGTCTGAAAATCCATGTGCATACTGATTCTCTCCGATAGAATTCAGGATTTTGAATCGGGGAGCATCAAGTATATTATCCAACGGCTGAGCTGCTACAGCGGTCGACAATAGCAGAGCACAATGTCTCTCAGGCTCAGGAAGATCATACGCAGCCAGATCAACCCCCGAAAATCCAGCGTTTTGAAGATGCGCGTTCCACTGCTCAGCAGATTGAAGCGGGCTTTCAGTTCGTCCCTCGTCAACACCAGCCCACCAACCAGGAATCGATCCAAACGTCATGTTGATGTACGGCGTCGTCCTGGTAAGTTCCACAAGACCAAGTACACCGCCCGGCTTTAGTAGCTTTCGAATGGTATTGAGTGACTTTGCCAGAGATCGTGTAGCGTGGACGACGTTTGCAGCTACGACGAGATCGTAAGAGTGCTCTTTGAATCCTTGCTCCGCCGCGTCCTTTTCGAGATCCAGGGTCTGGAATGTCAAGAGGTGGGCCCAGTCCTTCAAGCGGGTTGTGCGAACAGCCTCGAAGAATCCGGAAGAAATGTCCGTGTACATGTATTCCGCGCAGAAACTATCGCCGTTGGGAGTGCATGATTGAAAAATGCGATATGTCGTGCCTCCAGTGCCGGCTCCAATTTCTAGAATCCTGAGATCTCTCCTCTGGAACGTGAGCATCTTGACGTAGTCAGCCATGTATTGGTTGGGTCGAGCGCCTTCATCAGAGTGATACACTCTGAACAAAAGATCATCCTTGAGGAAGTGAGTGAGCGGATCAGTTTCGCCGGTCAAGAGGGGAATCAGCTCTGGTCCAATCCTGGCCACGGCCTCTCCTTCAACGCCCAGCCTTGAGGTGAGTTTATCCAACTCTTCTTTGGTCTCTGGGCTCTGTTTGATGAGCGACTTGCCTACTTCCGAGGCAGCAAACTTTTGCAGCAACTTCCACCAATTGACTCGATGGTCATCTTTTACAGATAGTCCACGATCATGCATTTCTCTAACAGCCCAGTCAATATATCTCGCGCAAGCAACAGAGGTCAGATTGACTTTCTCTGCCTGAGAAATGCCGGCCTCGTCGGACTGTAAGGGAATCACTACAGACTCGATGATCTTGGCGGTAATTGATGAAGTGTCGAGGCCCCATTCCACCTTGAAGATGTTGTCGTTGCTGATGGCTTGAGAAGACTGAGCCTCTCCGACAACGCGAATCTCTCCTCTGTCCATTGTGAGGACACATTGTGGCTCACCATTCTCTCCCACTTGAAAAACTGCGGTGCTAAAGCTCGTAGAGTGTGCAAACACGTCGCTCAAATCGCACACGGCCTGGAGTTGGCTGCCTGGCTTATTGGCAATATCTGTCGAAATATACACGTCGCTGATGAGAATAGGCATAACGGAGCCCTTGATGGAGTGCTGTTGGAAAACAGGAAGACATGACTGAATGATTCCATCGAGCGTTGTGGGATGAATAACGTGTGGCTGCATAAACTTGCCAGGCATCTTTGCAAGAATATCTGGCACAACAAGTTTATTCAGAGATTGGAAGCTTGCTATTCGCATTTCGTCGTTGATTGCAAATGTAGGGCCATACTGGTTGCCCGTCGCAGCCATCTGCGCATATAGCTCCTTGTGCGAAATGACCTTGTTACAATTCTCACCTGCGCTTTTAAGCCGGGAGTTCTGAGACCTTTGGCTGTATTCTGCTTCACGAGTTTGTTCAATCTCATCCAAATCAGTTTCAAAGACAGCTGATATAGTTCCACTTGAGTGGTCCTGCCATTTCCCTTGATCTGATATGGAAGAGACGGTAAATGTCCAAGAATCATTCGAGTCGGCATATTGGAATGATATAATGACTTCAACAGGTGTGTCATCTTTGGGCAGCGTCAAGGTCTTTTTGAAGGAAACATTCTTCAGCCTGTAACCCTTGGGCTTTAGATCTGGGCGACGATCCTGATTCAGTTGTTGCAGGGCCTGGATCGCCATCGTCATGTATCCAGCAGCGGGGAACACGATGAAGTTGTCGACGACGTGGTCTTGCAGCCACGGCAGCCTGCCAGTACTCAAGAGTATCCTCCAACTGGGTTGGCTATCCGATGATTCAATCACTCGAGAACCCAAAAGGTCATGAGAAGGATACTTTCGACATCTGTACTCGCGGCTTAGGCGCGACTCTGTCCAATGAGTAGTCATGTGGTTCCAGTGATACGTCGGCAAGTCTCCAAGGACTGCTGGTGGCAATGAGCGTGAGATGCTGAGTGAAGCCACAGCGCTCATATCGATGTCGCTGCCAGCACGGAAGAGACTCGATCCCGCATTCATGAGAGACCTGACGCCATGTTCATTACGTACCAACGTAGGAATATAGGTGTATGAAGATCCTTCACTCTGCAGCCCTGCCAGGGTTTGTTTGACCGGCCCAGAGAGAGCCGAGTGTGGACCTATTTCGACAATGTTGAGGGAGCCTTGCTTTACTTGATGATACAAATTCTGCAAAGCATCTGAGAAGCGGACTGGGGACACCAAGTTCTCGACCCAGTATGAACCACCAAATCCATCCAACTTTTCTTGTCCTGTAACGCTAGAAAAGTAGCGAATCGAGGAATCTGTTGAGCTTGCCTCGAGGCCTTCGAGCTGTTGCAGATAGTCAGAGCTGACAAGCTTCATGTGGTGAGAGTGATACGCTGTATCAACTTTAAGCCGCCGGTTGAATATTTGATCTTCATCGAGAGCGTCTTTCAACGCTGAAATACCATCTGCGTCACCAGAGATTGTCACACTCGACGGACTGTTGATACAAGCCACCACAATGCCTGGAGCCTCAAGTTTTCCAATGTACTTTTCAGCATCTTCGCATCCAAGCCCAACAGCCAGCATAGTTCCTCGCTGCGTAGTCCGTTGCTTGGACAATTCAGCTAGGAAGCTTCTGTGGTATGAAGCAAGCATGGCCGACTTGTGAGAAATAGCTCCAGCAGCATACGCTGCGGCGATTTCACCACTGGAGTGGCCAACTACCGCCGAGGGCAGGACATTCCAGCTCTTCAAGAGATCAACGAGAGCGATTTGAACGGCTGTGCTGGCAGGTTGGCCGTATGTACTGTCGTTTAAGCGACTCGATGCTGTATCCTTGGACAATTCTTCGATAAGGCTCCATTGAGCGCCAAATTCCTTGAGCAGTTGTTCTGAAACCGAGATGGAGCGGGTGAATTCATTGGCTTCAGCTGATAGCAGATTGTGGCCCATCCTCGCCCATTGAGCGCCTTGTCCGGTAAAGACAAAGGCATTTGCTGTTTTGTTCGGAATTTTACTTCTCGTCAGATCTTTTGCCGAAAGACTCTGGATGAGAGAATCGACGTCTTCAGCAACGATGCTCGAGCGCCACTGAAATTGAGATCTTCGTCCCGTGAGAGTATGAGAAAGATCGTCAAGTCGAATGTCGCCTCGACGTTTCAAATAATCCGCAAGATCTTTGGCATAATTTTGGAGAGAAAACTCTGATGTGGCGGATAGAGGGAATAGACGAGGAATCCTGGGTTCGTCTGGCCTGATGCGCTCGTCGCGATCTAGACCATTGATGTAATTGTTTGCGCCTACAAAATATTCGTGTCAGCAGATATTTTACCTGAGGTGACTGATCATAGTTACCATCGTAAACCCGTCCAAATTCTAAAAGCAGCATTGCATTTGTCCCTCCAAATCCAAAGCTGTTAACAACAGCCTTTCGGCTCGTCTTTGTTGACGGCCAAGGTGTGAGCGATCGTGCAATCTATTTTCTTTCATTAGAAACGACGCGAACTTCCATCATCTCGAATTAGAAGTTCATCTCACCTCCATACTCCAGTGACCCGGTTCCAGCCCAGGCTTAAAGTTTTCCAGCAGAATGTTTGGCGGAATCAGTCCCTTTTCCATCGCCATAACCGTCTTGATAAGACCTGCAGTGCCGCTGGCAGCTTCAGAATGCCCAAGATTGGGTTTTGTAGCGCCAACAAATACCGGATTTTCGCTCTCGCGGCCCTCGCAAAAGACATTTCGGATGGTGTTTACTTCGACTTTGTCTCCGGCTTTGGTTCCTGTGCCATGTGCCTCTACATACTGCACGTCAGAAGGGTTGAACGGGAGGCTCTGGAATAAGCTCTTTGCGAGGCGCTCTTGAGCAGCTTGGTTAGGAAGCATGATCCCGTTTGTTCGACCATCGGAGTTGATGCCCGAGTTTCGAATGACGGCGCGAATGGTGTCCCCGTTACGTAACGCATCATCTAGGCGCTTTAGGACAACGATTCCTACGCCTTCTCCTCGACCATAGCCGTTACCGCGAGTGTCGAATGTAAAAGATCTCCCTTCGTCGTTAAAGAGCCTATTGCGAATGTACATGTTAGTCTCGTTTATACGTGACAATGTCCAAAAAAAAAAAACCCCGTCCACTGTTCATCAAAAACTCACCCAGTCATTGACATGAGAGACATCTGGTCTGGAGAAAATATCAGATTCACACCACCTGCTAATGCCATGGACGTCTCTCCTGAGCGAAGACTTTGGCAGGCTAAGCTAATAGCTGCCAAGCTCCCTGAACAAGCAGTATCAACTACAACTGAAGGGCCCTGAAGATCAAAGATGTACGACACTCTGTTTGCGAGCAACGGGCGTGCTACACCAAGGTTGTGGTATTTGGAGACGGCCACTGGGTCTTTGTGTGTTGCTTGCTCAAAGTCATGACCGAACATGGCCACTTGAGAAACGTTAGCCAGTAAGTCAATAGCATGGTTAGGAGCTGCACGTTACCAAATATTCCAGTGTCTGACCCCTTGAGGTGATGCATTGGAATGCCAGCATTCTCAATAGCCTCCCATGAAGTCTCAAGCACGACACGCTGCTGTGGATCCAGTGTCTCTGCTTCTTGCTGTGCTATTCCAAAGAAGCCAGCATCAAATGCAGAAATGTCCTGGTCTATAAAGTGACCTCCCTTCTGGTTGATGGTACCTGGAATCTCAGGCTCGGGATGGTAGAATGCCTCATGGTTGAATCTATCCAGAGGCACTTCTGTCCATCCACTTCGACCCTCAGCAACGACGTTCCACAACTCCTCCGGGCTGGTGGCTCCTGCGGGATACCGACAGCCCATGCCCACGATGGCAATGGGAACAGGCTCTGGGGATGTCATTTTGTTTAATTTGGGCTTCAGAGTGAAATTGAACAGTGTACGGAGCACATAGCAGCTACTGTTTACTCGGCCGAGATCCTAGGATCAAATTGTATATATATACAACGTAGTTCTCACCTCGACTCCTCTTTCACCCCACACGTTTTCTGAATACAGAATCTGATAAACACTGGCCCATGAACTTGGTTGAAACCCATGCTTGTTGCTCCATTATTCTAAAACACAGGACGGAAGCCAAGTTTATTGGAAAAAAATTAGCCATGCAGTCATCATCTGATAGTTTTGGTAGAAAGCCCGAGTAATTCAATGAATCTCACTTTTACGTTATACCGCCGCGTCGGGCAGGGCTAGGTGTTGGCAAGCAGGACATCTGAGGTTCCATTGGAGCGCATGCAATGCCACCCTCCCCCAAAAGAAATGGTGGTCCGCTGTGATATGCCGTCAGGGGTGAAATGGACGGATGTCGTAGCGAAGAACATCTCCCCGCAAAACCTCACTGTACAGTAGGCGGGGGGGAATGGAGTTGTTTGTCCTGTAAGCTGCCCCGGATATCGTTGAGGGGGCTGGATGGAGCATCTTCTCCAGACATCTCCACCGAAATGTATTGCTCACGCTCGTATGTGCTCCATCAGAAGGATTCAGATCTAGCACGATGGTGAGCACCTATGCTGTAAAGACTCTAGTGGCTCACATGGCAGGCATTTGCATGCCGTGCATGTCACCAATGAAAACATGGGACGAAAAATGCTCGTGCTCGTTCTCTTTTCCAAATCGAGATTTCTCGGTAGATAATTCAAGGCATTTTGCTGGCACACGTATCATCGTCTAGATCTACGTGAACCATCTTGTGTAACGTCAGATGTCAGTATGATGCAAGTAATCATGCTTTAATTTATCTTGCGCGCGGCAGGTATATGACTTCCACGAGACAGGGTGTACACGCGTAGATGTATGGCTTGTGATGTGCAGGGGTTATCGCCAGTCCCAGAAGGCGTAATCGAGTTCTCCATATAATTGTTCAAAGAGGGAAGTATAGCGATATTCACATGTAACAAACATTTACCTCAAAGATACATGTCATGTCTTCAATAACTCATGCATAGCCTAAGCTAGCAATCAATGTCTTTGCGAGGTATTCAAGCAATTGTGACCAGTGGAAAAGAATGAAGCCACAAGTCCTAGCGGCCCGCAAGTCCTAGCATTCGACTAGCAGGTAGTGATCATCTTTGCATATCTGGTGCTTGGAGGTGATGGTAGTTCTCCATGTAAGACGGACTTGTATAAACCACGCAGCGATTTAACCAGGACCGGTAGCTTCATACGACACGGTATATGGACACGAGGCAATCCCCAGAGCTAGCAGGGTTTTTTCCAAGCTTGAATCGTTCGTTCCCCGCCAACGGGCCGATTCAGCGTCTAATATGTGTTTAGACATTCATATACAAACGCCGGGGCATCCACCAGAGGACTTGAATCATTACCAGCAGCAATTGCTTTGGCGAATTAATCGCACAGTTAATCGGGCGTCTGTTTTTTCATCTATCGCCGAGGTTGACGCTCACTGGCGGGGGCTCTGGGTTTAAAGATTGTCGGCGTTGTTTAAACCCCGCGACCAGTCAGAAAAAGGTTGGTCGCTTTTATTAGAGCAACGAGCTCCATGGGGGTTTTGGCGTTTTACCGACTGGACAGGGTTGTAGATATCGACTGGCATAAGATAGAGACTGTACCGCAGATGATCAACCTTTGGCGAGTTTTACAGCAGAGCCAATCTGGTTGATACCTGCTGATTGTTCAATTCTAAGGAACTCCCCAAAATATTGAATGTTCATGGGTAAGTGTGGTGGAAACCGAGGTATATTTATGACTTCTTAGCCTTTCTTATAGCCACTGTTACTCCAGAAATGTGGCTGTGAATTTCGTCAATCGTCGTTGCAGACAACTAGCATCACCTACCAGATCTCTTCTCTCTTCTGTACGGCCGTCTTCAATTCTACATACTGAAAGCGAGATGCCCATCTGGATCCAAATCGATGTGTAAAACCAAATGCAATTCAGAAACCGATGTCGGCCCCCTTCCCCTCCTGGAGAGCAAAGACTCAAAACAAAGCTAGATTTCCACGATGCATATGAGATGGCTGTCAACGTCTACGTACTACCTCGATTTAGGAGGCTCAAAGAGATGCCGTTCGTCTTGGTGCATGACATGACCCCCATCGAGTTGTGAGAATTCATGCGGAAACAACTACGAACGCCCCGTTGGACAGATGACAAGAATCAAGGCGGAAGCTACTGTAGAAACGGCAAGCCGGTTGAAGATCCCTGCACTCTTCGACGGGCAATCAATGCGCATCGCCGCTAGTTTCTTTTTCGACTCTGGGGGCGGGAAATCCACTGTGGAATGACTTTAGCATCCATAGATACAGTAGTGCCATGGCTGCTTATTCTCTTTTGCGGGATCAAAATCCTCTCCCTCTTCTCCTAAGCTTGATCCCATCAGCATATGTGATACAGGGACAAGCGTGATGCTGATGCTGATGCTGATGCTGATGCCAAGTGTCCAATTAGCCGCCGGTTGCTAACAATGATTCATCTTACACTACGAATGCAATATTGGACAAGGGATACACAATGCAGTGTGCTATTTTGAAGTCTCGGTAGTAGTCCGAGGGAAAGGGTGTCTGTCGAAATAGACCGCTATGGCAAAAGTGAAGTGACCACTCCAGTCTGTATAGCGTTGTATCTCTACATAAAGCATGCTAGTCATTCTGACAGTGTTTGCATCCAAACTATCCAATGAGATACAGAGACCAGACTCCCTCTGTGACGCTCATGATGCCACTTGTGAGTAGCACAGCCCATCTTCCTCTACCAATAGATCCATCTCAACTTGCCATAGAAGCAATATCTAAACCATAAAAAGGGTATCATAAAAATCTCGTCATGAGTATCATAAAAAAACAAGACAGACAAACAGACAAAATAGCGCTCGCTCATCCTCAACACATGCATGTAGTGAGTGAAACTGCCAACCAGGAATCTCTTCATGAGCCATCCAAAAAAGACTTCGCCGCTGCACCCAGCCCTGCCAGGATAACGACCATGTCTTTGGAACCAGCCCCATCTGTGACTTGCACACTTTCTCAGCTACGTCGCTGCCTCCGACCCTGTCAGATTAACGACCATGCTGCATGCAAGTTGATGCGGATGTCACGAGGTGCCAGGAGTCAAACATCTAGACGACTGCCCGCTGCCCCCGGCCCTGCCAGGTTAACGGGTATGTCCTCCAGTTGACTCGCACTCAGTCCCAGATCCCCGGTGATGTGAATCACCTCACCCTCGACACTGTGCATGCCGTGCCATCGTCGCCTAGCTGCCACAATGTGCAGTTGGTATCTCGTCTGGATGATCGTTTTGAATGCAGAAATGCCTCGACAGCAGGCGAAAGAGCTTCCTTGTTTCTCTTGTTTCTTTTTCCATCCTTGTCCATCTTGGGAGGAGGCTGTCGGTGTTTTCTTTGGAGAGGTGGTGGTGGTGGTGGTGGTGGTGGTGTTGCGTTGCGTTGTTGTCTGCGTCGTTGGCGAGAGAGTAGCCTGCAAGTTTTTGGTGTAGACTGCGGCGCTTTGATAGAATCGACGGTTGGAAACTCCCATTCATCGCTTTCGGTCAGGTCCTGATCGGACGGTTCTGGGCTTGGTAGCGCATCCTGGTGATGGGCGGATGTGTCGCTGTCGTATTCTTCGTGGAATAGCATGGCTTCCATGTGTGATCGGACGTAGAGCTGCTCCATCCAGTTTGGTTCTTCTTCGCAGGGATTGTATTCGATGCTTGGCCACGGCTCCGAGCTCGCATCTGGTGATTCGGGACTTTGGCTTGTCCGAGCTCGTTTTGCGACTGGTTGCTCGAGAGTGTCGTCGGACTGAGAATCAGATTCGGGTGTTCGCCTGCGCTTCTCTCGCCGTTCGGGACTGGCCATCGACAGCGGCGGCGAGTATGGCGATTGCAGGGCGTGAATGTCGGGAATCTGGCCATTGTGAATGTGAATAGCATCGTGAACGGGGGGTTGCTGCAGCTTTGCCTTTTTGCGGGCCAAAGGCGCCTCGGCGTCGGATTTCCGTTTCGCCATGATTTCGGACGGTAAAGCGCCGATTCTTCCGGTGATAATTCGTGTCGTGGCGATGCGAGCAAACCTCGTGGAATTAATCGTTGGGTGGTGAGGCTGATGTTGGATGTTGAAGCTGCACCGCCTTGTTGATTAAGGGAGATGATCCGAGATGGCTGTGATCACGTGATGGCGAATTGCCCGCCCGGCAATAATAATTGCAGCAACCAAGTAAACAAAAAACCATCCACAGAGTACTAGAGCCGCTGAAAACAAAAGATTGCATACAAGGTGGAGAGCCAAAAATGCATCAAGAATATTAATTATACAAAATGAGAGAAATAATCATCCTCAGTGACCTTTGTACCATGTAATACGGCCACTACATCGGAGTACCTTAGTAGGTTAGTATGCTGCTCGGTGTTTTTGTCACCCTCATTACCTTAGGTTAGTACCTAGTAGTCAAAATGCTGACATAATACAGCGTGAGCATCAAGGGGCTGTAGGCATCAAATGGAATCTCACGCTGAGCTTCTCATACTCATCTTCAAAACAGCATCACTTCTCTCAACGCCATCACCCATTACAATCCTCTCATGACGCGCATCTCATAGACCATCAAAATATCTGTATTACTCACATAGACGACGAACATCCTCATGTCAGGCGATACATCAGAAGCGCAACCGGCGCCTCTCACTGATGTCGTGACTTTTGCCCGCTTCTCAGCCGCCAATACAGCCGCCGCTCATCTCTTGGACAACATCCGATCTGAACTATCACTTTCATCCCTTAAACGCCACGGAAAAACAATTGGCTACGAGTTGTCAATACCGCTATCATCACCCAGCAAGCATGGCTGCAAAGATGTCTGGCGAATAGGCGCCGGTCCACCCACAGCAATCGTTGAGCGGAAATTGGACCATCTCAAGCCAGACATTCTGCTGTGTCCTCCAGATGGATCGCTCAGTGCCACTTTAGCCCGTCAATTCATTAAAGATTTACATGCCACCATTCACTTTCACGCAAAAACCGGTGTGCTGATGCTCAAGACAACATCCAGTCGTCCCGTCACATATGAGCATGGCGATATGCATCACGCAGATTTGGAGCTGGCTTTGCGGAGAATCCAAAGTTGCGTCATGCGACGGACTCAGAATTTTATTCGGTTCGGTGATTATCGCTTCGTTCTTGAATTCGTCGCTCAAGGTCAAGGCGAGGACAGGATCAAGACACATCCAAGTGGTTATCGTGGACTTTACCCTTCACCAGCACTCAACCCCGCCCCGAGGACACACTCCAAAACCTCTTGGAACATTTGGTTACACAACAAGATACCCGATACGTCAATAATATCAGGCGTCAACATTTTCACGGGAGAACCAGTCGCCGTCAAACAGCTACACAACAAAACAGCACTACTACCATACGCCAGCAACCGACTACAGATCGCTCGTCAGTACAATAAGAAGCGAGACAAAGGTGTACTCGGCATCATAGATGTGTGGTGTCAACATAACATCTCGCCTCCCTGCTTTTCCAATGGGCTCGAGAAAGTCAATGACAATAGCTGTGAGCGGACATTCTATTCCATGCCCCTGGCCAAAAATAATTTTCGCGATATGCCATGGGTGAATATCGCATACGAAAAACGCCTTGCATTGTTTCACCAGACATTATTGGGCCTAGTTGAGCTACACCAACAAAGCATTACTCACGGAGACATTATACCAGAGTCACTGCTCATCTTCACCGAACCCGAAGAATCCACATCAAAGGCCCCATTCCCTCCTAGGAGAGCGGCTATTTCCCTCAACATGCGAAAACCAAACAAGAAGCCAGACCCGAGTGTTTGTGTAGCGCCCGAGGTCTGGAGTAGTCAGAGTGAGCAGAGACAAGATCTGGATGAGACCAAACTTGACATTTGGGCACTGGCAGCCTCATGGCTCTTTGCTTTTACCGTCCCACCAAAGAACATGAAGATCACAAAACAGTCATTTGGCGGCTTAAAGATGACATTAGACACTCAATCCAAAAAGGGACTGATAAAGGAGCCACTGGTCAAGCTTTTACGGCAAATGCTGGCATGGGAGCCACAGGATCGTCCGAGTGCGGCAGATGCTCTTGCGGACGAGGTGTGGCATCCCATCCGAGACAAGATGCAACAAGAGGAGGACAGTAGGAAACGGAAGCGGTTGGACATGATGAAGAGTGTTGACGGCGGAGACAAGAGAGTCAGAGTGCTTTCACCTGATCCGGACGAATGAATAGATAATTGTAATATTGACCAAATTTCTCGAATAGCAGTTGCAGTCTGTCAACTGTTCCTGGGTATCCGTACATGAAGCCACATTTGCAACTGAGGAGCTTTATGGAATGGATTACATTTAGTAGCTGACTCTTTAGCTTCGACCTTGGCCCACAGCCTAATATAGCTGCCGCCAAGCCGCCCAACTTTAAAATTAACCGTATCTTATTTTTCAACTTTTATGGGGGGGATCACGGCTTTGACCGACAATTGTCTCTATTTCAATAGGCTTGAATGTTACCAAATGCAACGATAGAACCGCATGAAAGCGGCCACTTTGAGGTGAGTCGTCAACAGGGTAACTAGAAAAGCGAGCTGTTTGTGGCTTCGACCCATCCGCCATTCTTGCTGGATACTATTCTCCGCCACTCACTTACAAGGCCGTTATTTACCAGGGTTTCTTACAAGCCCAGGCTACATGTATCGTATCTCTTTCTCTGTTCATTCTCGTCCCTCGTTAATCCAAATAATACAGCGCGACTGCCTGCCTTTGGCTCCTTGGGTATGTATGTCCCTACCATCAGATTAAGCGCCGACAACCAGCAAAACGCAACAGCAGCTTCCAATATCCTCCATAGTGGGATCGTCAAAGTCTATTAAACAGAGATAGATGCCAACAATGAGATGCACAATTCGTAGCCACAGAAAACCCCGGCCAAACAAGTGTCATCGCGGATTGCGAAACCAATATTTTAACTGCATCGAGTGAACTCGGCATTGTCGTTTCTGCCAACGGCAACACTGCCTGTCGGCACCATCATTAAAGATACAATATATGATAGATATTCATTGCCGCTTTTTTGAGGTGAGTATCTAGCCAAGTATAACTAGGGGAAGGCTGAGTATATCGAATAAATGATGAGAGATAAAATGGTCACATGAAGAGTTACTATGTCATGGTAGGGCCCCGATAGCTGGTGTGCTCGGATCGGACGGCCCATTCATCATGTCGGAGTGTAGAAATATGTCCACTGATTTCAACGCGAAAACAATGGAGAATGGCCAGAAACAGGTTTTCGAAGAGGAAAGGTGTACGGGCTACAATAACGCCGAATGAACAGAGAATGCACATACGAGTCCAAATGTCTACAACCAAAGGCTTCCACTTGATTACAAATGAATTGGTCCTTCATCATCTCTATTTGTTGCAAGTGACGCATTTCAGGAGAGTATTTGGCTAAATAGAACAAGGACAAGGTTGAGTATATTGAATAAATGTTGAGAGATAAAGTGGGTGCTCGGATTGGACCGTCTATTTCTTCTATCCGGGCTTTGAAATCTGTCTAGAGACTTTGATGCAATAACAGTTGACAATTAGGTAGCCTGCAACACGTTTCTGAATAGGAAAGTGCAGGGGGTCAAATGCATCCCGAGTCAATATAAGGTTCGGAGAGTATTAGCAAAGCTCTTAATTTCCACACACCAAAAGTCAAAATTCCACACATTATTAAACTACATTGGGCAAATAGCAGGGCTTAGATAATAATTGTTAGTAAAAAGCATACAAACTGTCATTTCCTCTTATCCAAAGTAAGGTATAGGTAGGTAGTAGCAAGCTATTCAGTTGGATTAAAAGTCATCCAACTTAATTAAAACCATCCAGCTTGATCAAGTTCATCCGCGATAATAGCTTTTGTGTAGAGATGACGGTTTGCATCTTCAAAAATAATTGCCAAACGGTGTGCCTTCCTAATGTAGTTTAACGTGGTGTGGATTTCAACTTTTGATCTGTGGAAATTGAGTGCCTCGATGGTAGCCCAAAAGTCTACAACGAAAGGTTTCGGGATTGATTGCAAATTGATCCGTCTTTTTTCTCCCGTTCTATTTGTCAGAGGTAAAGCCATGATGTAACGCAACTTGCATATCGTTTCTGACCGCTGCGAGAAGATTTCTGACCAGTATCCGAAGAGCTGTCATAATACGTAGGTCTGTTTACTGACTGATTGGGCACTCGTCGTTTTAGCCATGGTCCTTTCTGGCTATATAAACCTTTGCTATTTCCCGTCAAAATATAGGCCGTAATAGCTCTCTAGGCTTCAATCATCTGGTTTTAAACATTGCATTTCAGATTCATTCCAAGGTCCAAATCTATATCAACAAAGATCCAAATCTATATCAACAATGGCAACGGAGACTGTTCTCATCATTGGCGGAACCGGAACCCAGGGAATCCCTATCGTTAAAGGTATGTATCAGCATTCATTTGAGTGACAGCACACTAACATAGGAAAGCATTGACGTCGGATGGTAAATATGCCGTACGAGTTATAACAAGGAACGCGGCTTCATCGGACGCCCAAGTGCTTGCAAAGCTACCTGGAGTTACGATTGTGGAAGGTAACTGCTATGACGAACCAACGCTCCGCAACATCCTCCCCGGCGTCGATCGCGTGTTTGCCAATACTAATGGCCACGCACTCGGTGAAATGGCCGAGATATACTGGGGCATTCGCTTGTATGAGTTATCCCGAGAGTTCGGTGTTAAGCACTTTGTTTACGCCAGCCTCCCGTATGTTACTAAACTTGGCAACTTTAACGACAAATACCAGGCGGGACACTGTGACGGAAAGGCTAAAGTTACCGAATTTATTTCCGCGCAGCCGACAAGTCCCATGGCCTGGTCAATTATAACGTCTTGCTTATACATGGAAAGCCTCTCGGAGTTTTTGGTGCCGATATATGAGCCGAGAGATGACGTGCATGTGTTTGCATTGCCTCTTGGACAAGGTAGATGCCCAATGATATCCCTCGATGACAATGCGGCCTATATCCGATGGACGCTCGACAACCCGTCGCAAAGCAACGGACGGAACCTAGATGTCGTCACAGAGTCCGTCACGGGTGATGAGCTCGCTGCAGCATTTTCCAAGGTTACGGGGAAGAAATCAGTATACAAGGATATTTCTCTGGATGAATATTTTAGCCTTCCCGTTTTTTCTGATCCCGAAGCCAAAGTAGGCGCGTCCGGTGCATCAGCAGCCAATACTCTACTTACTGTTCGAAAGAACTTTTCTGGTCTCTGGAATAGTTGGAAGGATGAGCTATGGGAGGGGGATTATGAAGTGTTGGATCGGGTCTTGCCAACGCGATTTAAAAGCGTGGAAGAGTGGATGAGGAAGACAGGCTATACAGGCAAAGCCGCTCCACTCCTCAAAACCTTGAAGATGGCCAAAAAATGAGCTCGGCTCTTTTGAAGAATCATGTCGCTTGTATCTTGGTCATATATGTGGCAACAAGTTTCCATACAAACAGAGTTGCTGTTGTTCCTATCAATACAAACAACGATAGCAGTTTTCTCTCGCGTCTCTATCTACTTCTTTGCATCCCAATTGGTTTCGCGACTACTCGCGATAGCAGCCACTGTGAGAACGCATGATCCAAGGACTACAGCGGTTCCACCAAAGATCTGAGCGTAGAGGAAATCGCCATCGCCAAGGTCAATCAGTGCACCGGCTATAGGCGGACCAGTGAGACAAGCAAAGCTGACAATGGTGAAAATCATACCAACCCGGACGCCCATCTTTTGGCGGTCCTTGGTCAAACTGCCCACGCTACCCACAAAGAGGCTCTGCACGGCGTTTGCAAAGAAACCGTAGACAATGATCCATGCCAAGAGGCCCGAGTATGAGTGTACCAGCCTCCAGAAGTACAAAAGCACTCCTGCACCAAATGTAAGAGGGATCAACACATGTAGTGCATTGCCGATGACGCGGGCTGCGAGCCAGGCTGGGAAGATGCGTCCTGGAATTCCGATACCGTTGATGGCGATGATGAGGTAAAAAGACTGGGCGGGTGGAACGTGGATGACGTGGGAGCCGAATATTGAAATCTGCGTTTGCAAAGTATTATTAGAAAACTGTACGCCAGAAAAATAAGAGGTACATACATAGTAATAGGCAAAGTAGAGACCCCAGAGGGTTAAGAAGATGCCAATAGCGTAGAGTGAGTAAGGAAGCTCTTTGAAGGCCGTCCATTCAACAAGAGAGCCGGACTTTCTTGCCGCCACTCTTGGCTTCACGACGAGCAGAGTAATTGCCGAGTTGAATACAAACACAAATCCCATCACTCGCACCGACCAAGGTTCTCCAAGACGCGGGAGTAGCTGCTTAGCAATGGCTGGAAACACCATTCCACCTGTGGCAGCGCCAGCGGCAGCAAAGGAAACGGCCAATGCTCTGTTCTTGTCATCGTAGTATGTGCTGATGAGAGAGATCATGGGACAAAAGATGAGTCCATCTCCAAGACCTACGCAGATGCCTTGCGCCAGCAAAAGTTGCCAGTACGTGGTGGCAGAAGCCGCAGCGAATATCCCCAGGATTTGGAGGGCGCATCCTATGGCTAACGTGATACGGAGATATCCTGCATCAAGGCTGCGCCCCGAGAAGGTACCGACGAAAAAGACGAGTAAGAGTTGAATGCTTCCAATCCAAGATATGTCTGACTGCGAGCGGCCCAAGGTAGAAATGTAATAGGATTGAAAGAGGCCCCAAGATCCAATATAGCCAAAGGTATCAAAGATCATCAAGTGACCAGCTAATATCTGAAGATAGGCAGTCCATCTGGAAGGAGATGTTGGGTCCATCGCCGGGGAGGGGGGACTTGACGATGTTTCTTCCGAGGACTCGACAGCCTCGGTCTTTTCGGGGTCGACAACCGAGTTGTCCATTTTTTCGGTACGATTTTGTTTGTGATTTCTCTTGCTAACTTTCTCTTTGATGAACTTTTGAGACACAACATATAGGTGGTTGAGGTTAGCTCTCCGCACTACTGTGAATACGCAGATCACAGGCCTACAGGGGAAGGAAAATTTTCATTGGTAGCGTAGCCGCATCAGCAACTAATGCCGGTCAGAGAGGCAGCGTAAGCGGATGATGCTCAGAAAGGCAGGTTGCTTGACTCCTCCATCTCAAGGATTAATTTGTCGAAACCTGTTCACTTCACAAGTCACAAGGCTGGCACTGTATAGTGGCGTCTTTATGGCGCACATATGGTTTCTACTTGCAAGGCAAAACAGTACGAAGAATGAAAAGCACGGATATTTGGAAACCAGCCAGGAATTGCACCTTCTATTCAGAGACATAAGAAGAGGATACCAGTTCAGGTATTGTCTTGGCGTATCTGATATGCCTAGGATCTTCTGTCCTCAGAGAATATATAATGACTTAGTCACAGTATGACGAACAACGGTGTTCCTGCGCAACAAATCAACCACAACTATGCAAGAGATGTAAGCCCCTGAATGATTCAAAAACTAAATGCAAATTATGCGGCCTAATCTGGAAGTTGCCGGGGAGTTAACGGGACATGAATCGGACATCTCACTTTTGCATGTGGGCTACTAGGCCTATGGGTTACCATATAGAGTATTATTGTCATATCCTCAGAAGTGTTTAGGGTTTTACGTGCTTATAGTGGATCTAACTGTCTAAATCCGGCCGAAGCTGATGGGCGCAGTCGGTAGTTGGAATTGTGCCGAGTCTCAAATGTTACCCCGTCAGCAAAGTACTGACACACCAGATGCTCAAATGTGCGGAAGGATTCAAGGTTAGGATTGGACCTACATGCGCCATGCACACCGCCTGTAAGGCTGGAACTTGCTGATGTTTGTTTGTTTTTGTTTTATTATTAACGTCCACCTGGAACTTGCTGAATACCACACACGCACTATTAAGAATCCGCGGGACGAGCCGCCAACTAAAGCAGAACATCGGATTTTAAATAGAATTAGTACAGAGTAGACTAATTGTTATTGTTATTACCATCAACATGTTTCACGATACTATGTGTTGCTCGTATAATAGTAGTGCTTTCCGGGGTTTAGAAGCTCGTACACTCCGGTAGTTGCGAAACATGGATATTCTAGAAGCCAGGTTGCATCGTACGATGGCAAGTTGCTTGCTTACTTGATACTAGTATATCTCACCTGCGTACCAGAGAGAGTCAGTAGTGCAAGCAAATCTTATGCGGTGAAATGATTCACCGTAGGATTTTACGAGCTGTGGGGCAAAATTTGGCATCTCCTATTGCATATCTTGGGAGGGCTGAAATAAGAAAGCAAACATAATCTTGGCACATGCTTACCAAAGAACATCGTCTTTTGTTCCACGAGACCTTTTGAAGCTTCTGTCCCGCTTTTCATCTCTCTTCCATCATTTTTCAGTCACATCATTGGGGCAGGCGTTGATGCTACCATGCGCGCTCTGGCCAATACGGCAATACAGCCTGGCCAGCCAAGGCAGGTAGGTGTTGACCAGCTGAGATCCTTCTCTTTCCAAAGCCGGCTCGGGCGTATTAGTTGAGGCGATCTATCAAGGGCTTAAAAATCCTCTTTCCTAATCAAGGAGCCTATGGATGCAGGCATAACTGGGGCAGGCGTAAGTAAAACACTAGTGGCAACATGCGTCGTCTTATATAATTCATCGTATAATTCTATCATATATACGACTATAAATAGGCTATTCAGTGTTGTCCTGATACTCGACTGCTTGGCATGAATCATTAACATCTTCAATTCAATCATCCATTCACAGTATATATATTGACCGCAAAGTCCTTCGCAACTGCTCCTTCTTTCATCCAAATCAATACCCCATACAGCATCTTTCCTTCCTGAATTCTCGGACTACTCTTTCTTAATCTACTTTGCCTTTGTTTCAATATTCTCAACATGTCTATTTTGGCTTCGAAAACTATTGCCATCAACATTGTTGATGTGCAAGATGGCCATGGTTTTGCCGTCGAATCTCAGCTTGGAGACTTCAACCGTTTAGCCCTTCTGGAGGCTCAAGTCAAAGAGCTTACACAGTGGAAGCGATCAATCAGCCCAGCAATCACTTCTGTCTCATCCAGTGATTCAGACTCTGGATCAGATTCTGATACCCCCTCTTCAGAACTATCACTTGATACAAAGGAACTTCTTCCTCCTCCCGTTTCTACTGGCGACGTCGTCAAGCCCTCAAAGGCTGCAGCAAGGAATAACCTCCCAGCAAAGAAGCCAGATATGGATATGACATCTCGTATTTTGACCATCATCCAAGGATACGGTCATAACGAAGAGAATGCTGAAGGTGAACAATGGCTGGGTCGCGCAAAGTTCGTTCCACGTGTTCAAAAGCATGTTGACAGCAATGTACCAATCGAGCTTGTCCTTCCTGCATTCCCCTGGAAGAGTGTGAACAAGGTGGAAAAGGTTCTTGGAGCTTTACCTGATTTGGGCGAGGAGCTGGCCCTAGGCCGTCTCCAGAATCTCTGCGAGGATATCCAGGAAATTTACGCCCCTGGAGCTTACGTGACCATTACTTCAGATGGCCTTGTCTATAGCGATCTCGTGGGTATCTCGAGCGAGGAGGTCTTTGAATACGGATTGAATCTGCGACGTATGGCTGAGGCAAAGGGTTATGACCGTCTCAAGTTTATGCGAATCATGAACCTGGTTGGCGTTAGCGACAGCATCCAGATGACCAAGGAGGAGTATGTCAGCCGCGTCGATGAATCCCGCAAGATGCTTGTGGAAAAGTACATGCCCAAGGGATTTGACGCTCGTGAGGCCATCGCCAACGATCCAGATATCAACCTCACATATTGCGGCTACATCATCTTCCTCAACAAGGATTTACGGTACAGCCCTGTAACAGCCAATGTTACCACCAAGGGAGAGTATAAGCGAACCGTTAAGCGAGTCGCCAGCGACATGATTACCCGTGGCAAGGTAAGATCTTTATTTTGGGCAACCCCAGCACTAGTTACGTTGCATAGCCTTTAAGCTAACATTAACATTTTGCAGGCCTTTGCTGCTGCTATTGATGACAACTTTCCCGACCACGTTCGTCTGTCTATCCATCGATCCACCGGTACCAACAAGCTATCTTTCCCTCTGATCCCCCAGCCGAGCCACTTCTCCATGACCCCTTGGCATTGCTGCCTTGCCGTCACTTCCAAGGGCCAGTTCCGCACCGCTCATGCCATTGAGTTACGCGAGTCATTTGATGTCATTGAACAAAACGGACGGCCCTACTATTACCGCGACCGATCTGATGTGTGGAAGTGGGATGTGCCTGTTGAGTTTGAGGTTTTCTACCCTAGAGGACTGTATATCCGAGCGAAGACAGCTGAGGGTGAAGCTGCGCCAAAGATTGGTCCTAATGAACTTGCCAAGATTAAGAAGCTGAGCAAAGGATTTTCGCCTGTTATTCCCATGGGGTTTGCTTAGTTGTATGGGGATAGTCAATAAGTTTGTTTTATTCCCTTGTCGCGATAATTAGTGTATTCCCCTTCTCTTTTCTACTAGATAAAAGTTTTGCTTTAGCTATCGATACAATTGAGCGATGTTTTGTTCCAACTACTTGAATAAATGTGCTACTTATGTTTGTTTACCCTCTAATATTTGGAGTTTGATCACATGCAGTAGCTGCTGTGACTGTTCGATGAGTTATCGCGTGACAGAGACTGTCGGATTTGAAACCTTAAGGCGCTGCCCTCTAAGAAGCACTGGCTTACGGCGCTGTTTTTGCTCGATATGGGTCTTACAGGGGATGTCAATGCTACGATGACATACTTTGTACATGAATTCAGCACGCCACACTCCCCGTTTTATAACAATTAACTCAAAGTCATCGGGGAATTATTAATTGCATGCATTTACGTGCATACTCCCGCTTGAAGCTGAACTATGTGAGTACATGCACTGATTGTGTCTCGTCGTCTTGACTCAATAGGGCCTGATCGCTTCAGCTGACAGTATTGGTGTATGCTCGTATCGATGGCGAAAGCGATTATCCTGATTATTCTAGTATACGTAAAGGTGTATATCTCTACGTACTCCAGAGCCAATCTTCAGATCTTAATATGGCTTACATTTGTTACCCAACATCGCTCGCCTATTTCATGGTGGCCGTAAGAATTGACTAAGTTGAATCTAAGCCAACGCATACAAATTCCGGAGCCGAGGCTATGAGATTAGCGTGTATCGCTCGGCACTGTCAGAGTAAAATCTCTTTCAAGCATTCGGAATTACTTTTGCAAAAAAGCGAAACTCGATGCGGCCTAGCCTATGTTCTTTCGCATTTTTGGTAGTTTCTTACAGAGATAAAGAACTCAGGCAATGGACTTATTACGTAGTAAGATTTATGATCAGATTTTTCAATTAATAGATGCTCAGTAAACTCTTCAACTTTATTGCCCTCTCCTCATAACAAAACATCAAATCAAGTCTATACTAGCTATAATGCCCCAACTTGTTATAAACGCTTATTGTGCCTACTGCTTGTCCTTGGCGAAAAAGCCTTGGTCACGGTAATCCTTCAGCACCGACGAAGGCTCTCCGGTATAGCCAACCTTTACCATCCATTCCTTTACCGACTTGACTCTGGTGGGCAAAATGTCATCCAACAGAGCATAGTCCCTCTTGGTCAGCTCATCCTTCCAGGTATTCCAGAAGCCCGAGAAGTTCTGACGGAACGTAAACAGGGTGGAATCATTGCCACCACCTGCAGCACGACCAACTATGGCATCTGGCTCGGGGAAGATTCCCAATTTAAAGTATTCGTCCAAACTGACATCCCAGTGAGTTGCCTTTTTGCCGGTAACCTCTGTAAAAGCCGCAGCAACATCCTTCCATGCAATATCTTCAGTTCCAACATGGAGTTCAAGGCCGTTGCTGCGCTCTGGGTGGTCAAATAGCCATCGGGCGTAAGAGCCATAATCTTCGAGATAAATAAGTGGCATCTTTGCAGTTCCAATGGGCAGAGCAAAGAGCATTGTTTCAGGGTCGCTCGGGTTAGGGAAGGGTCGAAGAAGTTCCGATAGACCTTCCATATAGAGGCATGAGGTTAAGACAGACCATGCCATTGGCTTAGTTGGCTGGGCTGCAATGAAGTCGACAACCTTGCCCTTTCCATCCAGATGCCCGGTTCTGTACTTGGGGTTGTAGTTTCCGAGCCTAGTTGCATATTCAAGACCGGCATAGAGGAAATGCTTCAGGCCAAACTGCCGGGACAATTCGTAAAGGCGGGTACCCCAATAGACCTCGGCCTTTTCTCCAATAGCAAAACCATTGGTGTTGGCGAAAAGGTATGAGACGCCCTCAAAAGCTTTCAGAAGGGTGGGCTCATGGTAGCTATCCCCCTCAAAAATCGTGACTCCGGGGATTGCGGCAAGTTCCTTTGCTTCGGGAGAAGAAGCATTCCTGGTAAGAACGCGGACGGCATATTTACCGTCAGACGCAAGGGCTGCAAACAAATATTAGTGAACAGAATTCTTTTTTAAAACACAATTAAGAGTATACCTTTGACGACAGGGACTCCCTGGGCACCAGTGCCACCGATAACAAGGACTGTTTCAGGCATGTTGTAGATGTGGGGAGTAGAGGTTATGAATTGAGCTTGAGCTTGAATGTTTCTTTGTAGTTGAGTAATTGTTGTGAAATTGTTGGTGAGGATAATGTTTGCTCTCTGGATATCAAGAGGACTTATATAGACAATTGTATCAACTAGCATTGAGCGAATTCGTCAGGCCACTTTGCTTTAGGTTCAGCTATTATTGAATTCTTGTTGCCAGCCTCGGGCAGATTACATCACAACTGCGCGGGCAACTTTCCTCCAAAACTCCGCGACTAGGGATGATACGCATCACTTTGGTTTTGGTCTTGATTCAGAACTATTCATTGCCGCTGACATATTGGTTCCCACGCTTGAGCGGTTAGTCATTCACTGCATTGCGTAGAGTTAAGTTCACGGTAAACTAATCAGCCGGGCGCTGTGCTGAAGGATGAAATACTAATCATCGTGGTTTAGTGTGTAGCAGCCATGCATAACTAATCACGTCAGATCAGTAATCATTAATTCACATAAGAAGTCTATCTGGAAGCATATGCTTTGAAATGTTTCAATCGGAGCATACAAAATTCCATTCGCAGAAGCAAATAGTCTTTTGCTTTATAATTATGGAACTCAATGTATCGTTGGATGAGATTTAATGGCAAAAAGAATATTAAACAAATTGATGAATCTGTAGACAGGGTTGTTGCTACTGTGCCGCTACTCGCCCTAGGACTGTGCGATTATTCGCGAAAACTCGGCCAGAGGCAAGCCTCATCACCATACAAGACAGCAGATTAATAAAGGCAATTCATAGGGGTATACCTATTAAAGCAAGCATGCGTCGTAAAACATCGATTTCTGTACGTGCCGCTGCTAATGCAACGTTGTCTCTTTTTCCCTTGAAGAATCAACGCTAGAACTGAGTAAGATACAAGTGCATAGTAGAGCAGCGTCACTGCTGAAAAGAAGCAGTTGGAAACAATTGGTACAAGTTGACCAATCTATTCCTGTGTTTTTACGGGATCAGTAATCATTCCAGCTAATACAAGCCTTCGGTTTCTCATGAAATTATGTAAAAGTGAGGTAGATTACATTGTCCTGTTGTCTATGCCTAGTGAACCCGGGATAGTATACCAGAGTCTCAAATCCCGTTTGCACCAACAAGACGTACAAAACGTACAAATTCACCCGTTACAGATGAAATGCCTCAAAAAGTATACACCTATGGGTATCTCCAAGTAAAGAAAGTCTTTCTACTTCTGGCCGTGGAACTGCTTCTAACGAGTCAGCTTCAGGACTAACCGTAGACAAGATGACATGCTTGAACTTGCCGTAGAAAGCTTCAGGACTAACCGTAGACAAGATGACATTGCACCACGCAATGCTCTCTGCTGCCTTTATTTCGCGTGATATTTCTTGTATTTTCGCCCGGACTATTGTAAGGCTAGTTTAAATGTTTAGGTTAGGCATCTAAAATGTAACACCATTTCTCGGGTACAGGCTACCCCTTTTCACTTGAGAGAAGCCTTGACTATTAACACACCCTGGCTATTACAGGTAGAAGGAGTCAGATGTATGGGCACGTCAGTAGCATTTTCATTGTTCATACGCTCTCGGCCTCTCCGTGGATTGCTGCTCCCACGCGGCGTCGTGATTATGGAATTTCTCCGCTCTGTCTGCACTAAATCCTTGGACACAGCGGTGCATCTGGACGGCGACCTAGACAGGGACCCAGACGGCGACCACCAGCTGGGATGGGCCTATGATCTTTCTGATTGCTCTATGGTGATCATTGAAGGAGGGTAGCATAACCGGGCAAGAATACAGCTATTGGAGGAAAAAGATACAAACAAAAACACGTTGGGCGGACGCAGTAGGACGTAGGATTCCTCTAACCTACGATGTGGGTCAATATCACCTCGGAAAAAATGTTGAGCCATGGCGTGGGGTCTCATAGATGGCCCAATGATGGTCTTTATCATTGCTTGAACCTCAGATACCAGAGGACATATTCTGCGGTCTAAGCGAAAGAGACTTTAACCGGGCGTTTCCTCTTCAATGTCGGCATCTCAGAGAAAGGATGATGTATGCGACGGTAATATAGATGCGGACAAAGGTCCTTTGACAGGAACAAGTAGTATTTTGCCTTGTATTTCCTAGACCGTATGACGCGTTGGCTTAGGCCGAAAGCGAGTATCAAGCCTGACCCATCGACGCGTCAACGCTTCCAACTGCCGTCTCAAGGACAGGCTGATCATGATAAGTCTTGGAGGTGACAAATATTTTACTAATTCCAGTGGTTCTCCTATCAAGCCCCATGTAAACAGTCACAGTCTACACTCTAGGCTTATAAACTTCAGGGGGTCGCTGCTTTTGCCAGACGAGTGCCCACGGTACCAGTGGCTCCGCTAGCGAGAACAAGCCTCATAATTTTATTCGAACGCCTACTTTACTCTCCTAATCGGTTTCTCGTACATAGTCTGACAATCTAACCCTTAACAAATCAGATGAGTTGATAATAGCTAATAGTGGTGCTTTAGATCACGGGCAAGAAGGCTTACTTGCAAGGGGCAAAGAATTGGGGATACGGAATACCTCTTCTTACACCAACGTTACATTATTTCTAAGTGACAGAGGGACTTATCAATGCCAATCTTCCTCTCATATAGACTAGCCGGGCGACTGGTATACCAATTCACTCTGTACAAGAGGAATTTTGTAGATTAATTCAAAGACCATGTATGATCCAATGAGGGAATCATAAGGGGATACTCTCCTGGGCATAATAATTTCCTTCGGGAATAATTTTACGTGAGAATGGGTTGTGAGGACGCTCGGTCTTCGGGTTATCAAGTGTTCGGAGCTCCGAGTTCACTCTCATCAATTTAAGACTACGACACTTCATCCCCGTGCTTCCTTCTATCAGTGACTGATTTGTATATCAACATAAATATAACCTAATATGCCCTGTTAATCAGATACTTGATACCATTTACTCATTGCAACGAGTATTTTAGCATTTAGAGACCTCGCACGTTGATATATGGTCGGATGAGGTAATGCGATAGTGCGGGTGGCGACGGACAGTGTATACGCGGAGCGGTTGGCCAAATTGCACCTCCCGATGTCTGGCATGTTGCTCATAAAAACTAAAAGATTCATTTACTATCCTCTATAGAACATTTACTTAATCTTCTTGATCCAAATTAGCCAATAATGCTGCGTGGAATCAGAAGTTGTGGGCGTCTGCGCATTAGTCAAACCGCCTGTTTAATAATCGGATTATTCTATCCCTTTTTATAGGCATCAGCTAAAACTACAGCGCCTCCCCGACCAGCGAAAAGTAAGATACAACTTTCATGCGTTCGCCGACCTGCAAGAATGACTCGTTCGAATGTCGGCGATTCAATTAAGGAAGTGGCCGGAATTCATCGCCAGACGTTGACTGAACGGCGAAACAGCCAACATCGCATCGGCGCTCGATCGGTCAAAATTCGACCAAAGAGGGCGCAATACGTGGCCAACGCCTGGTGAGAGAACGCAAGCCTTGCTTCTCTCGCCAAATGGTTTATACATGAGAGCTTGGTGATGTTGGCTTGCTAACTTAAATTGTGTCATCTTATTCAAGTGATACATGTCGAGGACGCAGAGTCCGCTGCACCGGGCAGAAGCCCTGCGAGCGATGCTCAAAGTTCGGTATTCATTGCGACTATGGAGATGGAAGTGCATCTGCTTCAGTCACTGAAGTTATTGAGACTACCAGGTATGTTCTTCCATCCCCATATACCTTTTCATCCGGGCATATGTCCTGGGGTTATCTGTTGCTGACGACGTGGAATTGAAGCAGTGAAATTCAAAGGCTCAAGGACAGCGTAGCTGCTATGCAAGGCAAGCTTAACTTGATGTTCTTAAGCCTTGAATCTATTCAGAAGCAGACAAGTGTTCGACCGGAATCTCATATCAATGCAAACCTCGAGACCGATATGATGATACATTCGCCGTCCTGGAATTTCCCTTTACGCTCAGCCACGATACCGTCCTCGATAACAACAGCACATGGTGCTCGCCGAATATCTCCATCCCTATCATTTAAGGGATTTAGAAGCTCTGATACGAATTTACAATTGGTGCAGCGTTACCTTGGTGCGTCGCAACATGGAGAACGCGAGTTGCCCATTACTCCCTAGTCGGCAACACCGCCGATACTCTCGGCTGGAGGAGAAAGCAGCCGAACAAGGATACAGGAAGTAGCTTCTCTAGCTAACCCATCCCATAAACTACTATGGCTTATCAACCGTGCAGAGGCGGTTCGGTTGTGTGATCTCTACGAACGTGAAATAGGAACGATCTATCCTATAGTCGAGATGAGAGAAGTGAAAGACAATCTTGGTTCGCTGTATAGTGCTTATGAAGCTATGAAGTATTCGCCGGGGTCACATAAGCCTGGTGTGCAAGTGCCAGAGAACATGGTTGATAGCGACGTTCAGACGTTGAAACTCATTTTAGCGATAACACTGCTAGCGGAGGGTGGCGGTCGACTACAATGGCAGAAGCGATGTGTCAAGAGGTTCAACAGCAGCTGGTTTTCCCAATGGGACGGTTAGGCGAGAGGAAGGATATTGAGAACATGGCACTCTTAGTTCGTACCTTTTCCATTCTTTTCATCAACTATGTAATACTTTCACTTTTCTTACTTTCACTTTTCTAACGTATTCGACGTTACGCAGGGCATCGAGAATCAAGCATGGCGGATGATCGGGCTTGCTGTACGCCTGTGTATCGAACTTGGCTTACATCAAACAAAGTCCTCACACCGAATCCATAACAACTCCAAAACTTCTGCGAGAGAACTTACACTGTTCTGGGATGTTTATATCCTTGACCGACGCTTTAGCCTCAGCACGGGCAAGCCGTTTGCCATACAGGATATAGATATTGATCCAGCGTTACCAAAAACCAGTCAGTATTATTATCTCTCAGATGGCACCAGCATTTTATATAACTCGTGCCTCTGGTGCTGCTGTTATCTCTCTCTCTGCAGTGTACTATGTCTCACCTCGCTTACCAGTATAAGGATAATCTATCACCATATATCCGCAGCATGATCGCGTTTGCAAACATAGGATCTCGTGTATGGGCATCACGCATCTGCATCGAAGGCAACAGTTTATATGGCGATGGAGAAGAAATTACTTACCTCGATTCCCAAATCCAACAGTGGAGCATCACGCTCCCTTCTTCATTGAGGTTATTCGACCCTCAAGCTTCTTCCCTTGAGGAACTAAGCATGGCCCCATCTCACAAGATACCCTTTGACTTTACTTCCATAGGAGACAAGTCCTTGTTCATTCGCGCACTGCTCTATCTACGCGCCAATGAGCTTCGTATCTTGATCTATAGACCTGCGCTTCATTCAGCTGCTTCAATCCAGAAGAACCCTCTGAGTGCGCGCACTGCCGTCAACGTTGCACGGCGCTCACTCAACTTATTACTGTATCTCTGTCGCCCGTCAACCCTTCATCCTATGCATCACGTCTGCGCGAACCATTTCCTGGCTTCTTCACTTACTGTCTTGTTCCTCGCGGTCACACACGCACTAGAAGATTTGGATGCCGAAGTACGTGATCAGTTACTCTCCGCTCTTAGCTTGCTGGAAGACCTCAGCACGACGACTAGCCACTTAGATAGCCTCTGGTCTACTGACCGAAATTATCGAGACCAAGTAAAGAGACTTGGTGGAAGGCTCCAAGAGGGGACGATTCGGAGCACTCAGGCAACACCAGCAAAGGACATATTCTCTACGTCAATGCAAGACATGGAACACTTTCCTATCGGGTTTGGCACAGAAGAGGTTCCGATGTTTGACTGGGATATCACAGCCGGCCGGCCTTTGCCTGAAGAATGGTTCGGCGACTTGCAAAAACCAAGAGGACAATGGCTTCCAGAACTTGACTTCTCGTAAAGCGCATTAGAAGACTAAGAAGTAGTCTCGGGAATCTAGGCTAAGATACGTATAGCCTCTATAACTCGTGGTGTCTTTAAAGAAGCTTCTTGTTCTTCAAAACTCGCTTAAGGGTGGTTTCCAGATCTTCCTTCGGTATATCCAGGACTTCGTTCCACCTCGTTGCGCGTCCTCCAAAGTCGCAAAAGCCCCATGGCCCGTGAGTCGATCCAGTAGCCGAATCGAAATAGCCCTTTTACCATTCACCGTTAGCGATCGTCGGCCGCCCTCTTTCTGCTATCTCCACCGAGGAAGCCCGTGAGATGGCTATCTTCTTCCCCAGTAACCTCTCCAACCCCTCAATCACTTCATTCCGACATACTTTGAACGAATTGACATATACCTGCTGATTTCTGGTGATATCGGGGTGCGTTAATGCTGATGCAATCGCTTTTCCCACGGTCTCAAAATTCGTTGCGTCATATCGCTGGTTGCCCGAGTCATATATCGTAGCCTTGTAGTCTTCAATCTCCCAACCCATCAGACCAGTACCAATCTCTAGCAGCTGTGAGATATTAGCTACTATTTTCCTTAGTCAGATAATCGGATGTTCCTACCGAGTCGAAGAATGGACCCGTATACAGAGCAGTCCATGTGAGGCCCTCGGGTTCCTTGCTCTTCAGATATGAAAAGACTTCCTTTTTTCCCTGGGCAAACGGTGTAAACTTCTCAATCTCAGGTAGTGAAGTATCACCGCCATATTCGGTGGAAAGAAATCGTTTCACGCCCGCAGCTACAGCAGCATCAATAGCATTCTTTTGTATAGTAACATCGCTTGCAGCAATCACTGAGATGACAGCATCTTGACCAGTGAAAATAGAAGTGAGAATCTCTGTTGTGTAGTCGCGTTTATGTACCGTAACGTAGTCGGGAAAAGAAGATTTGGAGAGCGGTCGCACAACGACTGATACGTTAAAGTCGAGTTCCTTCAAAGCCGGAATAGCAACAGAGTTCACACTTCCAGACGCCTAAATGATAAATTATAAGCATGCGCTGTAAGCCTATCGGCTTTTTTCTGAATGGCTTACTCCCAGAATAATAACATTCTTGATCGTGGCGCCCATCGTATGCCTCGGAAACTATGTCGTAGATTGCGCTTCAAAATGCAACAGCAGCTGCGATACTTGTGTTTAACAGCGATAGCCACTACAGTATTATAAAGGAGCACATTGATGCTTGCAGCTTAGATAACGGATCGTAATTACCATGTTTATGTTGGCTTATGGGTCAGATTTATTTGTAAGATTTTTTTTTGTCATTAAACACGAATTATCTATGTACAAACATTTCAAATCTGTCAATTAACTAAAATTTATACAAAGTATTAATACTTTAGGAGGAGATATAAGCAGAAGTGTGGACGCGGAAGCGGAAGCGGAATTGAGATTAGTATAGAAGTGGATGTAGAATGTCAGCAGAAGTACAATGGAAGCGGAAGCGGAAGCGGAAGTAAATTAGGAGCAGTAGTGATATCAGAAAAATAATAATATTAAGTGCTCATAAATCGTGAAAAAGGAAAAAAAATAAAGAGGGACGGTGATCGATGTCACAGGTGCTACGCAGTGATATCGATTGACGATGTTCATCTCGGTAACACTGGTAGCTTTACATGGCGCCGTCAATACGGAATTTCTTTTAAACAGAAACGCATATTAATGTATATAACAGTTAAAAGAAAGTCATTTAGTATGTATAGATACCATTCTATGTTACAATCTATGTGGACACTTCACCCATCACTGGTGCCCAATGGCATAACTACGCTCACACTGACTATTATGTCGTCCAGATTGTTGAGCTTTTGTGTTCATCACATCCACTACACAAAAATTCACCAACTATAATATCTTCATAACCATCATTAACACTTTATTTCTTTTTACCATTCTTCCATTCAATTCTCTTCGTGATTTTGTTGTCAACCTCTTGAGTGTGTTCTTTCTTCTCATTGAATCACTCCTCCGGACTTTTCTCAAGACTATGCTTAGTCGACAATATATCCTTGTGTTCCTTGTCTCGCCGATGATATTCTCGCTCAGCCGATTCTAATTTGCGCTTATTTTCTTCAATCTTTGACTCACTCTCGGCTTTCTTCTTAGCTTCTTCGAGAACTTTGCGGTAATAATCGACCTTAAGCTTTGACTCAACAACGCTCTGCTCCGCCTTAATCGCCACTGCTTCAAAATCAGCCTTGCTAGTAGCCGACTCCTGGATTTTCTCGACGACAAAAGTCTCAGCAACATCTGTGATGAGGAGCTCCCCGTCTTCCTCGGGGATTATCATTGGTGCCACGTAGACTTCCTGAGTTGCGGCTTTGAGAAAGTCGTTGACCATGGCGGCGTCAGGATGGGTACCGTCTTCGAGAGTGAACTTTTGTGAAATCACATCACTTGTGATCTGAGGTGAGTACTTGTCGATGGCGTCCTGATATATACCTCCGAGGCTAGTCTGTACGTCCTCGTTGGAGCGGATAAAGGCGGCGGCTTCTTCGGCACTGACAAATGTGTGCCCGCTATCAGTGGCGACTTTCAGCATGTTCTTCTGGACAGCCTCGAACTTCTCTTTGCGCCTCTTGGGTGATAGCTCAATTTGCAGATGCTCGTTGATCTGCTGGAGGGTATAGGTGCTGGCCTCCGGAGATCCCATGGCCAAGGTGGAATTCTGGTACGACGTGCCGCCGGTGATGGAGTCGGTGATGCTGATATGTGTCTTGCCATCCCAGAGTCCTCCCTCCCTGTACTCACCCGTGGCCTCTGGTGCCTTTGAGACAAGCTCCACCAGTGCTGGTACGTCTTTATTTTCGCATATGGCGATGAACTCAGCTTGGTTTTCCTTGGTAAGTTCCAGGCAGCGCGGCTTCTCCAACCTCTCTAAAACGTCTAGTTTATGGGAGAACATGTTCGCGATGACGCCGGCGTCGCCGCCAAAACCGGCCGCCAGGTTCATCCAAACCGACTCCTAGTGAAGTTCCTTATTTTTCTCTCTTAGCTAGTCTACGAAAGTCTCGTTGGGGTTTTTAATTTGGTGTTAGATTATATATCAAACTCTTTCGCCAGCGATAGGCCAAATGTACGACGCGAACTAATTGTTAAGGCGATCTGCAAAGGGGGTTAGGCCGTTGCTGTAACCGAGGATGACAATACGATATTTGCCTAGCTAGGCAGGGTTATATATTACGCCCTAATGCACTACACCGAACATAAAGTAATGCCAGTCCGTCAATGGTGTTATCTAGTAGATGTACTTGCAGGTAGCATCGTCGATGATGGCGCGGTGGTGGCTCAGGTGGACAAAGTTGGGGCCTAGAAAGCCCACAGTTGGAATGTTGTTGATGTTGCCGCCGTTGAGCATGGTTTCACGGAGGAGAGCCTCGTGGTTGATCATATGCTGTTCTCGCAGAGCCAGCGTCTCGCCGCGGAAGTCCTTGCTGGCGTTCCATTTGAGGGCATCCATAATGGCAGGGTCATTCGGATTGTCGCAACCGAAGTAGCCGTTGATGCTCTTGAAGAAATTCAGGCTTGTGTCCCGTCGGCTGAAGAGCGACTTGGCTATGGCCGCATCGACAGGGTGCTCCTTGACATACAGATAGAGATGCTGGGTGCCCTCCCCATCGATGGCGTGCTGGGTGTGTATGCCCTCAGTCAGCTCGCCTGTGTAGGCCTTTTCGGTATATTCGTTGAACAAGAGGTGGCCTTTGCTGTTCCAGCCATTGTTTTTGAAGTCGGTGACCAGGGGCCGTCCGCTCACTCAGGTCAACTAGCTGCGGCTTCACGAAGCCCGGCAATTCTCCAGAGTGACCGGTCACCAGTGGATATTTAATTCCTGGGAGACTTTTGGCAATGGAAATGATCTTTTTGGGGAGGTTAGACATATTGGATGAAGGGAATAATAATAGAATAAATATTCGGAACGAGAGTATTAGCTATGGTTGAAGAGAGGATCATGGCAGAGTAGCGGTAAATTCACTGCGAGATGAAGAGGTTGGCAACACATGTAATTATATAAATTTACATGGATCAACTTTCGGGCTGGTTATGCAGCAGCTGAAGCCATCATCAGCTGGGCTCAGCCTCTGCAGCTAGACACGGCTGGAATAAGGCTGCCGAGATGCTATTGGCCAGTATTGATTATTGAGACGCGGGAGTATCCGCCACCGGTGCCAATAGTGCCATAGAGCTATCCCATTCTCGTCACCTCTTCTTTGTTGAGTAGTTTGAAGATTGGTCTAGGCTGTGCCACACCGCGCTGAGTCCAGCTGAACTACTGTTCTAGATCTCAGAGCTGAGTCTATTGAAGTGAAAATGGCTTCAAGATGACAAGGGACATTGCTGGGAAAACATTCCATCCGTCTGCGCCCAACATTGAACTTTCAGCCGAGGAATCTTGGAGTGGTTGGCTCTGATGGCAAAATATATAAAATAAACGAGCCCAACTGCATCACTCTCAACCATCCTCTTTCTTTATCCTTCTTTCACCATATTAAACACATCCATCTCTTCAAACATGGCCAATCCCACCAAACAAAAAGGCGGCCTAAGCGCCCAGGTCATGTCTGATACTGGCATCACCTACCTCTACGGCTACCGTTCCGTCTTCATCCGCCCAATGGACGTTGACCAGCGTGCTTACGTTCATGCGGCTGCGGCCAAACAACCCGGTGCTGTTGAGGTAGACATTGATCTCACCGCCGCAGCGAGTGCCAACGTTCCAGGCAAGCCCTTCACCATCAACATCTACGCTGAAGAGCTCTGCTTTGTGACAGGCACGTCGTATTCGCTTCCGGGAGTGTCTCTTTCTCTCCACTGCGTCTCGTCGTCTTGCCCTCATTAGACGCTACCTCGGCGAGCACTCCCATCTCGTTCAACCTCAACGGGCTTGATAATACCGCGGTTGCCAGCACTAGAACCACTCCGCCCACAGCCAGGGGGGCCGATGCTCCCGGCCTCTACACTCTTGAACCAGATACCGGCTTCTTTGGAAAGCTCTATGAAAAAGCCACGGGGGACACAGTAGTCATACAGATCAGGTACAATGAGGCCAAAGGGCCCCCAACTTGCGCAGAGACCGGTGTAGCCGGCAAGAATGGCGACCCTGGGACCCGTGGCAATGATGCCGGCAGCTTCAAAATCTATGTAGAGGAGCTGGAAAACTCAACCATCGCCGCCGAGGGAGTGACCAACAAGGTGTTGTTTGCTATCAGCCTTAACGGAGGCAAGGGAGCACGCGGCCAAGACGGCCAAGACGGTGGCAACGGGGGCCCTGGTATTGACTGGACAGTATCAGAGACCTGCATGCTCATGGTAGAGGATTTCAAGGATCCTGAGATCCTCCTCGGCTTCCTCGGCGGTCTCGGAGGTGCGGCCGGCCGTGGAGGTCCCGGCGGTCGGGGAGGAGCCGCAGGGACAGTGTCCATCTTCGGGCCCGAGTCTGTGGCTCAGAAACTCCAAGCCATCTTCACGGTAGAGAATGAGAACGGCTCTAGCGGTGCCAATGGCAACCCCGGGCGGCCTGGCAAGCAAGGCCCTTACAGCCGATCCAGATTATACCAGCCCAAGTATCGTAGTGGCGAGTGGGACGTCATGAAGTCCATAATCCAGCCAAACTCGCCTTATCGCAAGGTCTGGGATGTTATCACTGCAACCGTCACGGGATTGCAGCATGTGTGACCAGTACCTCGGCAGGATCAAAGGCGTCGTGGGTATGAGAGCCAAGTTCAAGGCGTTTATACGCGCTGTCCAGGCCAAGCACACGCTCATCTCGGAGTACAACAGGGTCTTTACCCGGCTGGCCGAGATTGAGCTTCAGACACAGAAAGAAAAGGCCATCCAGGCATCACTTCAAAGCCAGGTGGGCGTTGTGTCCGATGCCAGCCTCCAGGCTGGCTGTGGCGGCGTTCATGACCGTGGCGTATCATCAGATTGGCAAAAACACGATGAAATTGGTATACTCCATGATGCGTGCCTACAACTGCGCGTCATTCCAGTACTCCGGTGTTATCGGTCTTCTCAAGCCTCTGCACTGCTTCAGCGATGTCACCGCCCAGCTACTTGATGTGGCCGTCAAGACGCGCCTCAATCAGGACTTTGGGGCCTTGTTTCAGAATTGGGCCAAGCGACCAGCAGTGGAAGAGGAGATACCGGTCGAGATAACAAAAGAAAACGGCACCTATCTCGAACTGTTCCAGAAGACGAAGAGGCTTAACTTTGACCTTACATGGACCGAGGCCGTAAAGGCTGGCTTTGATGAGTCGTGGTGGGATATCCGGCTGGAGTCGTGCGAGGTCTATCTTCACGGTGCCACGGCCAAGGGCAACATTGTGCGTGTCAAGATTAGCAACACGGGCGCGTTCCGGTTCTACGCCAAGGAGGGCCAGCTGCACATTTTTGAGTTTGACACGTCCATCCGCCCGTTTGCGTACAAGTACAGCGATGACATGAAGACTATGGAGCCGACTACAGAGCCAGTGCAGGGAGAGACATTTTCACTGTCGTTTGAGGCTAATCACCCGGCCGTTTACCTGCAGTCGCCGCTAACGGGTTGGACAGTGGAAGTAGGGGATAATGTCGATCTCTCAGGGCTGACCAAGGTTGAGTTTCGCATAAAGGTTCTCTACCGTACAAAGTAACGCATTGCACACTAGACTGTTATGTTATGACTTAAACTACTATAGAGGCTGTTTTGATAGTTGAGAAAATAGGATCAGTGAAGCTGTATATCATCGTCTGGGTTGCCTTCGGTTGTTGGATATTCTAAACTTGATCTGGCGGATAGACATCTGAGATTTGACCAGGAAAGGATTTGGGGAAGTCCCCGTCTTTAGGGGATTAGAGCATTAATCTGCATTGTGTGTTGAATATTCTACGGTGATATCTCAGGTTTGATCGCATCTGACGCTATTCAATCCTGCAAGTAGTCGCTTTTTTCAGCAATGGATATAAATCCCATCACCATCCTGTTTAATAATTCTATAGACGATTGTTGAGGATCCCCTAGCGGCGCTAAACTGTCGGCGGGTTTTGATGAAGGCAACATCCACCATGAGACACACATTGGCCGCTGCAAGATGAAGTATTTATATCGTGCTTGCTGATGGGAAGAAGAAGCAAAGTGTTTTATATTAAGAAAGATCTTTGGAATTTTTAATTTGAGAATTAGATACCTATGTAATGTGTTTTGATCAGAGGTAGACCACTTGCTGTTTTAATACGCCGAAAAGAGCGGCGCAAAAGACATCTGACAGCGTCCAGGGTAAGTCCGTCAGCGAAACTAAGAACGTAGCAACTCAAAAAGGCTGTATGTAACAACAGAGTCTAAAACGTATCAAGTTTTATATGCTGCATGAAGCTAAGCATGTACGTTATTTATGCTTAATTGCAGAATCACACGCTTTTACGTCATTCAGCAGACATGCCATTTCGTTTCGCATTTAACGCTTAAGAAATTATCTATATATCGACATCAAGTATTATCAAGGTCGTTTTTCTTTAAACTATTTCATCCCAGTGAAAGCCCGCGGGCAGAATCTTGTCATTTGCGGACCGCATCAGCAATTCCAATCTTGAGCTTATCAAAGTCAAACAAAATAACTTTATCCTTAGCAAAAGTCTCCCCAAGATTCCCAATGATCCAATCCCCATCCCCTAAAGTTCGTACGTTCAACACACAAGCAGTCTGTGTACTCGAAATGGCAATCTTCTCAACATAATTCTGCGGCAAGATTTCCCACTCGGGAGTCCCTGCACCAAACTGATACTTTAGGGATGGCAGCTTAGACACCTTGGAACACGGCACGGAATAAAACGACTGGGCTCCGTTATTAGGAGCCACAGATGCATCGAGCGTAATCGGCGTTGCACCAGTAAGCTCAATCAGGCGAGCGTAACTGTTCACTGATACGGGTGCACCGCGGCCGAAACTCGCATAGTCAAAGACAGCCCCCGATGCAGTCTTGTTAAGTGGTTGCGATTCATTGCCAATCAGGTGCTGCGTTACCGGAAGGGCCCAGTAGTTGAGGATTTCGGGGCTGGTGATGATGTCGATGATGTTCACTTGCAAGTTGACAACGCTGTCATACCAATGCAGACTTCCAGGCTGGATGAAGTTTGCATGATATCCTCCCAGTGATTGCAGCGCATCATTCCCATTGCATAGAGAACACGCTGGTGCAGCGTTGCCAAACGTACTGTTGTAACAGTACAGAAACGACACAATAGGACTGGAATACAGACGTCCTTTTAGTCATTTGTTTCGAGATCATCATTGTCAGGATTGACCTAGCATTGCTACTATTGCCTATTAACTTTCTAAAGAAAGCTTAATAGCATACTCGGATTCTCAATGGAAGAGCAAGAAATGCAAAAGAGGTTTATTAACCATACATCTCCAGTCTCGTAGTTGGCTGCTGAGAGGTTTGAACAATTTTCACCCAAGGCACGGAACTCAGCTTTCGTTTCACCAGCTCATATTATCTCAATATTACACATTATTTCATTGGAATAACGGCTATTTAAGTCTTTTACGATATTTGGGCTTTACTTTCGCGCAAACTGTGTAAGTTTCCACTGTCCAACACCTTTACGCATACGAGAGTGAAAACGCATGAGCAACTTGATCACCACACCTCGGCTTGGGTACAAAGATTACTAGTTTTTTACTCCAGCAACATTCAACGTATATCTATTAACAGGCGCTTATACAGGCGGCTCTTATACGTATTATACCAAAGTCACGAGTGTACATGTTGTCAGTCGTTGGGCTCAAGCCGCTGCGCAAACCGAGACTGACTCTTTCTTCTTAAAAGTTCTGCTTTTGAGAACCAAACTGCGATTTATTTTCAATCGTCTTCTAGCAGCCGTATTCGTAGCAGTGAGGTCTTCCAGCATCGGGTTGAGTTTCAGAAGGAGAATTCTCCTAAGACCAAGCCTCTTTCTAGTTACTTCTTTCGAAAAAGGTGGGTATTATTTTAACAACCGAGCAATTATTGCACCCATGAAAACAAAGCTACGGTGATATTGCCATATGAGTTTTGAGTAACTAGTTATGGCTCTGGTAGAAATTTCTGTCAATATATCTCAAAGGTCAAAACATCAAGAGTCATAGGTTAAGAACGTGAGCCCAATTGGTTCGTCTAAGCTCGTTCACCCCCATTTTGAGGGCACCTAGGAGTTCATTAGCTATTTGAACACCAAATTTCCCTATAAAACTAACATTTCATTGTATGGGCCTAAATTGAGAAATCACGCGAGAGAAACGTTGTTACAGGCCGACTTCCCATTGGCTCCTTGAATGCGATTCCAGGCTCATAGCAACTACATTGACCGTTGACGGGTTGGAGAAACATTGAAACGTGCCGAGGCTTTAAGATTCAATTAAAAACATTGTATATATGGTTCAAGTCATACAAAAATCTCTTACTGTGTTATAGCTGGGAGAGAAAGTCGAGGCTTGTAACCTACTTGTCTACTCAAATGTCCTGAAGGTGCGATAGGGTGGATCTTACAAGACTTCGATGAACAGCTCAATTCTACAATATGATTCCTTTTCGGCATATTGTGTCTGTTCATTTCATATTGAGACATTTCCTTGTAGTGAGTTAAAACATCTGTTCAAATTCGCCGTGGTTGCAGATACCCTAGAGTTCTATATATGACGCGGCAAAGTACTATGCAGATTGAGTTACTGAATATTGACTATTTTCGGTTAACAGTTGTTAATCTATATCTTGATTTGGAACAAGATTACCGAGTGGGCTGGTCATATGTGAGACTGTGGTAGTATTGTGTACTCGGGTGACGGAATATATGACATCATTAGACATTCCAGAATAAACACAACCAGCCACGATGGAATAGAAACGTAGTTGAAGAGAATATACCGGGATCCAGAATGTGTTAAAGCCACGTGAAGAAGACTGTGCACTCTTTTATCACCATTTATGGATAGGAAGTGAGACAAACAAGGAATGCGATATTTAGGTGCTCCGAAATTTAGCATATCCCAAATGTGTAGGCCTTTTTAGAGTCACGTTTCGGCATCGAATTCTGCAAGTAAATAAATAACATATAATTATTGTTCATTAAATCCTAAATCATACTATATACGCTGAGAGACATGTATTCTACTAAAGGTGGATCACATAAGTGCCGTTGGGCTTGCCATGCTCGTCAAATGAGGTCATGGTAATAGAGCTCTCCATGGGAATAGCCTCAATCTCCTTGACCTCGGGGCTCAATGACACCTTGGGCTTAGGTCCCAAAGCACGGCGGGACTTTTTAGAGCCGGACATTGTCACTGGGGCACTGTCCGTAAGACGGTGGGTGCAAGTGCCGCCGGGAATGATGACGTTGCCAATGTATCCCTCGAGGGTGGCGTACTGGTGGAAGATGGCCTGCCAGTTAGGCTGGATCGTGCCAATGCCGCCGGGCACAACCTTGTCATACAGAGAGACGACGGTCTGCTGGGCAAAGTTCTCCTGCTGGCTGGACTGCGCATACGGGTCGGGCACAGCCGAGTCGAGGTTGTAGTTGGAGACCCAGACGTTGCCGGTGGAAAAGGGCACGCCGTATGAAGGGTCAAAGGCGTGCGAGTCCAAGCTGTGTCCAATCTCGTGGGCAAAGACGGTCACGTCGACATCGCCGACCATGAGGACGTTATCGCCGTTGGAGCCCGCGGACTTGTTGCCGGGGACAAAGACCAGGTGGCGGACGAACTGCCTCATGCGAACGGGCAAGCGGCCAAAGATGTCGAGGATTTGGATCTCGCTCAGAGGAGAGTTCTTGTGTCTGCAAAAGGTCCAGGTCTGGGCGCAGTCGTCATAGTGAATGTTGAAGGGGATGATGTCGTTGGGGGAGAAGCCGGCTCCCTGAACCATGGACTTGCAGTCCGAGGGAATCCATCCGGCACCCCAATCATCCCAAGTCGAGTGTGTGGGAGCCAAGTTGTTCATGAGACCTGGGCCTAGAGATGCCAGGCCATTTCCGGGGAAGTTGGGCGTAATGACGGGCTTGTTGAGGTTGGCCGCAACAAAGGGGAGAAGAGAAAGAAGAGCAGCCTTGGAAGCCATGTCGAAGTCTATAGTTTCTACTACTTAGAAAGCTTTGAATCGATGCTTTTCAGCTGATCTACAATACGGCAGAGGGACGAATACTCCTCTTTATATACAGCAACCTACAGCAACTAATCTTAACATAGATCTGACCGAGGAATCCTACATCATGGGATCCTAGAACACCAGACTCGATTATGGGAGCCCCAGTCCGGCAGGTGGCTCAGTAACCCATTACTATTCGGGCCATGCAGTCTTGGCATCAATGGGCGCTTTACTTGAAAAACAAAATGGCACTCCTTCAGCTTTAGGCCCGGAAACATTAAAAATCCCTGCAGTAACAATAGCCATCAGATCCAAAGAAACATCCTAAAGCAACAAATACAGTTGGAAGGGTTGCCTATTTGATCTAAAGAACGAAACCACTGATCGACAGGAACATGAACGTAGTTTCAGCAAGTCACTATTATTTTTGAAGGATTCTGTGAGTGAAAGCCTGCGATGCTACCTTGAACGGGTGAACCACCGGGCCAGCTTCCGGAACCACTTTAGCAGTCCGAACTAGGGGTTTTAAATTAGAACCTTTTGTCTATAGTTATTTTTTAAGCACAGCACGATGCTAAACGTAATCAGTATGACCGCTGGCCTGGCGCCTTGCAAGAGTCAGGATGGTGGTATGAACTTGTTTGTCAGGATTATGGCCTGCCTTTCTTTGCTAGTGCTTCTAGCCAAAGACAGTATCTTCCACGATGGCCATCAACAAGGAACCCCTGTTAGAGTTAATCAACGCGTGAGCTTTTGTCATTTATTTGTATTCCTAGCTCGGGTCTCGGGTTACCACTATTAGAATGCAGACTCGCGTAAATTTTTGTACAGTTTGGACAACCGTTGATGCGTTCCGCGCCAATAGGTCATTAGAACCTACATGTAGATACCACTTCACGACAACGTTGCATGTTGTCCGGCGAGGCAGCAGGGCCAGCATCTGCACAGTCTCTGTTGAAGCTGCTTGATTAGTCGAGTTGTGAACCGGATTTCGCATCTCACGCAGCCATGTCCAATGGCAACCCTCGTGTAGAAATCCACGGAGAGAAAGCACTTTTGTCGGCAGTCAGCGACGTGATCGTGGCCAGTCGTAATCGTATGAGCCCACTGCTACGGCCATTCGCGAGAGAGTCCGCGCCCGCCAAGAAAGGCCGTAGAGGACTTTTGGCTTGATGATATTTCCGCAAGCTAGGTCTGACCGTGAATGACTATCTGGTAGCCCAGCCATTGGTAAGACTCTCTCTTCGGGCTGTGCAGCGGTGAGTAAACATTGTGTGAGCAAATGCCGCAGAGACCAATCGTTCAATGCAGTGGAGATGACAGCGATGTTCCCCGTCTATTAGTGGAAACTGCATGGGCTATCCGGATTGCCAGAAACTCTGCCTCCCCAATAGGCAACAGGTTTCATTGCTTGCGAACCAATAGGCAGCCTGAGCTTGCGAAATCCTTCTTCTCCCTAGTCTCTATTTCGAGAAGACACGAGGGGCGTTGTGAGGCTTGAGCTTATTCGCGCCATTCCGCAAGTCCCGCTTCAGCCAATGTTTGCCGAGCGATCGTTCCGGGGGAGCTACTGCTGGTCTGGACATGGCGCGTCATCCACACGAAGCACCGCGGTATGTGACCCAGCAGCTTGGAGCCTGGAGCTTGGAGAAGATGCATAGCCACTGCAGGATCGATGCATGCAAAAGGAGAGTGCGTCTAAACGGGAAAAGGCTCACTGTATGCAACATCTATGAATGGTTAGGTTCTGTTCAAGCTTGCCTCATCATGCAGTCACTACACCTCGAACGAAGAAAATTTGTAGCCTGATTGAAGTCTGCCTTGTTCGAGACCAATAGGAATCTTTGGCTGGAAGTGTGTTGTCTTGAGATCAGATCATGGCTCTCATGGTGGTCTTTGTCAATTGCCTTCCCTGGCAGTGATTAGTGCTGACGGATGTAATTTACGTGAGTCAACCTGGCCAACCCGAGTTCGATAAAGACCCTGGCTAGCCGTGTTATACTCCGTCGGTTTCTGCAAAAGCAGTTAGCGATGCTCCGCGTGTGTGGGGGGTTTCTTGTCCTTAACGCAGGAGTCTGTTTACTGATTGCCTTTTTGGAGTTTCGAAGCTTGGAGTGAAAAGCTATGGTTACTTCGGTCGCTAGTTAGAGATGCATTCAGCAATATATTGAGCACCGAGATAGGCAGCTGCTGCTATTCAACGGCATAGTATTGTTTTCCGTTAGTTGTGGCTTGTCACAAGTTGAAAATGTCCGCTAGCCAACGTGTATAGTCTTGGTGATACTACGGTACCCATAGTTGCTGCAGGAGGATTTCTGGTGAGAAAGTAGCACGAATATTGGTCTCGATTCATGGGAGCGTAGACCGAGATTAGTGATCGTTGTCAGTTGGTTACCAATGCTCTCTAATGAAAGAGTATTAATAGAGAATGCGAATCCGATTCGGTGCAGAATAAACAAGCTTGAGTGTCGGCTTACTCTGGATACTGGTCGGGCTGTCGGAGCGCCGCGGATGGCCGGTGTCGACTCGCATTCCAACGAGGCTAGTGGCTATCCAAAGAGTTGAGTGTCTGATTGGTCCAGCGAGCATCGTGAGATTTGCCAAGATGTAATACAAAATTCCTAGATTGTCAGCTCGTGCAAGACTGACAATTGCCCAATATGAAGAGTTCTGAAGAGAGTTAAAAGAAACCGCCCAGTCGTATTTAATTCATATGAAAAAAAGGACAAAAAGCTCAAATGTTTAAACCCATGCACAGTACATCAAATATTAAGATTGTTCAACATCCAGGGTATTAGATCAATTGTGAAATTCTCAAAATGTAATTCTTCTGATGGTTCTTTTATTTTATTGAAACAATTTTCTTTAATTGTTTCAATAAAATGAAAGACCTGTCAGAAGAATTACAATCTTAGAATCCTAAAATTGTTCTAATATCCTGGATGTTGAACAATCATCACCCAACTAGGCATTATGGGGACTAAGCCATAGCCTTGAGAACACACCCTTTTCTGCACTCCGTTGTAAACCCGAACCCGAACCCGAACCCGAACATCGTAAAACGGTCTGGCAACCTTTTATTCATCGTCGCTCATGAAATCCATGACCAAATGTTGGGCCTCTTGACAATCATCCGGGTCGTAGACCTTGAGACCGTACGAGGACATGAATGTCGTACAGTTCTGGTAATGCTTCTTGATCCAAGCCCGTTCTTTACTGTCGAAAAGATAATCTGCGGGGTGAGCGAAGTCCTCGTCATCTTCCTCCTCTTCTTTTTCCTTGTCCTCTTCGTCCTCGTCATCATCTTCGTCAGGGCTAACCATTGCCCGCATAATGGCTCGGCCTTCTTCACGGTTCTCTTCATCGTAGATGCTCAATCCGTACGACATTAAAGACTTGTATTCTCCTTGGTAGTGCTTCTTCAGCCATGCCTTTTCCTCGGCCGTATATGGTTGCTGTCCAGCCCGTTGGCGCGGCCTAGTCTCCGCCTCGTCCGGTTGGCCTCTACGGTTCCATCGAGCTCTCTCGCTGGCTGGCCATGAAGTCCCCACGAAATATTTCACGCCGGGCTCAAACTTGGTGGGTGCCAGTCGAGGGCCGACGGGTGGTCCACTGAGTCGTAGACAAAAGAGCGGCGCGTTTGGTGAGAAGAAGGCGATAGGGTTGCCATCTTCATCGTCCAGATAACCCCTGCTTTTCGGGGAACTTGAGCCCATACGGATTTGTGGAGTGACGTGAACTTGATGCAAAACGCCGCAAGAAGAAAAAGAAGAAGAAGATGGGTGGTAAACAATGATCCGGTAATTTTGGCTAGAATATATAATAACCATACTGGTACGGTATAACCCCGCGTCAATTGACTCAGCCAAGACGCCCTGCTTCTGTGCCGCTCGCTCTTATATGCGGGTTTCTCGGCAGACAGACAAGGGCCTGGAGACTACTACTAAGGAACCAACTATCGCGGACTCCTGCGCGACGGACTGAAAAAAAAAAGGGGTAAATGAGATTGAGTAAAATTAACAAGAAAAGCAAAGTTCTAGACAACTAAACCATTGCCATGAATGTTGTCTTTGAAGGACATTGTGGCCGGCCAGCTGTATCTATCCGGTGCAGTTGCCTCCTCTAGAAATCATAGCGTCAAGTGTTCTATCAACCAAACCAATGTCCATCGATGCATCTATAGCTTAATGTTGGCATCCAGTGAAACACTAGTGGACCTGATTGCACACGAGCCGAACCGTATTGATGTTCAATCTTGACTGGACAGTCATCGCTTTGACGATCGCCGCTTTGGTTGGTCTCAATAGCATGTAAGCAGGCGATCGCTTATCCCTCAAGAAACATCCGGTGATTTTTAATGATATATATTCCAACTTATTCCTTTTGCTTTCCAGCTAAAAATCCTTGAATAACACTACTAGTTAACCTAGCAACATTATTATTATAACCACCCCATGCCAAAGAGCAGTGCCAATCAATACTACCTACACTAAACACTCCACCACCGCCAGAACCAACATAATACACCACGTCGCTGCGAATCAAGTCCGTTTGAGTCCCAAGCGTGTTTAGTGCAGGATAACTCAGGTCCTCAATGGCAATGCCAAAGTCATCACTATGGCCAGTACTCGTGGCTAGTACCAAGGCCCCCTCAGGAAAGCCGTTCCCTACGTCGAAACGATCAATCTCATCGCCTGACGCGCCACCTCCAAACCCAAATTCACCAATCAAGTCTCCTTCTACCCCTGTAAACATCCAGGATAGTTCAGGATCTCGAGATGCCTCAGTCCGCCTATACGGCACCCCAAGACCGGTACCCTGGGCGCAGAAACCTACCCCAAATAACGTGTTGCAACTCATTCCTCGAGATCTCCATAAACCACCTCGTTGGCCGTCGAGGCTGTTGATGTGCTCTCCACTGGGGAGACTATATGGACGCACCCCAGTGTCTCCGCGACGTACTTCTAACCGATGTGGTCGATTAATGTCGTGTCCACTTACCCAATAAAAGCCATTGCCCCCCATGTACATGAGGTTGCCTCCTCTTTTGGCAAAAGCGTCATAGGCACGGAAAGATTCGAGGCTAGGGTACTCAGGATGACAGCCCGTGATGACAGTACTGAAGCCTTGCAGAGCGCTAGCTCCACGAGCGTGCAAGTCATGATCAGTCAGAGTCTCGTACGGGATGCCCTCCTACGCTAGAAACCCGAGCATCATGAGATCGGCAGAAAACTCGCGTGGGCGAGAAAACGCCCACATTATATAGCCGGGGCGCACATTCAAAATGGGGCGTTTCGATGAAGAGTAACAAACGCCCGAACCATCGTTGTGGCGGTCATAACAAGACAGACCAAGATCAACTCGGCGACGCATTTTGTAAAACTCGGGACTTTTCAGGGCTTTGTTAATGTCGAAGCCAGGCCCAAGATCTGCGGTATTCTGGCGGGTTGTATCGTATAGGCGTTCATTGGCATATGCAAGGTACGTAAATGTAGAGAAGACAAGACAGACCTTGTTAGAGTTGTCCAATGTCCAGCGGGTTGGTCGAACAAAGAAGGTGATTGAATCCGTGTCTTGGCCATTGCTTGTCTCCACCTCGACCGCATAAGCACCAGAACGAGAATTGGGAGGGATTGTAATGATAAAGTCCGTCTCCCAATTTGCATCATCTGGGTCGTCGTCATGGAAATGAATCGCACCATAGCCGAACCGGGCTCGCGTCCAGTCACACTCAGATCCGTCCCAGTCATGACCTTTGACAGCACGAGTTGGCGCATTAACCAAGACACCATGGTACCCGCGCCCAGAAATGTCCAGGATCCGGTCGCCCGACATCCCCAAGGAAAAGTCATATTTAGCGAGGATCAAAGGTTGTTTGTCGCAAGTCTTGAGGGTTAAACTATCGATGCGGCCGTTGAAGAAGTCTGTAGCATGCAATCTCAGCCCAGATTGGGTGTTGTCAGCAACACGCTGCTGGGTTGCGGCAATGTGAAGCGGCCCTCGTCCGTAAACCAGCGACTCGCCATCTAATTGCGATTCAAACGCCGACGCAGGGTAGACTGGTTCGACTCTAAACGATTTAGGCGTCAAATTCAATTTGACCAAAGGACCGTTGAATATGACTTTTATTTTCGACCACGTCTTTTGTTGGAGACTAAGTCCAGTACTGAGAACCTTGATTCTGGACCCAGTTCCCACGTTGATATCAATTGAGCCCTGACTGTTCAACGCGATGGAAAATCCGGTATGGGCATCTGGATCGAGCGTTGAGACCAATGTTTGTGCATGTGGGCATTCCAGCAACCACGGTTGCACGTAAAACGAAACCTGAAGGCCAGTTGCGATTTGTGGCGCTCAGTTGGGTACATACCCATAAGACCCCTGCTGAGCGGTCTGAAATCGGCCGTGCCGTTTGCCTCGGGGAATTTCTTTGACTTCCTCTTCAATCTTCTTTGGAGAGTGCTTGAGATCAATACCCTGGATCAAACGAACGGTTCGATACCTATATTCTGGCTCCGTGCATGATACCTGTGAATATTGATCAGTTTTATAATATATTGCGTCCTAGTCTGGCCTTCCCTGAAAGGGCATTTTTTCACTTTTCAGCTTGTTGCACGAATTACCAGCGGCCTGTAGGAAAATGAGGGGTATGTCTTATAAGTAATATAAAGTAAACTTATATACTTAGTTAGCTAAGTAATAATCCTAACGTAAATCATTTTAAAGTTTTTAATAATTTATTCTTAGGTCAACTGGATTATTACAATAATCTAATAATCCGTTCCTAATTGGTCGGTCGGTCCGTCGATTATCTAAGAGCGACTACCCTGTAGGCCCATTGTCGCGACCATAAGATCCAGGTCGTGACAAGACTCCCCTTTAGTCGCCGGAAGAGAGCTTTTTATAGGATTTATTATCAAGCTTAAAAGATAAAGATTCAATCAATAAAGTTCTATCAAGGTAAAAATATAAAGCCGGTTACTGTCACAGTCATTCAAAACATGATGCGAAAGCAATTTGTATTTGTGTCTTGATTGCTGATCTGGTTCTTTCACAGTGGCTCCAAGTCTCCCTTGTTGGACAATGGCCAGGCCGCAGGCACATCAACCAGTGATTTGCGGGGTCCTAGATCTTTCGCGTCAACCCAGTTCCCATGCACCTGCGACTTGATGCGAAATGGAAGAGCAGCAATAGCAATTGGCTTGGTAAAATCGCGAGTGTCTATGAACACAAGGTCGGATGTTTGGCTGACATGATTCTCAATAAGTGACATAATCCAGCCGTCTCCCTCGGCAGCATCGGAGCTACGAGGAATGAACGTCGGCTCTTGTGCGAAACAGTCATCACCAGGGTAATAAAACTGTTGCTCCCCGGTCTGCGTATTGATCATGGCCAAGCCATTCAAGCCTTGAAATACATTCTTTGAACCATCTGCGTTCTGAGGGATGAAAACGTTCAAAAACACAATGTTATACTTCTTCGACGTCAGCCGCTCGTCAATTCGCGGGAACTCGCAGGGCAGGTCCAGAATAAGGGTCGGGTCTTCCAACCAAGAGTCGGATGGTTGAGACGGGTCAATCTTCCAACGAACAAAGTCGGCTTTGGCTTCTCCAGCACCAGCAGATTGGCCATCCGTTGGGGGGAAGAAAGGGAAAACGTTGCCATGTACTCGCGTGGTTTCAATGTAGAGATTGCCATTTGAGTCTTCCCATGCACCAGCAGTATGAATATTCATGCAATGCTTCCAGTTGTAAAATCGGTACTCTCCCTCTTTCCATCCAGCAATCGGAGGATTTTTACGGCGAGGAACAACGATGAAGCAAGCAGGGCGATCAGCGGTATACGTATAATGGGGGCCCCCAGTCTTCATGCCTTCGATGTTGACATCATAGGGCCACATCATTAGTATGAGCCAGTTCTCGGTGATGCCGCAATCATGTATGATGGTACACCAAGGCGCTTCGATCCATAGCTCCTCTTTCTTCTGTCCCTGTTCATCAAGAGACCATGTGACAATGTCCTTGGTTGCTGGGCCTTTAGCTTCATACCCAAACACGACGAGCTCTTTCGTGAATGGGTCGACCTTTGGATGGGCAGTGAAAGCCTTCGCTTTGATTTGGTCCTCGAATGGATCATAACGCAAAGTCTCTAGCGTGTCGGGATCGACTTCGTGGGGGTTGCCGGCTTCCTCCAGCACCAATAACCGCTGTGCCCACCGAATAACATTGGTGCTACCCGTCGAATCCGCCGCTGCACGAACACATGGGTGATGTGACCAAGGGTTCTTGTATACGCCAAATAGGGTCTTTCGAGCGCGCCTTTCTAACCGATATCGTTCCGTTCCCACGTATTTAATTTTGAAATCAACATGCCCGTCTTCGATGCGAAACGCCGAAATCAAGCCGTCGCCGTCGACAGGAATGTTGTGCTCTTTAGGCATGAAACGATCCAGGGAGATGCGATAGAATGTTCCATCAATTTGGGTTGGAATATCTCCATACACAATGACATCAGCTACCTCGCCTTCAAAACGCAAGGGTTGAGTAGAGCCAGTCAGATCCGCCGCAAGTGGCCACTTAGACTTCAGTCCCGCACGAGTACTCAAATTCTTCGCCATTTTGTATGTGGAGATGATGTTGCTAATCTGTGAATAGTGTTGACACAAGGATAATGATTAGGAGAAACGCTGGACTGATCTATTAGATTTACGAGTCATAAAGCAAATCGAACGCGAATTACCACTCTTATACTTGAGTCGCTGTTGCCCATCCTGATGAGAAGAACTTGCATGTTTATTACTATGCCTTTGCAAATTCGTAAGTGTTGGTCATCCACGTGTCGTGATTCACCGCGGGAGCTGAAGGTAGAGGCCGAAATTTACCGGGGCTGCGGGAAATACCCACCTGTTTGGATGTCTTTGCCCGACCATGAATGCTTAAACCTCAATATCTCTAGCGTTTGAGTGCGTACGCCGCAACGATGGCACTTTCCAGGTGGTCTTGCCACCGCTAGGCAAAATTGACTTTACCTAAAGCTGCCGGATCTCTTAGCCCCTCACGCGAGCTTTGGATCGACCTGTAGTCTGTTTGTCATCGGTGTAGTTCCTGAGGCTTCTTCCCCACAAACGCTGCTCCAGCCTCGGGGAAATCCGGGGGTTAGTGTGCCTCCTCAAATTATTTTCTTCCCACCCTTTAATCCGGCATCGTAATCGATTTGGAGATTTCGATAGCTCTTTTCGCACCAAGTAATGGCAGTAACATCTCCAGCATCTGATGAAAAGTTCAGACAGTGATTCAGGATGGAAAGCCAAAAATTTATCTGTAGTATCTGCTCATCTTCATTTACGCGCCCGGCGCATTTGCAGAGGCATCAACGCTCCCGTAAGTATTCATCTTTCACTTATTTGTAGAAGCCCTTGAAAACAACGCTGACGCAGTACGATAGACAGCGGCGATGATTCATTTCAATGCTCATATTGTCTGTTGAAGTTCACACGCAGGTAAAGGCTTTCATCAATCAATATTCGCAAAATGAGTCTTTTCATTGACGTAAATTCTTTCTCTAGAGATTCCTTGCGAAAACACTGGAAATCATGTTTACTCCGGAAGGCTGTAGGACAGCCCATCCCCAGTCCTGAACTGCGTGGGAGGAAACGGCGGGCCTGCGATCAGTGCTCTGCGAGTAAGCGAGCCTGTAATCTTGAGTCACCGTGTGGAACTTGTGCCTTAAAGGGTTGCTCATGCTCGTATCGCCGAATGAGCTCTCAATGGACGGCGACGCCCAAGTCTGCCGCGTTCAGTTGGATAGACGAAGCCGTTTCTCTAGGAGCAATTCGAGCCCTTGTTGAAGGAGAAGAGGATGCTACAGCTCCTATGAGACCGGGTACGATCTCAACGCCCCCGTCGTTGCCAATGTCAGCGTTTTCGACACCTGCCATTCAGCTGGATGGACCAAGCGCACAACAGACAGCAGGGTGGATTTACACGCAAGTTTTTCAATCAGAAGAATTCGAATTTCTCATGAATTTCACATCCTGCGATGGGTTGAATCAGTCCTTCAATTTTTTGACTACTCCAGAAAAAGGAAGCGACGACTGGAACTTGAATGACATTTTGTCCTTCCACGACTTACTAGGTGCTGATTATGACGTCGGCAGCGACTCTTGGGGAGTCCCCGAAAAGCCAAGCCAAATCAACAAAACTGTGGAATGGCTGTTCGATCCGCTGTTGACCCAGACCAAGGCGATCTGCAAGAAGCTCCTACACTCATCGGACACTGATGCTTGTTTGCCGAAGGGTGTCGCCCAGTCTCTCGATGAACAATGCATCGAGTTCTTCAATCCACAGAGCCTTCGCAGGCTATTGGACATATACTGGAAGAGATGGCATTCGAACTGTCCCATCATCCACCCGTCCACATTTGAAGCCTCTCAAGCTCCGACTGAGTTAATCATGGTTATGGTACTTATAGGTGCTTTTGTCTCTGTAGATCGTCAGGACGCCGAGAACGCGCGTAGATGGCTGGATTCAACTGAGAGGCTTATATTTATGCTGCCCTGGTTATCTCAAGAGGGCGATGTCAGCCGGAATGAATTCGCTTTGACTCATGATACGAAGCTCAGACTGCTACAAGCGGCCATCTTAATAAGCGTCTTGCAGACATGGGAAGGGACAGATTCCGCAAGGAAAAGAATTATGAAGCTTCGATATCCATACGTTGCCCAGGCTTCTCAAGATCTAATGCCCTCTTCGGTTGTAGTATCAGTGGGTGTTGATTTAGCCACCACATTACATGAATGGAGCGATTTCATAATCGAGGAGCAAATTATTCGGTACGGGAACAATACATCTGCGTTTTTATCTCCTTCCTTTCAGAGACCTTAACGACTAACACAACAGCGCATATAGTACCAAATCTTTCATATTCCTTCTTGACACGGCTTTTACCATTTTCCACAAGACTCCTCCTCGCATCACCATCCTAGACTTGGACTTTCCGTTCCCATATCCTGATGTCTGTTTCCATAGCCAGAACGGGAACGAATTTTTCAACTCAGTACAACAGCTAGACGCCAGGTATTTGAGCTCAAGAGATGTTCATATTTATGGCACCATTCAGAATCTGTGTCATACAAACTCCACAACGAATCTCTCTCTACCTGTAATTACAGATCTAGGCGGATTCATCTTGATTTCAGGTATGAACTTTCAGCAGGCGTTGGTTCTTGACATGACTAATCGGAAATCCTGTAGCAATACATTCCATTATTTTCTGCCAACAAATATCATGTGTATCTTCACCAAATGCGACCATGTCACTGCTGCATTCCTTAGATAAGTGGCTTGCGCTCTGGGACAGACGCTTCAACAATACTCAGGCTGGGCTTCCAATCCAGCCTTTAGCGTACGAAGACGATCAGACGGTCCGCACTGGCTTCGTACGGCATTCGCGCGAGTATTATGCCTTGGCATTAGCAAAGCTGGAGATGATCGATAGGGTTCATAGTGGCTCAGTATCTCAGTTGAGTGACTCACAAGGCGACGTGAAAGACATAATATCACATGTCAAGAGCGCCTGGCCATCTCAAGTCGGGTCTGCCGCCGCTCAGGTTATTGAATAATGTCAAAGTCGAAGACTTTGTAACCCATTAACTTTCTCTATCATGATATAGATCAATCGATATATAAGATACTGAAACCGAAATGACATAGGAGCTTAGTATCCAACCAGAGATTCTGATACCTATGGTTTCAACCGCCTGCTTGGTTATCCTGATTCGCTCCAGGCTCCGTAACATACCATGACAAATCCCCCCCCGTAACCTCCCGAACCGTCTTTCCCATACCAAGATACTGGAACCTGTTCTGGCTTTCATACTGTATTTTGAAATCCTCCCAACGTGGCTGACTCAAAAGCTCTATGAAATGAGGGACTGATCCGCAGTACGGGCCCCAGACCTTACCATTGATGGTACCGTTCTTATACCTGAAAATATGTGAATAATAGTTCTAGAGGTAGATTTTTCGCCAACGGGTTCTCAACATACCAAGAGCGACAAGATGAGGTCCATACGAGTTCCTCCATCATGGCATCCTTATGCTCCTGAAATTCTGCTACTGCTTCGGGGGTCGGTGACAAGCATTTGACTCCCTGAGTCTGGATCTTCTCGACAACATCGAAAGCATATCGCAGAGTCTGTTCTAAACAAGCGATGAGAGATCCATTCGCAAGAGGGAAATTAGGCCCCGTAGCCACTGGGTAAAGTATAAATGTCAGCTGAAGATGGAACGTTAAAACCTGCTAGCAGTGTACATACTGATGTAGTTCGGATAGCCTGCTACAGCCACGGACAAGTATGAGCGCGGTTCATCTCTCCATTCTTCACGAAGATCCTTTCCATTTTCTCCGATGACTGGAAATGCTGGGCGATAAGAGTTGTCAAATCCCGTAGCGCAGATGATAGCATCCAGGGCAAATTGAGTGCCGTCAGCCATTTTTATACCGCTGGGTGTGATGCGAGAGATTGGATCGCTTCTGACAGTGGCATTATCAGAAGCAAGAGCCTCTAGGTATCCAAAACCGGGTGTCATCCTGACGTATACATTAGCTTTCTAATTTGTGAAAAAAGAAAAGAAAGTAAAATAAAACAATCTAATGACCTTCTACACCCTACTGCGAAAGAGGGAATCATCATTGATGCTAGTTCCTTTTTACCTCCCAGCCTCTTTTCCATTACTGCACGTGAAGTCTCAAATAGCTCTTCTTGTAGCGCAGAGTTTTTAAATTGGAGACTGAAGAATTTATTGCCCGAATTTTCAATCTCTTTACGAAATTTCAGAAATTCGTTCGGGCTTCTAGCCCACTGCGCCTTTTGTTCTTCCGTGAATAGGGAAGCTCGACCCTCGGGAGCAAATTCTGCCGCGAATTCTGGAGTTATCCATGTCGGTGATCGATTAAAGGAGACCATCGTCTTGACTTCTGTTGAGATTTAAGTATCTAGCCAAATATCGTTTTTTCCCATTGTATGGAAGCAATAGTGGACGGAAAGGTCAACATACGCTTTTGAATGTTCGGGACAATCTGGATGGCTGAGGAACCAGAGCCAATGATGCCGACTGTCTTTCCTTCGAAGGAATAATCGGGATTCCAGGCCGCAGAATGGACTAAGAAGCCTTTGTAGGTGTCGATGCCGTCGATATTTGGCCACTTCCATTTACTAGCAGGAATGATTAGTAGAAAGGAGTATGATGCGATTTATAAACTGACTTGAGGAACCCCCCAGCATTAATCAGCACGTCGCACTCATCGCTAATAATTGTTGAATTTGTAATATCTTCAATTTGAAGTGACCACTGTCCCTTGAGGCCGTTCCACTTTGCCTCAATGACACGGTGATTTAGGTGAACATGGTCAAAAACTCCATACGCCTGAGCCCGGCTTTTAAAGTAATCAAAGAGCTCTTCAGCTCCAACGTAAGGCTTCGACCAAGAGGGATTTCCTTCCCACGAATATGTATACCCGTGAGCCGGAATATCACATGAGCAGCTGCGTAATAACATTAATGAAACTGGATCAAATCTATATGTACACCACGAACTAACCCTGGGTAACGATTTTCTAGCCAAGTACCACCGACGTCATGATTCTTTTCATAAATGACGAGGGTTGTCGGCCGGTCCTTAAACCGTTCGCGAAACAGCTTCACAGCTGCAATACCACCGATACCGGCACCGATGACAACGACACGAACAGGTCTTGGTTTTCCAAGCCATTGATCAGAGAGTTGGTAGGTTGATTTGGAGCCCATGATTATTTTTCGAATTTTCAACACAAAACAAGGACATGAAAGACACTTCTTCCCTGAATGAAAAAGGTTCAGGAACTGAAAATACGGGAAGATATAGTTCTAGGTGGCGACCGCCAGCAATATAAGAGATTAAGTACTCTACGACTCCTCATTTCCTACATCCCTCTCAACCCAAATTATCCCGCGGCAAAATGCTTGCAAAGTTCAATTGTCCATTTACCGCGGCGGAGGGGTTACACGGTTACGCCACTCGAGTGGCATTTGTCCGACGCGAAGTCCGTGTCTTGGTCGGCAAATACCCGCCAATGAAATTCTTCTCGTCCTGGATTCATATAGAGGATGATTGTACATATTTATAAGTAGCATGTCTCGACTCAACGGTATTGAACAATTCATGGTCCTTTGCCCCAAGCAACCAGCCCCCCGAACAATACGCTGTAGCCGATACAGCTCGTCTCAGTTCGATATTACTGGTCGTGCAGTCGCTGGGCGGTCTCTCCAGACAGGTTCTCCAACATCATGGCTTCTAATCCTCCCGGGCCTTGCTGCTTCACCGGCTTCAAGCATGAAGGCACCCCTTCGGGCTCCCAGGAATTGATTGACGGAGGTCTGCTTACCGCTCTTTTTTCTCGTTTTTTGGATTAGATAGCCAGTCACTAACGAGATTTATCATAGTGAAGACGTATATTGCCCGTCCTCAAGGCGATGCGATAGAAAAGAAAGCAGTCATTGTTATCAGTGACGTTTTTGGGGTATCTCACAACAGCATGCTATTGGCTGATGACTTCGCCGCAAATGGGTATCTTGCCTTGCTCCCCGACTTGTTGGAGGGAGAGAACCTTCCCCTCGATGTCTTTGAGACTGGGTCTGTGGACATTCCGTCTTGGGCAGCACGCCACAGCCCGGCACAAGTCGATCCGATTCTTGACAAAATTGTCAACTATTTGCGCAGTAATCAAAGCATAGAGAGAATTGCAGGCGCAGGGTACTGCTTTGGAGGCAAGGTAAGGTCCATATAACAATAATTGCTCTCTTCAACGGTTGCTATTTCTCCTCCTTGACGTTTGCCCCATGATAACAACTCTTTGTAACGACTAACTCATCTAGTATACTGCTCGCTTTCTCAAAGAAGGAAAGTTGGATGTTGGCTATGCAGCTCATCCCTCATATATAACATTTGAAGAACTCGAAAGTATAGAGAAACCATTCTCTATTGCGGCTGCAGGTAATCATTTGCACTACTAGCCTAATGAAAATGCTCCAACGCTGAAATCAAATCCAGAAATTGATCACATCTTCACCCGAGACCTCAGGCATAAGTCTGAGGATACTCTCATTGGCACTCAAAAGCCGTATCAAATTAACCTCTTCAGCGGCGTCGCCCACGGATTCGCTGTGAGAGGAGACTTGACTAAGTCTCTGAACAGATTTAGCAAAGAGCAAGCATTTTTGCAAGCCATCGGGTGGTTCAACGAGTACCTTTAACGTAAAAGTGCAAGGCACCTTCCGAATTGCGTACACGACAAGACAAGACAAAATGTGAAGGATGAAATTGCAATCAATATACTAGCAATATTGAAACGATGGAAAGTGCTGTAGTTTAGAAAATCAGAAAGTGAAATAGTAGATGAAAAGCGACAGTAACCTGTATTGAGGTAGAATTCTTGCAACAGTATCGAAGTAACACAATTTCACATCCTACTTGTGCATGTTTACTTCGCTAAACAATGAATATTTATGTAGCTAACGGCTGACTAACCCATAATCTCTTACTTCAACCTCGGAAATAACTTTAGCGCATTCTCACGATTGATTTTGTCAAGTATCGTTGGATCTTCGAATCTATACTCATCCATTCTGCTTGTGTGGAAATGGACAACATCGTTGTCTGCGTATGGTGAATCAGTCCCATAAAGAATATGATCGGGTTTTGCAAACTTTTCGAGAGTTCGCATTACATTTTCAGTCCCCGAGACTGCTGTATCAAAGTAAAAGCATCGGGCATCCTCTCAAAAAGCTTCCAAATCTTCGACTATCTTTCCATAAACGCTTGCTGGTCGCCCAATCAGATATGGCAGAACGCCGCCGGCATGAGACAATATTATCCTGCAATTTGGGCTGTTTCTGACAGTCTTGTTCAAAAGCATATCTAAAGCAGCGGTGGTCGTTTCAAAAGGGTAGCGAATAATTGGCTGCGGCACATTGCTGACCAATGCTGTATCGACTGGATGGGTTGGGTGGACAAGGACAACTGCAGCTCGGCGATCAAGTTCAGCCCAAACATCTTTGAAGTCAGGGTGTCCTAGATAATGATTGTCTGAGCCATATCGGGTAAACAAAATCACTCCATCAGCCTTCAGTGTATCGAAGGCGTAACTGAGCTACGCAAAAGCAAGCTCTTTCTCGAGCAAGCTGGGCAAAGATGCAAAGAATCCGAATTTCTCGGGATGCTTATCGCGAATACTCGCGGCATACTCGTTTGCCCTGCGTGCCAAGGCTGCAGATTGCAGCATGCGTACTATACAAGTATATCTGCCCTGAACTCTTTCATTGATAAAAGGTACATGTGGTAAAGTGATACTTGCATGTTCATATGGAACATCTAGCTAAAGGTTGCGGTTTAGTGATGCAGTGGAAGAAGAAATTGAGCAGCATTTTAATTAACTTCGTAAGTTTTAGCATAATACGGGTTCAGCAAGCTACTCCTTTGACAAACATAGTTCTCCTCTGTCCGCTTTGCATCTTGCACTAACGAATCTCCTTGGAAATATCACGGAATCCTCCTGCGCCGTCTGATTTTGCATCAGAAATGGCTCTCCACCTCAAGTGGCGTGTATGGCTTCTCCAGATATGCCTCTTCCTCAGCAGTTAGCTCTTTGCCGCGGGCAGATAGAGCCTCGTCGATTCTCTCAACGCTGCTGAAGCCAATGATAGGGCTCGTAACTCGCTTCTGGGTCCAAGTAAGTGTCACTTGACTCATGGTCCAGTCCTTTCGCTTCGCCAGTTCTTCCACCTGGTTGATGATATCGACCGACTCGGGTCGTAGAGTCTCCTCCGTGCCGGCAGATCGAGAGGTAGTGAGCTTTCCTTCTGCAAGCGGCCCCCACTAATGATCATGTAAGCAAATCATCTTGGTGAGACGAGTGCAATCAGAAGGATCTACTTACAGGGATGATGGCCACGCCTGTGGCCGCGCAGAACTTGTTCATTTCGCGCTCTTCTTCACGATAGAGCAGACTGTAATGGTTCTAATTAACATGTTAATGACAGCAATGATAGAAGAAAGTACGAAATCGCCAAGTACCTGCATTGCGACAAACTTCGTCCAGCCATTCTTCTCTGCACAAAACTGCATCATGGCAAATTGCCAAGTCCACATCGACGAAGCTCCGATATATCGAATCTTTCCAGCAGTGACTAGATCGTGTAAAGCGCGCATAGTCTCTTCGATTGGAGTGTATGGGTCAAACCGATGAATCCAAAAGACATCAATGTAGTCCGTCTCCAACCGTTCAAGAGAACTATTCACAGCGGTGAATAGAGCCGACCTTGAGAGATCTAATTTATGTTAATCAGGTTGTTTACTGAAGAAATATTTCAAGGGCTTACCAAACTGATTCACGTAGTCCTTTGTTTGCCTCACCTTATCCAGGATTGGATATGCATGGAATTGCTCCTCTCCAACGCAGCTCCAAGCCTTGGTCATCAATACCAGTTTATGGCGTGGAAGATGGTATTTCTTGATGGCTTGGGCGATGATCCTTTCCGAATCTCCGTTAGAGTAAATGTTTGCTGTATCCCACTGCTACATATTAGAAGAGATGTCAAGTTTGGATGTGATCGTAGAGAACGTACAGTATTTACTCCTCGGTCATAGGCAGCTTTCAGTAGAGGGATGGCTTTTTCAGGCCCAATGACCCAGTTTGCCCATTCGAGATTGCCGATGCTCATACATCCCACAATAGGAACCGACACACGGAGGCCACTAGCTCCCAGAAGCCGATAATCCACCTTCGTCTCATTTAGAGATTTTGCTACCCCGGGTGGCAGAGATGACATGTTAAACTGGGTCTAAGTTGTTAGGAACAGATTTCTAGCTCAAGGAAAGTCAACTACGGATAGGTATCAGACTGATTGATCAGTTTTTATAGTTATTGATACAACGTCACTCCTTCGTCATGTGTAGACGAGAATCCAATGACCAGTCAGAGAGATTCGCCATGAACGATGGGTGGGAAGTGGCCAGTTCCCTTCTATAGCAATTGGCAAATCTCCGAAAAGGGAAATCAGGGCCCATGACAAAGTGAATACCATTTGCGCCGTCTTGTGGCTTCTAAATACCTGTTCAGGGCCTTGACTCCTAAAAGCGCATTTTCTGCAAATGCCCCACCACGATATCGAAAAAAGTTGTCGTAGATTACGGTAATTGAGTTGGAGTAATTACTTATGTCCATTTTGAGACATTTCCGACTCTGGAACGTTGTGTCCACCCATTTCACCTGTTTCGTCCTTGTTGTCAACATGTTCATTTCCTAGCCAATTGTCGCATTGTACTTGACGTAAATGCTTTGCTCTACGATAAGTCAGTAAGGTAGCGTGAAATTTGAATTACCTAAATAGGAATTACGCGATCAGGCTTTAAGATGCCTAGCTCCACTCGAGGGAGTTGACGCACTAGCGGTGATGGAAAGCTGTTTAGAAAGACGTACATAAGCAAGACCGGGTTCGCGGTCATCACTCATCCCAGATTATCAGTCTCACTCAATAAACTCCATCATCAACACGGATTATCAGCACGACGACAAGATGGCTACCATGGATGAAGTTTTCGCTGGCTACGCAAAGCGTCAAGCCGTCTTAGAAGCTAGCGAGAACCCGCTCGCTAGAGGCGTTGCCTGGGTCGAAGGGGAACTTGTTCCTTTACATCAAGCACGTATCCCGCTACTCGATCAAGGTTTTATGCATAGCGATTTAACCTATGACGTGCCCTCTGTTTGGGATGGACGCTTCTTTCGCCTTGATGACCACCTAGACCGTCTCAAGGCTAGCTGCAAGAAAATGCGCCTCCGGTTCCCCATTGCTCGACAGGAGATCAAAAGAATCCTGGTTGACATGGCCAAAAGTGGAATTAAGGATGCTTTCGTCGAACTGATAGTTACCCGTGGCTTAACTGGTGTCCGAGGAGCTCGACCTAAGGACCTTCTCAACAACAATCTCTACATGTTTGTTCAACCGTATGTCTGGGTTATGGACCCTGAAGTTCAATATCACGGCGGTCGTGCTATCGTTGCACGAACCGTCCGACGAATCCCTCCCGGCTCCATTGATCCCACTATTAAAAACCTCCAGTGGGGTGACTTGGTCCGTGGCTTGTTCGAAGCAAACGACCGCGGAGCTACCTATCCATTTCTGACAGATGGAGATGCCAACCTCACTGAAGGTTCGGGTTTCAACATTGTTATTATTAAAAATGGCGTTCTATATACTCCTGATCGCGGAGTTTTGCAGGGAATCACAAGAAAGAGTGTTATTGACGCTGCCCGATCATGTGGCTATGGGATCCGTGTTGAACAAGTCCCTGTTGAGGCAACTTACCAGGCTGACGAAATACTAATGTGTACAACTGCTGGAGGGATCATGCCAATTACCACTCTTGATAATAAGTCGGTTAATGACGGAAAGGTTGGCCCTATCACAAGGGTTATTTGGGACCGTTATTGGGCTATGCATTGGGAGGATGAGTTTAGCTTCAAGATTGAATATTAAAGAGCTTGGTTAATGTGTTATAAGAATGTTGGCTATTGGAATCGCAACAAATGCGCATCGTAATCCATGTGTTAAACAAAAATTGACATTTAAAAAAAGGTTGTATACAGTATATGGGTAGCTCGCTTTGTTTAGTGCAAAATTCCCAAATCTCGAAGTCGCTGGATCAATTCGGCGCTGGCCACATCTGGGTCTGGGTTGACCTCTTGTTCGGCCTCGTCTTCAAGTGGCTGCTCTTGTTCCGGATACCCAGCCAAAGTGCTCAGCAATCCCTCCATTTTGTTCGCCAATGTTAAAAATGCGTCGGAAGCTTTTCCAAGGGACATTTGTAGTCGAATTGGGCCTCCGGCATCTGCGTCAGAGAAGGCGTCGTTAAGCTCCAGTAGGAAATCGACCAAACCTCTTTTGAGAGCAGAGCTTCGAAACCAACATTGTCTTTTTTGAGTCTTTTCATGGCGGAGATATTCTAAAAAGCTTTCGGAAAAGAAGCCACTGCCTTGGAACATCCTTGGCTTCATCATTACTCCCGGACTCGCGAGCTTCATAGCGAGGTCCATAACAAGCCCCATGGTCCGACTGACCATGTCTCCCTGGGGGCTAATTGTGTGATGAAACTCGACGTTGTCTTTGTTGCGAGATAGTTTTTTGAGCTTTTTAGAAGCTGCCCTGAGACAGAGAGATGCATCATTAATGTGCTGTGTCCAATTGGCCTTGGTCAGCTTATCGTACAGCTTCTCAGAGCTCTCGTGACCTGATTTTAGCTCTGGGAGTAGGTTTTGTATCTCGGTCACAGCTTCGGCATATAACTCATTCAATCTACCAACATAATCAGTGATCGTACTAGGTGAATGGATAACTCATGTAAAGATAGGCAGGCGTACGGTGTCTTGAAACCTAGAAACACTTCACGTCAGCATTGGCCTGTCCAGATCCAATCTGTGGGGATTACGAGAATTACCTTCTGGATGAATCTTCTTTTTCTTCCAGCTATTCCTTAGCCCTGTCATCCAGGGCTCTTCCTGCCAGCTTGAATCCATTAAATGCCATGCGTGTGCAATTTCAAGGATAAGCAACTGTCTGAGCTGACTATACTCACAAACATAATTCATACAGTGGCTCGGGTGAAAGGCATTGACTCTTTTTGTTTCGATCAGATTTCCATGGCGATCACATAGAGTTGTCTTTTCATCATCGAACACCTCACCAACACCTATGCTCCCAAGAGCACGCCCAGACCAATTGCATTGAAGTTCGTCTCGGGTCTGCCACATGCAAAGTACGACATCCGGGCGCTTGGCCACCACCGCGTCCAGAAACACTTCATGATGCTCATTGAGAGCTCTCGTATATTCTTCGTCGTCTCCGAACAAAGAATATTGATCCATTTTCCGCAAAAACGGAAGAGAGTCTAGAATTGTGATGTGCTGAACCAAGTCTAGGCCGATGAGCGCAAATACATCCCGTAGCGCTCGCAGGGTGGGAGACTTTTCAACAACGACATCAACACCGCTTGAGAATGGATGATAATTGGCCGGCCGCAGTAAAGCCACGGCAATTCCACCTTGGGTAAGAGGTTTCGCGAGCTCTTCTGTGACTAGCAACTCATGAGAAGCATCGCGCCTCCTATGGACGAATGGACGCAATTCTTGAAGCTTTTCCACGTGGTTGCTGTATAAAGAATTCACCTTTGTATTAGGTCTTGGCTTAAGCAGCTGCCGGATGCGATGATCGATGGCGACATCTAAACAAATACCCGTCGATGGCATTTTTTATTTTTTTTTATTTTTTTAAGAAAAGAAACTGAATTGTAGGAACATATGAAACAGGAGAGGGCGAAACCAAGCAGGCTCCGCTGAAGGCTGTGGTCTTTCTTAAATACAGGTCAGGATGTGGCTGTGATCCTGCTGCCTGTGATGTTAAGTGTCCAAACCAACAACAGTCAACACAAGTCAACGATGCGTCCATCACGTGGATATATTGATATTAACAAGGCGTAGTCACTGAATATATATATATCATTGAGGCTGGCCCAATGAAATAGTTTTACATAGGTAGGTAGTTGTTTACCTTGAGAAAAGCCTTGTGGGCCTAATGCAGACAGCCGTACATGAGGGCAATGCAATCGTAGATTTTCTCAGGTAGCCCCGCCTTTGTCTCCGAATCCCACGCTATCAAATCAATCGATGAGCCACGCGCCCGTCAATCATGATGTGGATTGTCTTAATAGGTAGCAGACAAAGCAACAATCTATTACCTGAATGATCAGTTCAATGTCGCCATGTCTAATCTGTTTATCGATATGTCGCTATCACAAGCGAGGCTTACATAACTGCGTAGGTACATCGCTACAACACAACTTCCTCTGGCCCCTCAGGCATCTCAGTCCCCGCGATAATACATTGCCTCATTATTCTGACTTCATCTTCCGCCAGCGATCCGACAATCGAGTGCTGAAGGCCCCGATTGTGGAAAATCACAAAGTCCCCCTCTTCCCAGTCATGCGCATACACTAACTGTGGTGCAATTCCAGGTCTCTGCAGCCGATACAAGATGTCACGAACTCGTTCCAAGTCATCAATCACTTCACCGTTCGCAAGATGCAGCCGCCGTGCAACAGCTGCGTGGACCTGAAGCGCAAGACGGTTCGTGACGGGGTTTCGCCAGCACATGGGGAGGATCTGGATCGAGGTTGGATCGACAGGCGGCAGTTGTTCGTCGTCCAGCTCTTTGCCCTCAGAGATGAGGCCCAGACCTGTGGGATGCGACTTGGCTCGACCCATCCAGATGTACGGATGAGCAGCATACTCGACCCTCGTTGATCGGACAAATGCCTTGTCCTCTTATGACAGCAAGTCGTAAGTCGTCTCTCCACTAGCAAACGCAATTGTACCGAGTGGAACTGACAGTTCGTCCCCTGTGCCGTCGTCGTAGCGCACCGTCTGCATGCGTCTCTTGGGCAGCGTGACGGCCAGAATAGTCGTGGCAACAGGAGGCGCATCGTCGTACAGAGCGGCATCGATGTGCCAGCGGTAGAAGCGAGTGAATTCCACGTCGTCTTCGTCAGCAATGGTGGTGGGGTGCGACGAGCGATGATGTGGATATTGCAGTCTGAGATTTTTCGCACCTTGGTGCTCGGGCACGAAGCCGTTGCCGATGATCTGTACCTGTGGTTGATGGGGAACAGTGTTGAGGTCCGGGCTCAAGAGGAATCTCTTGGGGTTGTGCTTATTGCCGTGGCCCATTGAAGCAGCCGAGTTGAGACGTTCGGTGAATTCGTACTGGGCTCGTGGTGACAAAATCTGCTGGTTCTTCAGCACCAGGACCTGGTACTTGTAGAAGGCCTCTGCAAGAATAGTAATGTCGGTGTCTGGATGCGAAAGATGTGAGTCACTATCCTCATTGCTGTTCAAATTCCTTCTTACCTGATGCGCTTTCCAAATCCACATTGGAGATGTGAGCTCCAAAGTTTACGCCAGAGCCCTCTTCGTGGATCATGCGTTCAATTTTCATCTGAGAAGCCATTGCGATTGTATGTGAGTCTTGGACAATCTGTTCGACTTGTGGCTGTTTGCTTGTCTGACCATTTTGTTCATTTGGTGACTGATGCTCTGCTTTATATCTCTCCATCGTCCATCACGTCGGCACTCGGCCATGACATCGGCAGCTCAAGACGCTAAACCGCCTCATGAAGCTAATGCTTAGCATCCGTTAGCGAGAAGCCACAAGCTGGGGTACTGTTGACCAGAATGGTTCTAGCGGCATCCCACCAGATGGAGGCTCTTCCCGGGCCATTTCTTGGAGCAGAAATCTCGGAGCTTCATCAAATGACATCAATCACGGATTGCCCTGGCTTCAATTACAAATTTGGCTGGGAAATGCAGAAGAACACTGGTTGGATTCATAATCACGGTGATAAGTCGGATATCCTACGTCGAACAACTGATCAGAACTTGACGTTACTTTGTCGATTGTGTTCGATGTTCACCTAATCATATTCGCGGCGGCATTTTCCATTTGATGCAGCACACTCTGTCGCTTACAGATTGGAGCTCGTCTTTGATCTCTCTTCGCCATACACAATGGTAAAGTCCTTTTCCAGTTCTTCCTTTGTGGATACGCCGACTCTCTCCTTTGCCGAGAATCTGTCCTCCAAATACCGTTGCAGAATTTCTCGCTCGGCCACATCCCCGTCGTTGTTGGCGTCGACGTGCAGCAAAGCTGCCATCAAAACTTCCGTTACAGACCACATAATGTCTCTGCCCTTGCCGACAAGATCACTTTGAGATTCCTTGGTGATGAGGTTTCTCTCACCCTCCCATCTCTTCACCACTTCTTGGTGATGAGAAGCATTGCCATTCAAAGAAAATGCCTGTTTGATAAAGCGGTCCAAAGCATCCATTGACTGCACTCCGGTTTCAGGACGCTTGAGTGCCCTAATAAAGTCAGTGCTCAGCAAATCGGTTGTACCCTCCCAGATGGGTAGCACAGCAGCGTCTCTATAGAGACGGGCAATATTGAGATACTCTTGTTCCTCATTCAACAGATAGCCCACGCCACCGATCGATTCCATACAGGAATACAGCAATCTCAGGGCTGAGTTACAGACGTATGCTTTTGTTAGTGTGGAGAGGACCCTCAGAAGCGGCAAGAGATCCTTTGGTGGAGGCGTCAGTGCCTTGAGCGTCTCCGCGCCCATTTCCGTCGGATGTTCAGACAGCCCATGGACATAGACGGTAAACATGTGCAGAAGCATTATCCGTCTGTACTCGGCAGTCATACGTGCCAACGTCTTCATATGCAGTGAGCTGTCCGTCAGTCTCATTCTAGCGCCTCTACCGGTCCCGACTTCCCTGACTCTTGCAAAGGCTCGCGCGACTGCTAGGCCACGGCCCAAGTATCCGACCGCTTGGCTGGTGGAGTGTATCCGCGTCAAGTGCAGCAGGACGGAAATTTCCTGAATGCCGCGGTTTTCCTCCCCAATAATCCACCCACGCATGTCTTCCAAGACGAGCTCTCCTGTGGGAAGAGATTGGGTCCCGAGCTTATTCTTAAGGCGCTGAATTCGCACGCCATTTAAGCACTGGCCGTTTGGGTCGGGATTTCCAGATTCACTTAGAGCTGCAGGATCGTGCTTTCTCAGTGGCGCAAGAAAAGTTGAGAGTTTGCCAGCTGGAGTTCTTGCCAGCAGAATCGTCATATCGGAATCAGTGGCGGCCGAAAACCACTTGAATCCGTTGATACTCCATGGGCCTAGGGGAATACCCTCTTCTTTGAATGCCATCGCCTCGGTCTCGTTTGGCTGATAGACAGCTATCGTCTCAGTCAATGATACGTCGCTTCCACCAGGTCTTTCAGTCATCCATTGCCCGCTGGTCCATGAAAATTTGGGATCTCGAGTCGTCAGATGGCGGAACGCATTCTCAAACACTCTCTTTTCTGTCTCTGATAGTTTGGATGCCAGACTGGGAGTGGTCAGATGCACCTGTAGCATCCTAGCTGCGCCATCTTGCATCGCGGTGGGACATGTAACGTTTGCAGATGATCCTTCCCAAAGAAACAAGCGGAGAAATTGTCTATTTCGCGCAAAAGGCCCATACGGAGTGTCATAGGCATCGGCGACAAAACTGTAACCACCCAGCCGGAAGGCGAAATGTTAACGATGCGACTCGGTACTAATAAGAAGGATCAACTTACCCTTTCGCAAAGCCAAATTCCTGCAGCTGGCGCATCCTTCCGTCATGATGAGCTTTCCCTGCCATTGTCCAAATGCATTCCGGCCAGAGCCTTTGAGATATGGCTTGTTTCGCTCTACATCTGTGATCCAGGCGAATATTCTGTCGGCCAACACCTCTTGACCAAGTTTTGCCACTTCTGGTTTAACTTGCTCCCTCAATTCGGCTGGCAGAAATACTATTCAAGAATGTGTATGAGTCATTAATTGTTTCCTTGGAACACGAGCTCCTCATCTCTCACATTTGAAACACCGTTGATAAGTGGCATCCTCGTAGAATTGATTCAGCAAAGAGGGAGGTCGCTGGAAGAAACCTTTGTCTGCGCCAGATGACTCCATTGTCGAAACTGTGAGTGACCAATATTAGTGTGAATGGAAATGCTGACCTCGAATAGCAAGTTGAGAGAAGACTCAGAGAACAGAAAATGGAGTCCGTTGATGTGCCTTTAAATGTTCTCACAGTTGTCAGCAGGCACTGAGCTTGTTGCATCAATGTGGAGCATCCTTGGGAAAGGGATGACAATGACGGTCATTTGTACTCAGACTACAGAACAAAAGCAGAGTTCTGGACTTTTGGTAAGTGGAAATCATCGTCATTTCATGTCAGATTTAAATGGGACTTCTCAATCCAACGACTCAATAACTGGAGACTTTAAGTTTGCACTGGCAAGCTCGTCAGCCTTAACATCAAAGTCAAGGACTATGAGCTGAGGTAATTGGACAAACTGCGGCCGCTAACTCTTGTTTTGTCTCAAAAGGTCAGCTAAGTGAGCCGTTTAAAATATGATTGCACTTCTGACATTGTTGAAATATGATCCAGAGCGCACAATTTGCCTTCTTTCTCCGCGTTTATGCATCACTTCTACGTCAGGCATTGATGCGGACATTTCATGCCGGTAGTAGGGAGCAAGCAAGGATTAATTGTGGGTGATCATCTACCTACCAGTGCCGTGCGAAATCCATGCACAGCCATTGACAAAGGATATTTGTGCTAATAGCAATACGTAGAAGGCCAATTATTTGCTACAGATCAACCTCCCCTTCTGTTCCATTCGCTCGGTATGTGTTCCCGCTAGAGATACAAATTTAAACCGGCGGCTCTTTCTCCGAAACCCATCGTGAGAACATCAGCACCCAGTTCTGACAGCCATTCCCAGAGTTCGGCCTGAATCTCGAGTTGACTCTGTCGGCTCTCGGCGGTGGCTGCCGAAGTAAACGTGGAGAAAACATGCAGGGTCACGGAATCCCAGGAGACAAGATAAGTTCCCGCAGCTTGACAAAGAAAGGAGATGCAGCCCTGTACTGTTACAAAATGATGATGCGGTGAAGGACAAGCCTTCCTTGTACTAACATCACGAGCGCATTGTGCACCAATATCAAGCCGTCGCTCGCTTACTCTTTTTGTTTAGGACGCTGCGCTGGTCACATTCCCACATGTTCATTTGTTCTGCGTAAAGTTGAGAGTTCACTGGACAGTTTGAGACTCTGATATTTGACTATGGATAGACGCACATTCACGAAGCCCCATAAATCCGACTGATTCAATTTTAGTATGTACACATCTCAGATGCCTCGAGTAACGCCGACCTGGGTCCAGGCATCGCGCACCGTCTTCGCAGCTTCTTCACCAAACAACTCTTCTGCACACTCAACAGTAACGTCGGCAAACTGTCGAAACGTGCAATTAACCGGTACCTTGCCGCAAATCATGGTCTGCCACCAGATTTTGCCCGCCTTCTCCCACGAGAAGCCCTTGAATGCCGTAGCAACCAGGAAGAATGCCTTGTTGGGTATGCCAGAGTAGATGTGGACGCCGCCATCGTCGTTGTCTATGACCTCGAATTTAGAAAAGTTATCCACCTGGGGATCTTTGTTCTTTACTTGTGTTAGTTGTGCAGTTCAAAACCCAAGTAATGCATAGCTGTTATCGAACTTACGAATCGTGGGTCATCATATGCCGACCCCGGATTCTTCATGCTTCGCAGAGCGACTCCTTTGACACCAGGCAAGAGACAATATTCGCCAATGAGCCAGTCTGCCGTCTCTGCCGTTTCGTTCTCGACTCTCTGCTTCACCATGATACCAAAGACATCTGAGACATGCTCATTAAGAGCACCGGACTGTCCGTTATAGTTAAGAGGGCTTGTGTAGTCTGTGACGGCGTGAGTCAACTCGTGCCCAATCACATCAATGCATCCAGTAAAGTTGCGTAAAAACGTGTTACCATCGCCAAACACCATTTGCTGCTTGTATGGAAACCAGACTGGACATGACATTTAGCTACTGAGATTGCACTGAGCAATTGGAGACAGAAAAGTACTCACAGGCGTTTTCGAAGTGATCACCAAAATGGACGGTGCTGACAACTTTCATATTCTTATTGTCGATTGAATTCCAGTTGAAAAACTCCTTGTAGAACTTGAGAACATGACCCACGTTGTCATAGGCCTCATTGACGTCCTCATCTTCAACTGCAGGTTCTCCTTCGGCACGTTCTGCCTTGCCGGGAAGCTTGAAAGTGCTCGATGAATGTCTTGCGTCATACACGGCACGGGATATTGCCCCTGCAGATTCTCTACGAGCTCTCTCGCGAGCGGCAAGCGCTAGATTTATTTAGCCTAGATCTCATCATGCGGGTCATACAATATGGGGAGCTATTCTACCTTCCTGGACGGCAGGGATTTTACTCAAGATTTCTTGGAGGTGACCCAAGTCTTTCTTAGCACGAGAGCGAGTCTCCTCGTCAACTGAATCCGAAGTTGCCAGTTGCTTTAGGAGATGCTCGGGAATGAAGGGCGAAGTTTGGACCGCGCCTCCTCCTTTCTTTGCCCCACGAGGCTGTGTGAGGTTTGCTATGTGTTCTTGTCTGGCGGTTCTTACTTCTGTATGAGCGACGAGAGATTGTGCAGCTGCTTTGCGGACCTCTTCGGGATTTTGAGATGACTCTGAGATTGCGCGGAGGAGGTGGGGTGGAACGATGAAGCAGGGACAAGACATGGTGAAGGATCTGGCGTGAGCGGCTATGACTGAAGTATAGGGTCTGAGTTTGATTACTCTTTGAATCATTTATTCACGACACTGGGTTGATGATTTGTTATTGGACCATTTTTGGGATCAATAGGAAGTATTGCCTTCTTTTATACTTGAACATTGACACTAACTTCTACCATTGCCCGGGCTCTTGACCAAACAGTTTGATCAATATAGACGTACTATACGTTTCGTGCCGAAGCCATTTGTGAGGATATGAGACACCCTCTGTTAAGTGTGGCTTCTTCAGCCGCATCGCGACATGGATTACGAGCTTCAAGCTCAAAGAGTGGCACATAAACTCTTCGGTTACGCCAATTCCAAGAGCTGAACAGCCCTGCAATGTCGACAATAGCTTTTGATCGTCTTGATTGGAATGAAGGCTTTGTATACTTCTCCTCTACTTTGCCATGGCCATATTACTCTTCCAAGCGAACCTTTCGCAAAAAATAGGCACAGTATTTACGGAATTCGTCTTACCTATCTATATGGTCGCTACAGCCATCTGTTAAGCTGCTCACACCGGCATATAAGAGGAATATTTAGCTGATGTGAACGAGAGTCAATGAAGGGATCAAGTTATCAGAGATTGCAGTATCTCTAACCCTTAACTCCAATTCCAGATCAACCGTTACAGTATCTGCCCATCTGCTATTCCTCCCATCAGTATCCTCATGTTCTTCATGGGTATCTTGAAGCTTTTCAACATATTCAAACGTTCTGGCTTCAGCTATAAGCACCAGTGCTCAAGCTTAAACATTTTTAATGAGATCCAGGGTAGGTCACTTACTTGGTACCCAATCCTCATTAAGGCAATTGACCTCGACAACACTGTCATCTGTTGTTTTAAACATGGCTTCTTCAGCCTCATCCTGACACTAGATTCATCATATCGACACTCGATACATAAAATGCATAACTTCAGCAATTACGTAAATGGCAAGGGCTGAAATGGACATCAGGGGGGATCGACTGTGAGGCATCGAGTTGACAGGAATGAAGGCGCTATGCATTTTGAGTATTTACTTTAATTATAACCTTGACTTCGATGCGTTGCACATCAATCCGGTAGATGCCAAGGTAGTAGTTAGTAGAAAGTGGCTGCCGCCAACGGCTGGCTGAACACACTTGGACGCCCAGCTTTGATGCAAGTGTCTTTTAGTGTGTCTAAAAATGCTTGTTTCAATGTTTCTGATTCGGTAGCGCGATGAACTTTGACAAGCGACTGCCGGGTGACATGCTAGATCGGCGCCACGCGTTAACTCGACCAAATTGCTGCTGCACCTTCATACTGTCGTTGCTAGCGTGAGGGAAGATGTTTGAGTGAAACCATCAGGACTATGTCAACCGAAAAAACAGGTGTGTGACAAGACTTATGAACAAGGAGCATGAACTAAAGATACACAATGCAAGAAGCCATATTCACATGTCGGCCAATTATAGAAATGATTGGGTGTTTGCTGGAATGCAAGTAAATGCAAAGAGGAGCTGAATCATTATAGCAGGTAGATTATCCAAATGGTGAATTTGCCTTCTTATGATACTCGCGTCTAAAAAACTCTCTTCATGAAAAAGATCTGATTGATCGTGTAAAGCAAAGGTATATTGGACAGCGTCTAATTAACATTACGTATTTCTAAGCCTTCACTCTTGGTTAACCTTGAGGCCTGCCTCGGCCCATTGCGGTGTCACAGGCTCATGGTTCCCAGAGAACTTTTGCCCGTCAAACCAGAGTTCAAATCTCAAATCCGCGGGTGCAACTATGACGCGGAGGTCAAATCTGCAGATGTAAAATTTGTATCCTTTCCGGAACCATATGCCTCTTTTCTGTTTGAGCAAAAGCTGATGCTGTTCAATGCCCTCCAAGTTGCTCTTTACTATGCACAGTTTGGTCACACCAGCTGTTGTCCAGTGGCTCTGTCAGCGACTGTTTCTTTGAGATGGGCATGAACAAAAAAAGGCGTGATAAAAAAAACGCACCGTGTTTTAAACTCTTTGGTAGAAACGACGGTTCGTTCTGAGAAACTACTATATCTGCGTTCCAGCATCTTGTCGTGTCGTCGGGTCCAAGACGGTACTCGAACGATTTTACTAGAGGGATATTTGGGTCGATAACATCTCCCTTTGACAAGTCTCAATAAAAGTAGAAATATGAAGAGGAATTCATGATGTTTGCTTACCTTTTTGATAATCCACTGAATCTGATTCACAGCCCATTTCTTTTTGGGATTCCACTGATCCTGTACGACATCTTCATCGAAATGTGACGCGGGTGAATACATCTCTCTCACGATAATGCCGTAGCTGGAGCGAGCAATTCGCGCCGCCAAAACCGGAACGTTTCCTGTATCCATCCTCTGTTGGTGATCAAGAAGAAGGCCTCTCACGACGACAAGCTGCGGGTCGTGACAGGGCACCACTGCGACTCTCATGGCGTTCATGTGCGGGTAAGTGATGAGCTGCTGTTGTATTTTATCGCGGACGTAGGCGGAACTGCCGAGTCCACCGGACAAAATCATGTAGTCCTACAAATTAGTAATTAGTATTTAAAAGCTCTTACAGTCTCTATACGAAATTGGAACACTTACCACTTGCTCTGTGTGTCCATGTTCGCTCAACCAATTTAGCTGTTCCGTTATTCGTTTCATGATGCCATCAATCTGAACGTCGAACAGAGACTGAATCTCGGCCCTACTCTTTGTCAGTCCAATTACAAGCACCACGGACAACAGGTGCCAGAGTACCAACATTGTAAATAACATCCTGCCATTTTCCACGCCGAGTCCAGCATGACTAAACTCATGCGATACGCCTTCCAATTGAAGCTTGAATACAGGCTGCATATAAACTCTTTCACCAAACTTGTGTTTCAGAATCTTGAAATGATGACTCTTCGACAACCGAACAGCGAAATCACTAGGAAGCTGGGGCCGCATATCGGGATACCGGGCCAATCTCTCCATGATCAGTCGAACAAATGCTCTGTCAATCAGCGTCGACCCAATGCCCACTCCCTTGACGGCAGATATCTGTGCCATCTGAGGAAAATTGGGATCGCTTGACGTTACTCGCATCAGCGCCAAATCTGTTGTTCCTCCTCCTGCGTCAACCGTCAAAAACAAGCTGCCGCGGTGAAATGCCACTGGGCTTGTCTTGAGCGTTGCAACAGCAGCAGCTTCAGCCTCGGTGAGATCGACCTGAGCCATGTGCCTGGGCCCTTCTACACCAAAGCCTGCATCTCGTATGATGCCTTTGAAGATGTTTATAATCTCCATTCGTGTCCAGGTTGTGGGCACGCTGAATAGAAACGTCACAGCCATGTCTGCCCAGCCACCAAAGAGCCGTTTGCCAGTCTGCGTCTCAATAGTCTCTTTCACATGGAGATATACCTGGTGCAGATATTCTGTTGCAAACATTTGGGCTTGTCTTGGACTCTTTGGGACATTGGAGAACCCGCGTTGCTGAGCTGCGACGAGTGTTTCTTCATCAATGAAGATTTTAAAAAAGTCTCGCCGGGTCTTGCCTGGCAAAGTTTCATCGTCATCATCGCATAAGTAGCCCCAAGATGACAAAGTGCCGTCTCCATTGTATATCAGAGTTGTTGGAACTTTGCGCTCTCCTCGATCACCGCTGCCAGGCCAATCATTGACGACCTGGATTGGTGTCTTTGGGGTCATCCATGCAACACCTCAATGCCATCGTCAGTCATACATCTCCAACATAGTCATAAGAGCTGTTTTACCTGTATACGTGGTGCCCAAGTCAATTGACACGATAATGTCTGGTTTCTCGGCCATCTTGACATCATTCCCGAGAGCTTGGTTCGATGCAACTCTCGTCTGAGCACTCATTGCCAGTCCCCCAAGCTATTATCTCCAAGCTAAAGTAGAATGTACACCCATCGGAGTGCCCGTCAATAGCTCGATAGTTGCAATTCATCTTTTAAGAGCAAAATTACGAGGAGCGACGAGTGCAGCTGCAGTGTTACGCTGTTGGTTGTGCTCTGTTTCAGTCACCCTTGTTCAGCGATGCATTGGCCTCCAAGCAAACAGCAATCCTCAGCTGATCTCTCCCAGTGCGGTGGGAAAGGATTTTAATCCTGGCAAAGAACCCTGCAAGCTTGGAGAAACGTGGCAGTTTAGCGCAAATGATGTGAGCAAACCGCCTCCGCAAACCGCAAATCTTAGTCGGCCGTTGATCCGCGACTAGCTTGTAGATCGCTCTCTCGTTGTGTTTGTTGATGATAGTATCCGCGGCGGCTCAGGGCGTTAAATCCGTGGTATAGGGGTTCTCTCTGATAAAGAATCTGTTCTGGTTTAATGCATGGCATTCAAATACGAGATACATGGAGAATCAACACATGGCTAGTGATTCTGGGCGCCGTTATCCATCTCTCAGACTTTCATATAGCTCTTCTTCGCCTAGGTGGCCGCTCCTCCGCAATACAATCTGAAACTCTCTCTTCACACTGATATTCCACAATGGCTACTCAGCCTCCGTTAAACTGCAAGACGACTCTGAATGGAGCTGAGACTTGGATACCTTGCCCCACAACGACCACTTCGAAGCAGACAACAACAACAACCACCGCCTCCACCACCACCACTACTACCACATCACCATCTTCTACTACTACAACTACGACTCGATCTACTGATACGACTTCTTCAAGTCCCACCCCAACCAAACCAGATGGCACAACGGGCCTTCCTTCTGATACTTCTACCAGTGTGAAGAAAACTTCTACTGCTGTCTCCAACCCAGATTCCAGCGTTACCAGCTCTCTTCCTGCATCTTCCCAAACGGCTTTGCCTCTTCATCAGCATGCATCCCTCTCTACAGGCGCCACCGCTGGAATCGCAGTCGGATGTGCTGCCGCTGGTCTCATCATTGGCCTTCTCGCCGCCCTTCTACTGTTCCGCCGTCGAAAGGGCAAAGGAGTCACCGACATAAGTCACGCACCCATTCTTGTTGAGTCCAAAGAGCCTCCATCGACTGAGAACATCGACGGTATTGGATCTGTTGCTGGTATCCGGCTGGGCCAATTTCTCCTTGATGGAGCTCCTGGCCAAGAAATTGTCAGCGAGTTACAAGCTTTGAGCGAGCTCATCCGCCAACATGTGGAAGACTACTACACTCTTCAGCCAGTGGACGTCAGTGTCGGATCATTGTCGCAATCGCTCCAAAATCTTGGATTAGGATCAAGTGGCTTGGGATTGACTGCGGAGGCAATTGCTACTTTATGTACCAACAGCTATTCTCGTCAAATTGGCCTGCGCCACGTTATCTCGAATGTCATTTTTGCAAGTATCGACTTTCACACTCGTAGCAACTTGTCAATGCTTCCCGGGCCTGCTGCTGGGCTGCTGCAGTCTATTCCCGGAGCTGAATATGGCGGTAACAACAATCTAGGTATGTAATCTTTAAGAGTTTAACGCAAGAAAAAGACTAATGAAGTGTATAGCATTCTCCCAAGCCCTTCAGACATGGCGTCGACTGTCCGCTTTCCTCCTCCATCAAAATCGCAGCCAGCGAACCTCCTTGCAAGCGGACGCCTTTACAATTGCACCTCAAGCTCAATTAGTTACCAACTCTCTCAACAATTTCTTGAACGCCTTTGTTATTCCAGGACAGAACAGTCAGCAGGCAAGCCACCTTCAAGAGGTTGTGATCGAATGCGCAAAGCTTGGCTACGTGCTGTTCTCTCACCCGGTGGATTGGAAGTTTATTTTTGAAGAGTCCGGGACTATAGTGGCCGATGCAAATGTAGTAGTTATCTGCCCTGGCTTAGAAAAGTGTAGTGACCGTGATGGAAATCCTCTTCGGCCTCCACGAAGAGTCGCAGCCCCGGTTGAGGCAACTCTCTGATCTGGGGATCCACAAGAGTCTTCGGGATTGCCGAGTCTCTTGGTACCCCAATACTATCCTATTTAGATATCTTTAATAACATTAGCATTAACACGCGAATCGCGAATCTGAAATGACCCATCAGCGTGGAAGCTCGTGATCGCCGTCGCTAATGAACAAACCGTCGGGGAACTGGCCCGCTGGAATCACATCCGCAATGCCGAATCACAAGGGAAATTACCAACCCCAGCTTCCCAGCCGCATCTGTTTGCAAAGATCCCCTTCAACCCGTCTTATCGCCGATTGGGGGCGGCTCGAGTTGCTCGTATGCACAAATTAACTCGGATAGACGCATATCTACAGGGGATGCAGCTGTGGCCTCATTGGTGGCCTCGCCAACTGTAGAACGTCGAACCAACATGCATATGCGCGAGCGGAAATATGGAACGCATTCGGAATGTAAAGGGTCATTTTGTGTAGCTCGGAGATTTGCCCTTTTCCAGAAGAGCACAAGCAAGTGCTCCTTGAAACTTGCTTTGCTCGTAGAATGAAGATAGAAGCAAGATCAAGCGTTTCAATGTCTGGGGATCATCCATAGCGACGGGTCAGAAGCGACGGTTTGACTGCCTAGAAACCCCTGTGAACATATTTCTGGCGTTCCTTTTCTCCGAAAGCTGATAGAAGAGTTGGCCGATCATGTCAAGAAGGAATAGCTCGTTCGCTGCATGACTGGCCAATGCACGGGCAACTTTATTCTCCGTTCCTTATTGTGTCACAGGATTTCCTGTTGGATCCTTTGTCTTTGGCTCGGCTGTTCCCCGCAGTTCTCTCTTGGACGCAGATTTTTCGACGACTATTCTCTTTGTTGGGAAAGATGATCAAAGTCTTCTCTTCCATTCGTTCAACGTATCGCGCTGTCAGTGTGGCGATTGATGGCGAAAACATTTCCAATGACATGCGACGCAGTCTTGAGCTTGTACGCACGTGTAACCAAGACTTACAGGAGCTCATTAGGCTCCGCAACGATCATCTTCGTTTGCTTGAGAAACAACCACAGATACTTGAGCGTCTCAACTCCATCATCGAAAAAGTACACAATGGACTACTCGACGCTTCTCGTATTGTGGAAAAATATCGACCAGAGCTTCATTCTGGTAAAAAGACACTTCAATCTCAGATAGCATGGGCGCATCGAGACTCTCAAGAATTTCAGGCCATGGGACCTACCATGAGCCAGCACAATGCAACAATTCTAGCAGAGATTAGCTTCCTCAGAAGTCTAACCATCATCACCACACAAACCAAGGCAGAGGAAGCCAAGGAGATTGAGATTCTTGGCTCAGATGACAAGACACTATTTAATAACCTGGAGCTTCTAGAAGACTTTATGGGCGATGTATCAGGTACTTGGGTAGTCTGGCCAGGTACAGTGTGTATCAAGTTCTGACATGGTATAGGTTCTCGAGATTTACCTCCTGCATCACCAGCAGCACCGCCACCGCTGCCTGCTGTTCAAGTCAATGCAAGGGCAAGCATGCCCAATCTTCTGATCAATCAGGAATATTGTGACCTACCGGAGCCTGTTATTCCAAACATCATTCCTCATCAGCAACCAATCACCAGTCTATTAGCATCTGAACAAGCATCAACTCTCCGGACGCTAAGTGGGCAGACACTCGAAGATGGCAACCAGCGCAACAGCCGGGTTGTCTTGAATCAGGCCGATCACTCCGGATTATCTCTCTTATTTGGCGATGAGTTGGATCTAAGCTTTGACTTATCGACTAAGATTCACCCTCAACACACTCGAGCACAGTCAAGCGACTCGATGCATAAGTCCTCCATACCATCATTTTCACCATCCTCGACAAACGGAGGGACTGTTGATTCCACTCCGTTGACAAGATACTCTCTTACCTCTCAGCCATCTACTTTGTCTGTAAGCTCTATCGGGACATTCAATCCGCAGAGCCCGGAGCCTTCTACGAGTCGGTCGCATTTATTTTCACTCCCACCAACACCACCCACCAATACAACATCACAGTTGGCTTCATTATCCGCAACAGCCTCATCATCAGAAACTCAACAAGACGCCCGGTCAAGGCCGCGAACATTGTCATTTGCAGAACGCTATGCGAATTTGGCCGAAGACTCAGGCCAGGAAGGTCGGCGGTACCGTCCATGGCGACCTTACAAAAATGGGGATATCTATGAGCTACAGGGATCGGAAATATCTCCAGAGGAGCATCCATTTGCTCAATCCACCACTTCACTATCACATAGATCAACTACTTAGTACCCGATTCCTCATACATTAAAGTTTGTCGCCGTTTGTCGTCACATTCACACAGTCAAGGCCGTTGCGAATAGATACATATCTGATACCACTAGAATTACTTTACACTTACACTTAACATGATGGCTTCTTTAGCCAGCGATACCAATAGAAAGGCTTATGTACAACTGGCAACATTTTATTAATGCGTATCTCTCTACCTGACAACTTAACCCTGTTGACAAACTCATACATAGCAGCACGATTAAGCGCCACTGGCAACGTTAAACATGCAGTAGTCAATGTTCTTGTTGTTGTTTGTACCACCATTGTTGAGAGCATAAGTGGGAAAGTTGTAAGATTTGCCACTGGCCCCCAGAACAGCGAAACTGAGGATAAAGACCATGACCTGCGTGCCACCGTCCATTGCGGCGGAGATCAAGTAGTTATACTTGATGAAGAGGCCAGGATGGTAGCGACGGAGGTAGAATTGAGCAAAGATTCCGAAGCCAAAGAACATGAGCAGTGACGAGTTGACGCCGACGCAAAGCACACCAGCGTACCAAATTATTATAGAAGTATTCACATCGCGAAACACCTCGCGCTTCGTCAGCTTCCATGCCAGCCAGAACGGTATGGGCGCCGCGAAGCCGAGAAGATAAGCCAACGTGACCCATTGGTAACGGTTACCAACTGAGAACATGTCCTTGGCCAGAGACCAAGCCACAGCGAGAGTGTTGTATCCTTGAACATTTTGTCCTGACCAGATGTTGGTTCCATCAATCGACAGCAGCGTCTCTGTCTGGTTGTCTACAATGCTGACCATCATCACGTAATCCATGATGGCGCCAATCACGGTACCAAGCATCTGAGCAAAGAAGGTGGCCTTGGGCGGCAAATGTGCCAGTTGAGCCAACTTCAGATCTCGAAGCAGCCACTGGCCTTGCTGAATACCGTTGAAACCGAACACGGTGAAGTACATGTTGGCCAATGGCTTTCCTGGCAACAGATAACCGCCCAGCATCTGAATAACAGGCTGTTGGTTGAATTGGAACCCAGTCAGTCCCATCTGAGCGCCAAAGAAGAGGATGAAGAGTGCGGCAAAGATATTCGACACAATGAATCCCCACCAAGGCAGCGTGGACTTGATTGCGTATAGTGTGGCGATACCGATGACGAAGGACAAGATGAGAACGATTCCGTACCACCAATTTGGCACTTCGGCATATCCATTTTGCATCATCAACTTGTAGTGAGGGTCCATCTCTTCGTCTGCTAGAACAAGTTGTCGTCGAACCTCTGCATCATCGTCTTCGCTCTTCTTCCAGAAGGCATATGTTGATGGCTTGGCAAGCTTCTTGAGTTTGGATGGGTGCAAGAATGCCCAGCCATTCTTAATATCGTCGTAATTCCACAAGAGCATATGAACGATTGCAGCCGTGATGCCGAGATTTGTCGTGAGGAGATACACGACGTATGTTCCAGAGAGATGAGGGAACCCTTGATTGGCAACAAGAGTGCTGTTGATGGTGTTATCGCTGTTTAGAACAGCCGTGAGATTGTACTCGACAAAATTGGTCCCGTTGGATGAGCTGTCGTATAGTAGCTGAGATAGGAAAGGGAAGTCCGCAGACTGCCACACGTTTCCATAGTAAATGCCCATGAATAGGACGATACATATCAGGTATCCGACAAAGCTGTTGACTAGTGTATATAGAGGAAACCAGAGAGGCGAATTCAGTCCAGCAATGTAGTTCCAATCGAAGCAGAGGCCGAGAAAACCGAGACCCTCGTTATTCTGCGCTCCTCCAAATAGGTTGGTAAATACCAAGCTATCCTGTCGTGCCAGACATGGGATCGAGATGCCCTGGAAAATGGGCGCAATCCACAACGGGATAATCTCCCAGAAGAAGGCGCCACTAAAGACGTAAGAGAAATACTTCAGGCGTTGCTTTGTCTCGGCTTTATCACGATGTAAAGTCTCTAGCAGCGTGTTGACGGGGATATTAATTGGCCAAAGCATCTTGGCAGGCTGCACAAGCACTGTTCGAAGGAGTCCCGCTATGCCATATGCCAGAAACTGTGAGGCGATGACAAGAAAGATGGCGGCACCTTGATTTGGGTTCGATCCGTAGTAGAGTCGCTGGGCTGCAAGGATTTGCGTCGCTACCGCAGATGTTGAGCCCGCTGATCCCATGATTACCATGAAAGCGTGTTCTTTGGAGTTGAACTCGGCCGGGTTGAGGAAACGGCATATCCGGGATATGATGCCATTGCCCTCTGGGCGTGGGATGAGTTGGAACGGCAGTGCGAGGATGTATGCAATCACAGTGAGAAAGACAACCGAAACGTAGATGACTTGAGGCTTGAAGTAGAAAATCTCCTGCAGCACAGATGAGAATATGCACAGGATGAGGCCTAAAGGTAAGCAGCGTTGTTAACTACGATTCAGATATCAGGCAATTAGATGAGAACTTGATAATGGAACTTACCAATAACAATCGCGCGAAATGTCCACGGGGTATCATTTGGGTTGTCGTCGACGTGTAGAACGTGAGTAATCAGGTCCTTTGCATTGTCGATGACGGTAACCTCGCCGAAGCGATTCTCTTTCCTGACGTCGTAGTCGCCATCATTTTCATCATCGATGATGCTAATGGTTCTCTCAATATCTGAGTTCAATCCAGTCTTCTTTTCATCGCTTGTACCTTGAGTCTCCTTCTTTTCCCGATTTGCTTCGTCCTGCTCCGGACGCCTGCTATCAGGAGTGATGTGATCCTGTTCGCTGGCCATACTTGCAAGGATTGGTCCCTGGCCAATCAACCTTTCACAATAGACGTGAGAGAAGATGGAACCATGCAAACTCCCAAAGCATCTCTGAAGAAAGAAGCCATTTCTTGGGAATCATTGTGACTTTAAACGACTTACACAAACTACACGCAGTATCAAAGCACGAGTTAATATGTGGGGTAGCAAAAGTTCCGATGGCCAGGACTGATTGCCTGAAATGGTAGGAGGGGTGCAGGGACTAAATACGAATTATACGAAGAGGGTCCTTTTTTTCAACTCTGCCGGCATCTAAAGTCCGATTGCTTAATCTTCATTCGCTGGGTTCTGGAATGAATCGCTGATCCGGCAATAACTGGGGCTTAAGGCGGCCGATTACCCGTGGAAAATGGAGTGTAGCAATGCTAGATAACGGATAGACTGCCCGTGTTGAGAAGATAGCACAAAAGAAGTCAACTGGAAAACCAAGATATGCAAAACCAAAATACAAGTCTCAGCAATGAGATTTATTCTATAAAGGCCGTTTATATATCTATCTCATTATCAACTAGAAACAACTTGTCTTTTTCCAACTTGCTATAGTTTATTACATCTGGAACTCAAGTTCTTGAGTTGTTGGCCACAAGCACGCGACCGATCAACTGTTACCAGCTTATCCTGTGTGGAGACGTAGCCACTCAAGAAACGGGCAATTGCTGTTCCAAAAGAGAAAGAGAGAGCAAAAGTGCCACTCCTCCACAGGGTCTTTTGATAACTCACTGAAACTCAGAGTAAAAGGGATGCCGATGTGCCGAATATGATCAGCCTAACATCGATTAGGGTGCAGTAATACTACTCTACCCTTGGGATTATATGACCAATCATGATCACCCCGCTCTTGATTGGACACTCTGTGCGACAGACTTTACATGCTTTATCAGGGCCTGTGGTTTTTTGTTTGTCATATCGGTGTATTTAGACGTCTTATGCATATAGTTACAATTAGAAGTATTATGCTTTTTTTCTTTGAGTGAAAAACGAAGATAAATACTACCTAACATTACATTCAACCTGGTACCTGCATCTCGATCTTCTCAGTTGGCCAATATGAAACGATAGCATTGGCTACTCCCAGATCTCGACCATGTTGTCTGGTACACCGAGCTCAAACTGGCGGCTCTGATTCTTGCTGATGCGTAGATACTCTGCATCGGGAGCCTTTTCACCCGCCTCCAATCTGAAAATGGTTGCAATGTCGGCTTCAACAGTTGAAGGCGGCGCAGAAAATTCCCGAATCATGGCTTTTGTTCCGTTGAGGCCTGCAGCTGGAAACAGAGCGATTCTACCGGCAATCTCATCTACAGCTCTGCGAAGCTTGACTTCTGACCTATACATTCTGTTGACCCACCCAATCTCCGCAGCAGTCAGGGCATCGATTCCACTGGAAGTAAGCATGTATTCTGCGGTTCGCTGTATTCCGATTAATCGCACAAGATGTTGAATTCCACCATTCCCGTGGACTCCGCCAACTGCAACTTCGGGAGCTCCTAGAATGGTGTTGGGGCCTGAAAAGGCCATGTCGCATTGTACAAGAAACTCATTGCCTGAACCGGTGGCTTGTCCGTTGATATCAGCGATAAGAATGGTCGGAAGAGATTTCAGCATGCCGACAATGGCCCGATTCTTTGTAAAGAGCTCCTCTGTGTAAGACTCATTGAACGGAGGGTTGGTACCGAAAAGGGCTCCATCATAGTGACCCATCCAAAAGTCAGGGTCAGCGCTAGCATGACCTTGGGCGGAGGAGCAGAAACAGTGATGTTTTCAGGCACAACAGAGGAAAGCAAGTCGCAAAGATCGGTGATGAGTCTGTAGTTGTAGAGATTTGTGGGAGGGTTGTCCATGAGGACGCGTAGAATTGTGCCATTGTTGGATGATGTCGTCGTCAAAGTCCCAAAGCCGGTTGACTTGGTGCGCTCCCAGGGTAGGCGACGGTCATCATGTTGCTGAACCGGGTTGCCGTTGATTAATGGCAAAAGGCCAGACAAGGTCAAGAGTACAAGATTTTTATAAAACGAGTGCATTTTCGTGATACAGTATTCTCTTAATGTGTTGTGTTGAGATGTAAACTTGAGTCAAATCTTTGAAGATTGCGAAGCAGTAGGTACGGATTGTGACTTAAGCAAACTTGCACACTTATAGAAATCATCCCTTCATAAACTCAACCCAAGCTGTATACTAACAAGCTGACATGACTCCACAGTATAATACAGATGTTTATAAATGCTTTCAATTTGTCATATTCTTCCACAGTTTGATACAATGTTCTATTGGATTACCAGGCATTGAACATGGCGTACGAGAGAGTTTCACCTCGAAGACTTACCCGGCATCTCAGGACTTAATATGTCCGCACTCCACAGTGGCTTAACCGATTCCAATAAGCAGCGCCTCTCGACGAAACGGTTACCCATTTTGGAAACTAGACATCTTCACGATTTCAATACTTGTTTCGGGATAGGTAAGAATATTCCTCGTCGGATGTGATGCCTTTTTTTTTTTTTTTTTTTTTTTTTACATCCAGTTCAGCACTGCAGTTGGTGTTGGGAGCTGNGCACATTGTAATATTTCTGCGTATTAAAGGAGCTGCTCCTCTGGCGGCATAAAGAATTTTTACACCTACTCGATCAAATCAAAACATTCACACAGCCGCTCACCATGCATCGCCCCCACCGGTGCCCAAAAAGCCCAACTGGATTGGCACTCTATCATTGGGCCAGAAAAAGGCAATGGTTCGCATACGGCAGCTGGGATGAACATTTGTCCGCATCCCCTCATTCTAGATATTTCTTGCCGTCTCATTATGATCCTACCACGTTTTCAGTCTATATGTTGCAACTCTGCAATAGCCATGGCGGATCGGGACTTGTACACAGTTGGATGGATTTGTGCTATCCACACCGAACTCGTCGCAGCGTTGGCATTGTTGGACGAAAGGCATGACTGCCCGAAAGAGCTGGATCCAAACGACTCCAACAACTATGAGCTCGGCAAGATCTCCAACCATTACGTCACAATTGCTTGTCTACCCGACGGCGAACATGGAATAGCTGCTGCTGCTGGCGCTGCGATCAATCTATTACGGAGCTTTCCCAACATCCGCTTTGGATTAATGGTAGGCACCGGAGGAGGTGCTCCAACAAGCCATCACGATATAAGACTCGGCGATGTAGTTGTCAGTACACCTGGAGACGGCAAAGGGGGAGTCTTTCAATACGATTTTGGTAAAACTATGCAGAACCAAGCTTTTGTTGAAACTGGCTTCTTGGATCAGCCTCCAAGGTTGCTACGAACAGCAGTAGCCGGGCTTAAGGCTTCCTACGAAATGGATGGCCATACGCTTACTGAAGAGGTCAACAACGCCCTCCAAAGAAAACCACGACTCAAAAAGACATACAGTCGTCCACAGACTGGCGATATACTATATAAATCCACCTTTACACACATATCTAGACAATGGGAAGCCTGCGAGGCATGTGACGACGATCCTTCCAACTATATATCACGACGTCCGCGAGATGAGAACGACGACGATCCTACTATTCATTATGGATTAATTGCCTCCGCCAATCAACGTATGGAAAATGCGATAATTCGTGACAAACTCGCAACAGAAAATGGTGTCTTATGCTTTGAAACGGGAGCAGCGGGATTGATGAATCATTTCCCATGTCTCATCATTCGTGGGATATGCGACTATGCCGACACTCACAATAACAGTAAATGGCAAGGATACGCAATCCATGATGGCGGCGGCATACGCGCGAGATCTTATACGCCGACTTATTCCTGAACAAGTGCAGGCGAGGAAAACAGCAAATGATATTTTACTCAGTAAGTTCTGCTCGTACACTAAGGTGAGCGCCAATCTAACCACACTCTGTAGGTTTGACCGACCAAATGAGCGAGCTTACTTTCAACACCGATAAAATCGCCCATAAACTTGACCTTGCAAAACTGTCAATTGCCGAGGGTGCAGAGTATGGTTCATACGCGGACCAGCACGAGAATGAATGCCTTCAAGGAACTCGGACCAAGATTCTCCATGATATTGATGAGTGGGCCACATCATTATCGAGAAAATGCATATTCTGGTTAAATGGAATGGCAGGTACCGGAAAATCTACGATATCCAGAACAATAGCGAAAACTCTTCGAGGAAAAGATTTATTAGGCGCTTCGTTCTTTTTTAAAAAGGGTGAAGCGGACCGCGGAAACGCTACGCGTTTTTTCTCGACCATCGCTTCACAACTCCAAACTAGGGTTCCTGGAATGGCCGATCATCTAAGAAAGGTCATCGATTCTGAATCTCAAATATCGACTAAATCACTTAAGGAGCAGTTTAAAAGGCTTATTTTAGAACCAATATCCAGTTTGAAGGCTGCTAACAACCAGCCTTCATTTTTGGTGGTGGTGGTTGATGCCTTGGATGAGTGCGATAATGACAAAGATATTAAAGTCATACTTGATCTGATTCCACAGCTACAAGCAAGCAGTTCTGTACACTTCCGAGTATTCATCACCAGCCGGCCAGAACTACCTATTCGACTTGGATTTAAAAAAATGGAAGAGAACGATTATCAGGATCTCATTCTTCATCAGATCCCTAAAGACGATATTGAATATGACATTCAATTTTTCCTAAAATCCAGGCTTGCTGAAATTCGCGAATCCAGGATGCTACCAGAAGAATGGCCTGGTGAGACAAACATTCACACTCTTACCACAATTTCCATTCCTTTATTTATCTTTGCCGCTACCATGTGTCGTGTTTTTGAAGACCATGACATGGACCCTCGGAAGTGCTTGGAAGATTATCTGAAGCATGAGGCCGAAGACTCTAAACTGGACGCGATATACCTTCCAGTGCTGAACCGAATATGTACGAAGTACAGCGACACTGACGGACGGAAAGACCAGTTCATTGAAGATGTCAGGGAGGTTGTTAGTGCGGTTATGCTTCTCGAGAGTCCTTTATCAATTACCAAGCTCTCAGTGCTCATGGGTATTCCAACTAAGGCAATCAACTCCAGGCTGAATTCCCTACACTCAGTGTTGAATGTCCCGAAAGACGAAAATAAGCCGATAAGACTCTTCCATCTGTCATTTCGTGACTTCTTATTAGATCATAAAACTCCAGCGAAAACGGCGATCTGGATAGATAAGAAAGCAACAAACCAAAAGTTAGCTATACAGTGTCTCAACATCATGCGCACTCATTTAAAGAAGAACCTCTGCAATCTACCAAACTACGCCGTTAGCTCCAATAATATACCTGATGAAACCGTTAGCCAACATTTATCACAGCCGTTGGAGTACTCGTGCCGTTACTGGGTTGAGCACTTGGTCCAAGGTCAAGGCCCAGTAGAAGATTCCCAATCTTTTCTGGAAATCCACTTACTGCATTGGGTGGAGGCAATGGCCATCTTGAAATGCGTACCAGAACTCATTAAGGCGTTAACATATTTGCAGTTGTTTATACAGGTATGTTGTCTTTTGCGAGGCACTATAGTGGCTAGCGCTGCCTAATTATTTACCAATGGACCAGGATAATGGCGACGATCAAGTTTCGGAATTCCTTCTTGACGCTATACGATACGTTCTTAGAAACGAAAGAATGATAAAGAAGAGACCTCTCCAGCTTTACGTTTCGGGATTGATATTTGCCCCTGCAGTGTCTGCGGTTAAACGACAATTTAGCAGAGAATTGCCAGATTTCTTATCGATGACATAAAATGTTGATAGTTACTGGGGTGCAGAATTGGGAGAGCTCCAGAACTCTTTCGACCCCGTCTGCTCGGCAATTTCCTCTACTGGCTGCGTACTTGCGGCCGGGTTTTCAAATATGACTATGCGGTTCTGGGACACTATCACAGGCAACTTAATAACCGGGTGGAGGGCTGGTGAATCCGACCGGATCCCCTGGATCCAAGCCATCGCCTTCTCTTCAGACGATAAATTGCTCGCAGTCTGTTTAGGTGGCTCAGGAAAATTACAAATATGTGATTCTACCAAAGGTACCTTGCATAGCACCTTCGATGAGGATGTGGGCCGGGTCACCTCTCTGGTCTTCACTGATGGCGGTCAAGTACTTGCGTCACCATCCAAGTCTTGGGACTTTTTGACTTGGGATCATGCTACAGGCATTCAACGGCACTTGCTTACGAGACGCCTCTCGGAAGATGCCCATGTCGCACTATCGCCTACCGGCTTACTATTGGCAGCTTTTGGTTGTTATCAAACAGAAATTGAGTTATGGAATCTCGCCACTTGTAGCTGGCAATGTAGACTGGCGGGCCATGCCATGTTCGTTTCATGTATAACGTTTTCTACAGATGGTCGATTAATAGCGTCCGGTGACAGAGATGGCACCATAATTATTTGGGATGTTGCCACAGGCGTCCAACGGCAGCACATAACGAATCGTCTAGGATCAGTTTTCGGTATATCTTTCTCACCAGAAGGGCAACGGCTGGCGTTATTGTTTAAGAGGCAGGGGTCTATTGTTGTTTGGGATCTCAGCGAAAACCGTTCGATCCAAATTTTAGGGGATAAATCCCGGGCAAGGCGTGATGTTCTCTTTTATAGAGACAATAAAACCCTGGCATCTATTGGCGGACTCGAACCTATCAGGCTCTGGGATGCTACTGATGTATCACAAAAAAGTCGACAACCACATGCTTCTCAGGTCAAATCGGTCGTCTTTTCTCCTGATGGTCAGCTTCTAGCCACTGTGTGTCGAAGAGTCCTCATCTGGATGGTTACCAGCGAAAGCATAATTCAAAATCTAGGGGATATATACCACGGTAATATTTTGACCTTCTCACCATCCAATACGCTATTGGCTTTCAGTTCTTCCCCTACAGTCATCAAGTTATGGAATATCAACACAGAGATGCAACAATCTAGCATTGATGCTTTTGGCGAAGTTCGTTGTATCGCTTTTTCATCAGATGATCAGCTTGTAGCATGTCTGGTTGACCTTCAAGACATCAACGTTTGGGATCTCACTACCGGTACATTGAGGAATATCATAAGCGATTTCCAGTACGACCCGCACATTCGCTCGATCAACTTTTCCTTCAACAGCGAGTACTTAGCTACCTATACGCTATTCCCTCATCCTGACCAACCAAAGTGGCTGATTAAGGCCTTTCGTTTAGTCAATACAGATATAGCGGATTTTTATTTCTGGGCTCCTGATGCAAAAGCTCACTTCAGTCGTGATCATGTTAACAGGGTTCATGACGTCCCTGTATTCGAATTTGGGACTCCACAAGTTGATTTGAACGGAGTCATGGTATCCGAAGGGAATGATGAACGGACGAATGACGTGCAAACCCGATTGGTAGTATATGGCGAGTGGCTCTATTATCAGGGCGAAAAAGTGGTATGGCTTCCTGATAGCCGTCGAGCGAGCTGTTGGGCCTCTAATAATAAAACTATTGCCATTGGGCATGATTCTGGAGGTGTTACGATTATCAAGATTTCGCCGCAATCTGGTCGCGGTGAGTTTCATAATATTTGACTACACCACAAATACATGATAATGGAATCATCTTTCCTGGTGAGGATCTATTTCAAACACAGACTGGACCATATGATAGCTGGAAGAGAAAGCGTATCACTTATACATAAGATATCTAATGGGTTTCCCAGGACCTTAGCTCAATTAAAAGCTATTTTTAACTAGTCAGGCGAAGATACTCTGACTTTTTTTTGCATTTTGTGGTTCCGAATTAGAAGCTTATATCTCTCGATGTGGCACATGTTGGTGGAGTTCCGCCAAACCTAATGGAGTCTGGTCGAAATATGAGATCGATCGGTTGTCGATATTTGAAGTGTATTCATTTTCCTATTCGGAAATTATGCTTAGCCAGAGGAGTAGAGTAATGTCCGTACGAATAGCAAACAGGGTCTTCATCTCCACCGAGAAAAGACATATCAAAGTGCTTATGGTTTTATGGTTACACTGCACACCTTCAACGCCGAGCACGCCCTTGTGTGCCTCATCTCAGGCAAGTTGCCGATATTGCTACTCGTAGAATATAGGCGTACTGAGTGGATTAGCATGGGGCTTGAAGGAGGAATAACTGAAGGCATACTTTACAATGACCTCTTTTAGAAATCCACCGACCCCCAAGGCGTCAACACCGCCTCTCCTCTCGATCATCCAGGTAATTGCCGTAAGGTGGGCACGCCACGCGTCGAAATTTCCAACTGTAAACTAGAGCAGAAAAAGAGTTAACTAGAAGCTGAAACACACGTATCAAGCCCATCGTAATAAGCGCTAACCTCATCAATTGCCATTATCATGACCTTGGCGATAGTGGCATCGCTCATCTGCCTATCCCTGGTGGCTAATGAGGCATTTGTTGACTGGATACACTGCAGTCGGTACTTGGTTGACATATCTGCATAATTCTGACATGGATTTAATGCTCCTAGACTCTGACAAGACTGTAGAAACAACGCGGCCATGAGGCCACGGTCCGAAAGAGCCAATGGAATCCAGTGTTTCAGCTGCATGTTGATAAGCCATCGATTGGAACTTTCCTTGTTTCTGTGGCAGCTGCCATTGCTGAAAGGTATGATGTAATTGATATCTTTCTCCATAGTCTTCTTAGATACAGGCAGGACTATTTTGAAAGGGATAGACGTACAGTGAAGAAAGAGGAAGCCTTCCTTGTCAGAGAAGTCCCCACATGGGACTACAGGAGAGAGACCAATGGCCTGTTGTGGGCGAGAAAGTGGCATCGTGGTGACTGTAGATGTGGGTTCTTCGACATCCTCCTGGCCATTACTAGATGTAATCTTAGTTGAGCGGACCGGTGTGTCGCCTCGTTTACCGTCGACATTCCGTTGTGGCTGCCTGGTCCTCTTGTTATCGCTTTTTTTGCCCTGTGGCGGAGCGGTTTTGCGTAACCTGCGTGCACGTAAACGTATTTCTTTGGCTGCATGTGATCGAATCTGACTCAAGCTGCTTGAGGTGGTGGCATCCCCCGGATGGGTAGTGTTGATGAAATGCAGGGCAGCTGGCCGCTCCATCGGCTACGTTATTTCTCCACGTCGGCCAATCCTTATCATCAAATTAATGAGATTGATGTCAAGCTCGTAGGCGTTCTCTAGCAGTTCGTTATGGGGACTTTGCTGAAAGTAGAATGTGTTGATCGAGACATGAATGAAACTCAAGCGAGGGATGTTGAAAAAGGCTGAGTGCTAGTGATTTGTAATCGATTAGTGTCGTACAGGCTACCGCACAGTTGAACAAATTCCGTTTTAGGAATTTGTTGACAGGCCAGCTGAAGAGACGGACTAATAAACCGCCTAGGATTGTGGGGTCTCGCATGGCGGGCTAGCATACAGACATACATGCAAGTGACGGATCCTGTGCTTCCTTGGAACAACTTCCTAAACAGGGAGTCTGTCTCTGACGTTTAGATATGTATATATAAAAAGATATAAAGTCAACTTATTTCGCGATGGGAATATACGCTATGATCATCCATAAGATTGAAGCTCTTTTATCACTTCTCTTTCCTTAGACTTTTCTACTATGGGAAACACGCAGGAGCCAGAATTTCCTATCCAACTGAACCTTGGACCTGCTATTCGCCAGTTTTTCTATTCACAGCTCTTCGTGACTCCTCGTTACCCTACAAACTCTTTCGCTGGGAAGACGGTTATAGTCACCGGTTCCAATGTCGGGCTAGGCTTGGAGGCCGCTCGTCACTTTTATAGACTCAACGCCGCGAAACTAATTCTTGCTGTCCGCACCGTCTCAAAGGGCCAGGCCGCTAAGGAGGACATTCTCAGGAGTGTCACGGCACGAAGTGATGCCGATGCCATCGAGGTCTGGCCACTTGATCAGACCAGCAACCAATCCACTCTCGAGTTCTGCGAGCGAGTCCAGAAAGAGTTGCACCGTGTTGATGCCGCGGTACTAAATGCCGGCATTAACACCAAAGAGTTCAGGATAGTTGATGGTTATGAGCAAGTCACACAAGTCAATGTACTCAATACGTTCTTGTTAGCTCTGTCGCTGCTCCCAAAGCTTCGGGACACCAAGGCAGAGTTTCCCGATGCGACGCCTCACTTGACCATTGTGAGTTCGGAGGCGCATCGGCTTAGCAAATTCGACGAAATCAATGCTGCGAGCTTATACGAGCAGTTAAACAACGAGGTCTCATACAGCCAACAACCAAGATACCAAGTCACCAAGCTTCTCGAGGTTCTCTTGGTCCGCGAAATCGTCGCCCGCCTAAAGCACAATTCCAATTATATGGCGCATCACATAACTATCAACCTGGTGAATCCTGGCCTCTGTTACAGTGCTATTAATCGTAGCGGTGTTAAGCCTCCGCTCTTGGTCCGTCTCGCCTACAAGATGCTTGCGCGCACAGCTGAAGTGGGCGGCCGGTGTCTTGTGCTGGCCGCCGCTGCTCCAGATAATTCGCAGGGTGAATGCCAGAGCGATGGAAAGAACCAAGATGTTGCGCCTTGGATTTATACCAGTTTGGGTGAGAAGGCGCAGAAGAAAGCCTGGGAACAAACAGCGGTGGTCTTGGAAGAGAGGAAACCGGGTATCTTGAAAGCCGCAGGACTGTGAAAGTTGGTTTCGTCTATTCAAATGAACCTGGTCCTGTGTATTACTGGATATTGTGCAGGTTAGCATTTATGTCACACACTTGTGTCTGTAGTTAACTGAGGTTAAGTGGAATGTTCTAGTTAGGCTAAGGCTTCTTTGTTCTCTGTTCATTATCCAGCAGTGTGAAGCTTCCTTTTGGTTGTAGGTGGCCAATCGACCAGGAGCTTGCTACTGCAAAATGCTGGAATCTATTCACATTAAACGCGTCCCATAGATGGAATCGTGCTTGTGCGAAATGCTCATCATAATGCTTCCACAGTTTGTGAACACTGAATGAAGACATGGCCGAATCCAACACCCCTTACGTATCGGATGATCCGGATGCAAGTTGGTCGCCATCAATTCTCCAAGCGATTGAGTAATCATTAATTTATGGCCTTTCAATTACTGGTGTCATCTGTTGGATAGACACGTCCCAGGCCTTGATAGCCTTATTGTCGCAAGCCGTTGCGAACCCTTGGCGCCCAGGCTACGAATGTCACTATATCTGTTGAGTTATACTTTGGAATTTAGAAAATGCAGGTCGATGTTTTGGGGGCCATTTACCCCTTGATCGAGAGCCAGGGGCAGTGACCTGCTACCACCAACTGACTGTATCACCAACCAACCAACCCACTGTAACATCAACCCACTGAACCACCAACCAACTGCAGTAGCAACTGTCACTGTATCACCAACGATGTTACCAGAACAAGGCTAGTAAAATTCCAATGCAGAGAGTGTTACGATTGAGGGGCGGCAGGCGCCGAGGATGGATTAATTAGAGTACAAGATTAGATGGCTATAAGGGAAATACTCGTACGAGTATGTGAGCGCTTAGGCTGCGATAGACATATATATATTTGGAGAGCGCCGAGACCCTTTCAGAGCGTTTTCCACAACCTCTCCTCACTGTTTTAGTGGTTGACATTCCTTTACTTTTCGCTCGCTTCATTTCTCGTTGCAGTCGCTCATTATCTCTAACCCCAATACATTCATTACTCACTACTACCCAGAATGAAACCTCTCGCCATTTTGGCTGCCCTTGGCAGTCTTCAAGCAATCGCTGCTCAAGTGATCCCCGGCAAAATGATATGGGTCGACAAGGCGACGTGTGACCCTTTCGCAAAGGCCAATGGCTTTCCGTCTGCTGCCGGTTCTGGTGGCCTCTTTACCACTGCCTACGATATCATTGAAAAACTGGTGCTTGCCAACTCGTATCGTGTATACCATCCTACCACTCAATCGCCAACGACTCTGCCTGCCAATGTTCTCGCTTGGGAGAGATATCGACTCAATTCAACCTACACTGCTTTTTGGGGCAACAATACAGCTACGACTTCGAATCCGGGTGGACCCTTGGGCGTTTGGAACATAGCATGTAAGTTATACAGCTGGCTAGGCCTATGACATCCACCATTAACTAATAGATCTCTACAAGGGTCCCTTTACGGACTCAATTATGTATGGGGACCTGGGACTGAAACCCCATTTCTCATGGTGGTCTGCGATGATGCCCCGTACATATCGAAGAATAGCAGCAGCGGCAAATATGTTTACAGTTAGTGTGCAATAGCCTATAATGTGATTCAGTTACACGTTATTAACCTGCCTCAGCGGACCCTTACTACCATTTGCCAGTCGAGCTCACCGGCGCAGAGGTTTCGACTGATGGAATCACTAAGCCATGCGCGACAAATGGCCAGTCGGGATACAGCTATGATAATAACCAAAAATTCTACCAAAACATCATCTTTTGCACAAAGAACATGAAGCTTCCAGTGGGCTTTACCAGCAACGGACCTACTGCATTTCCTAGTGGCACGACGCTTGATACGGCAGGCAAGAGTTGGCTCGGCGCCTTTTACACACAAGCCTTGTGGAATGGCGGTGCTGTTGGACTTTACGGAAGTAAGTTAGCACGCTCTGTAATTTATCTAGGGACTTATACTAAGCTATCCCATGCAGCATATGAAATGCAATATGGTTACGCTGCAGCACACGCCTTCAGGTTCCATCGCAACTCTCTATACAATCCTGACTCTCACAAGTTTTTTTCCATTGCCCATTTGTTTGACAATCTATTCTGGGCTTCTGGAGTTGGCCAGACATCACAGCAAGAATATGCGAGCTTGCAAAAGACGGCTGCTGGTCAGGCACTTATTGCTGCCTTTGGCCTCACAAATATCGCAGTGCCAGCTAGGGGCATCAATTGGGCAGCTGCAGCTGGATGGGTACCACCGTCTCTGATGAACACCGACTCTCCCTTGGTACCCCCGATCCCGACCCATTGAGAATCCTATATCATTACCTATGATATACTGGGTTATGGTATAGAATCCTACGTAGCTTAGTCTTGCGTCAAAACTGTGTTGGTACACGGGGTCTATTTCTACTTCTATAGTATATGTAATTATTATTATTTTCACTTTATCTCCACTTGCACTCAATGTGAAACACTATGGAACAAGGACACCAAGCAGCACATTAGAACATAACATACACTAGATGGATGTAGTATAATGCCATCGTATATGTCACACAGCTCCTCTTGACAGCACAGCCACGCTGAGCAATATCCAACTACTTATTAATCTTGCAGTCAACAAGCCTCCCAGCTTGCGCCTTTGACCTTCTTTTTCTTTCTCATCCTCATCCCCAACCCTGTATCGTCACCGATACTCTGCCTTGTATACCCATCCTCGTTGTCGATTTACAAAGCTTTGGCCATATAACGGCTTTACACTATTCGCTATGGACGAGACACTGATTCTCTCAAAGTTTGACAAGTTGGTCAACTCTGGTTTGGTACTCTATGACCAAAACCAAGAGACCGTTCAACATGTGGATGGTGACCTTGAGGTGAGTTCTGGCTTGTCTGATGAAGCTGGGCTGCTGCTAAATGAGTCGTCTTTTAGTTTCAATTCCTGCTTACTTCGGCACTTGTAAAGAAGCCCGTGCTGGGACCGCCGTCATCGGAAAAGAATGCAGAAGTCAACGGCGACAAAGCCGATGGCAGCGATATTTCCACCAAAGGCTTCGAGATTGGTCCAATCGGTAATGACCATTTTGTTATTGCCAACAAATTTTGCTACGCACGTCCGCATCTCATGCTTCTAACGTGTGATGGGTACCGAAGACAGTACGAGCCGTTGGACGAAGCCGGTTTGGAGGCGGCGCAAACGGTTCTCCTTTCCATGAGTCAAGACTTTGTCGTATTTTACAACTGCGGCCAAGACGGAGGCTGCAGTCGGCTGCATAAGCATATGCAACTTATTCCCAAACCGCCTCACAGTTTTGCCGACTTTCTGGATAATGAGGCTTCCAGCAGCAGCCCTCCCAAGGTTCCATTTCACTGGTTCTACCAACGGATTGATGTTGCGAATACAGGCGGAAAGGGGCTTATAGAAGTCTACACGAATCTCCTCCAGCAGGCCACGACCGTTGGTCAGGGGTTGGCTCAGCATGCAGATTCGGCGCCACCAGGTGCGGCATGTCCTCACAACTTTATAATGAGTAAACGATGGATGATTGTCATACCAAGGCGTCGAGCGGGTATCAACAAAGAAGCTGGTGCAAATGCGTTGGGAATGCTCGGAGTGATTGCTGTTGCTACGAGGGCAGAGATTGAAAATTGGATTCGTCTTGGACTGTCGGAATCCTTGAGAGAATTGGGAGTGCCAAAATAGCCGCACAGCTGTTCCCTTGTCCATTTGTTCGTAATTAGTATGTTAGACAAATTGCAATCATTTGCCCATTTCTTTGATGCATCCCGATGCCACGCAATTTGGGTCGCAGTCGGAAAGGGGATGAAGGGTCTGTAGTAAATTTGCAACGCCATCATCAAGCCACATTTCCCAGGGATGATGCAGTGCACAGTGTTTGCGGTGATTAACATGACAAATAACAACATTTTGCTTCGTATTGCAAAATTGGCTCTCATTCCCGTCCCTCCATAGCGCGATGCAGCAGAAGGTGTTGGTCAGCCAAAAAACGACTGGATCAATCATGATTGGACCAATTGCGAAATAGGAGGGTAGTATTCTTGTGCTTGTCAACTGTCACTTGGATCCAACGGCATGAATGGCCAAGCAAATCCCCCCTGGACAGGGATCGGAAGGATTTAGTGCCAGATGTCACTGTACGAAGGGTATTCGCCTTCAATAGATACGATGTGTCATCGCACTCTTCGAATATGGTGCAAGGTAACACAGTTGCTAGAAGTATGCTTATTAGTCCGGCGTTATATCGTGGCCAAGAGACAAGCCTTGAAAGGAGTGATAAGATGGTAGAGGAGATTAAAAAGATCCGGCTCTAGTGAAATACAACAATTGGCGATAACGGAGTTGCAGAAAACGATACGCAGAAGGCTCAACAAGGGCGATGCCAAGACAACAGCATCTCCATCCATAGGTATAGGCTCACTGAAGCTGGTAATAGAAGCCAATGAAGCTTCTCTTTTCACTCTGGTCTCTGCACCACAGTCTTGTCAATCTGGCATAAACAACTCGGCATGCTTTATACCATTGGATGCCCCTATGAAGTTAGTGAGTCGTAATCCGATCTCTCAGGATAATGAAAGGCGTTCATGCCATCCAACTCAGTCATTTGCATGTTCTTTGGTCCAGTCGAAGGAGCGTACTCATTGGTGCGAACCCTCGGTCTCAAAGTCGAGTCTACAGCCCAGAACACCTTGGGTGTTCTTCTCAATTAAGATGGTGATGACCATTGCTTCCAATCGTTGGGAACTTTTATAGAACCTTTGAACTCGCCGCTTACTCGTGCTGTTCCTCGCTGCAACCTAAAGGAGTAAGGCTGCTGATCCGGCCTATGGTGATCCTCACAGATGCAGGTGGTTGACAGTTCGCCCTGCTAGCATCATCCATCTTGACCAATGGCAACGTAAAGGTTGGAGCTGAATTAGCTCCTCGGTTCGTCGGATGTTGCCGCCGCAGTTGAGACAAAACAAATGCCATGTTTCATCTCACTCCGATTGCCGCATTCCGGCTCAGTGACCAGTTGGGGTGGCCGGCAACCTAGCGCAGCCCATTCCTTTGTAAACAGTTCCACATTTTATAAATCATGGCTTAGAATCCCAGTAGAGGCATCACCAAGACCAAGCGACAGGGAATAAATTGACAACTTGGCAACGCCATCAACCACGGACTCGAGCTTTTACAGTGGACAAGACTCCACTAATAAATTCTTCACCAATCCACACAAATGGTGTAGATCACATCACAACACAACGGTAATCGACAACGGCGGAGCTGGTTGGTTAATCCCCCCGAATGGCGCAACAAACTCCAAGATGCCAACTGCGTAAGCAGGATTTGTTAATTCCCTCCGCAACGACCAACACTTCATCGGCGCATTTATCACGTGACGACTGAAAACAGCTCATCAGTCGATTCTCCAAGCCGTGAAATCACGCACTTCGTTGCAATCGGGTCCTTTTCCTTCATTCATCATAAAATCAAGTCAGACACACAAAACGAAGATTTTGAGGCCATGGCTTCCAGAGCCTTTTTCGACCCAGTCGTTGCACTGCGGGCGGCGCCCCTGCTTACGTCCACCTGCTCGCTTTGGTTTGCGTGGGACCAGCACTTCTTCCTGCATCTCTTCAACAAGCCCGAGATCCGAAGCAAATCTAACGAGCTGCTGCCCACGTACTTTGGCTACTTTTTCCGCGGAGGAGTGACTCGCGTCCTGGTTCTGCTCTCCTTGACAGTGTCATCCACGCTCGCAACCTGCTTGGTCAACCATGACTCGCATTGGGCCAATGGGTCTCTGCGCTGGTACACGGCCGGCATGGTTTTGGCCGCCAGCCATCTGGCATTCGTCCCTGCCATAGCCCCCAAAGTGCAGGCCGTGATTGAGGACACTTCCAAGGGACAGAGCACCAACGATTTGGACAGCTGGCTAACGATTCACGCCTGGAGAGGCTTGACTGTGGACTTGGCGGCATGGGCTTGCTTCGTTGTTGCTACTGTGCGCAACATCCAGTCGTCGTGAAAAAAGTTGGACATGTTCCATGCCCATGATTACGCGTTATCAAGCTCAAGCATCGGCGATCAATTGTCAGTCGAAGACCTAGATGGACTTATTATGTACGATTAGTGATGAGATCAAATTGCAAAACCCTTCCTTACATACCTGAGAATAATTCTGAATGTGGACTCTTGATGTCACGTCTGGGAGCTGAAACAAGCGTGGCGATCTGCAGCGCGACAACCACTACGGTTGAGCCTTCTTCTCCGCAGGTCGATCACATCATTTCTCTCCTCTATCTCCAGTATTTCTTCTGCCCAGGCGCATATGGGGTCTGCAAACCTGTCAACCACTTCATCTGTTCGTTGTGCCTGAAAGATGAATCATATTCTTTCCTGGCCCTTGGACGCGACTAGATAGAAAAGCGTGCTGGATTGACGTGAAACGCCGGGCACAAGCTGTGGCTGGTACAGGCACACTTTCGGCGACCATGACTGGGTTCTCATCCACCCCGTACAGGGGTATACGGATAACCCCGCATCCTCCCCACGCTCCTCTCCTACTGGCGGTCCCTGTTTTGAGCTTGTATATCACAAGAAAGTCTTTCAGCCTTGGACAGTTGTTTCAGAGTATGGATATTTTCTCGATGAAAAGGTCAATCTGGCCACTTTGTATGTGACCCGTTTCTCCATCAGGACGACCGAGGTAGAAACCTCAAATCCAGCGCAGCGTCTCATGCTAGAGGCCACTCGGGAATGTATTGACGACGCTGGAGAGGTCAACTTCCAAGGCAATCCCATCAGCTACTACACGGGCTGCTTTGGGGAAGAGTACCTTGACATGCTGATCAAAGGACCCCGGCAGGCTGGAACAAACAAGCTAGATAGTTTTGGCGATTCCATGCTCTCCAATCGAATATCGTATGAAATGGACTTGCGCCCGCCTTGGTATACCATTTTCCCCCTGCATCTCTCTTCATTTCGAGGGCAATCTTCTCTGCTGTCTTGTTGAAGTTGTTCTAAATAGTTTCTACGCTCCAACATCACCTGGCACTGACTAAACGATGTTAGCACCACTTGTTCCTCTGCCTTCGTGGGTCTCAATGAAGCTGCAAAGGCTGTGCAAAGAGGGGAGTGCGAGACTGCCATCGTCGGTGGGGTCAGCTTGATACTTGCACCAGGGAACACAGCTACCATGTCTCAGTCGGTGGCTCTCTCCCGTGAAAGCACGTGCAAAAGTTTCTCGACAGATGGCAATGGATGCCAGAGTCAAAGCCATCAACACCATCTTCATCAAGGCCGCGGTGGTGGAGTGCTACAGTACGGGACGACCTGTCGGTGACCTCATCGAAACCGCGGCAATTTCCCGTGTCTTTGGAGACTTTAGAGCGCACATCACCTCAGTAAAGCCTAATCTGGACCATAGCCAAGGTGCTTCCGGCATCATACCTCTAATCCAGTCAGTTCTTGCTTTGAAGCAACAAACCATTCCTTCCGACATCAAGTTCTCAAAGCCTTTCAACGAACGCAACTTGACAGTCCCTTTCAAGCCAACACCATGGCCACAGTCAACGCATGAGTGTATCAGGATCAACTCTTTTGGTATGGGAGGAACAAACGGACATGCAAGCGTTGACTCTGCTACCAGCTTCTTCGCCATTGCTCCCACATCAAATGGTGCCCAGTCTGAAGAGACGCCAGAGCTTCGTTTGCTATAAGACAACTCTGCGAATGCATTACGGAAGATGACGGAGCGCTTACAAGAATGGTACGTCAGAGCACGCCCCAGCCTAAGAGATCTCGCATATACTCTAGCGGTGCGACGAGAGCATCTTCACTATCCAAGGTGAGCAGTAGCCTCGTATGGGTCAAGGGTTGTTGCTCCGCAGAGATCTCCCCTTTCACAGCACCTTCCGGGCTCTAGACAAGCACCGTCAAGAACAGCTATCGCTCCCAGAACAGACGGTTGAGAAGGGGGCCTGAAGCAAGCCAAAATTCCCCGCATCCAGCACTTTGAGCTCTCTCAGCAGTTGTGTACAGTTATATAGATTGCTTTAGTCGATCTCCTCTTCTCGCCTGGTGTTATGCTGGATGCAGTAGTTGGCTACAGCAAGAGTGGGATTGCTGTGATGTATGCAGCTGGTGCACTCACAGCTAAGGAAGTCATTACCACATCGTGGAAGCGAGAGATGGCATCTCAGAAGCCGAAAAAGGCCGGGGGCATGGCGGTGATTGGCCTGAGTGCAGAGGAAGCGTCCCCGCTGTTATCTGCCGGCATAGTCGTGACTTGCGAGGACTCTCCCAAGAGCGCAATAATTTCTGGAGATGCAAAGGAAATTCAGAAACCCGTTGAGCACACTCGAGAGAGCCACTCTGATATAGGAGCGCGAGTGCTAAAGGTCGACAAGGCCTACCACTCTCATCACATGAGCGAGACTGGCAGCGAATATCACGCCATGATTCAGCCACAACTGGAGGACAAATCGCCTCTCAAACTCTCCTTTTTCAACGTAACGGGGGACAAAATAAAAGAACACCTACATGACTTGTACTAACAAAAGAACCTCGAAACTCCTGTATTCTTCAGGTCAGCCGTTGCCCCTATCGTCGAGTACTTCGATACCATTGCATTCCTCGAGGTCGGAGCTCATAGGGCGTTAGATGGTCCAATCAGGCAAATCCTGGCTCAGTCGGCCTCTTATCCTGACGCGCGTAGTGTAAACTATGTCAATTCATATCCCAAGGCACTTAGTCTTGTTGGGATGAACATTACCTTTGACTTGGCCAAGCTGGTGCCCAATGTTGCTTGTCTTGCCGATCTTCCCAGACACCCCTGAGATCACGATGACGAGTACTGGTAAGAATCCAGAGCCTCACGAGAATACAGGCTACGTGAGTTTTCCAAGCATTCACTGCTGGGAGCCCGCCAGATGGAGAGTTCTGACCGGCAGCCCAGCTGGCGCAAAATGCTCCGCGTAGAAAATATCCCCTGGACCCGTAACCACAAGATTGAGGAGAACGCCGTGTTTCCCGCTGCTGGTTAAATCTCTATAGTAGGTGAATTTGCTGCACAGATTAGCGGCCATAGAAACGAGTATGCGCTTCGGCAAGTGGTGATCAAGGAGGCCATGGATCTCAACGACGGGGGTGAGGTTACGGAAGTTGTGTCCAACCTCCGCCCGCATCGCATGACGGACTCTTTGGACTCCAAGTGGTGTGGGTTGATCATCTCTTTCTACAACGGTTATGTATGGGTGAATCACTGCAGTGGACAGATCACATTTTGAGTTGAACGAACCTGAGCCTGTTGAAGGCGTAGAGCTGCTGCTACGACGGCTCCCAATGCGGATCCTGTACGATTGCATGGACAAGGCTGGTCCGAGCCTCAATCCACTGTTCCAGTGTCCGAGCGACGTCAGAACTGGCCCTGTCCAAGGGTTAGCATCAAGAAATCTGACGGATCTTGAAAGAGATGATGGCAAAGAGCATCATCTACATCTCATGGGAATTGACGCACCCCTCCAGCTAGCCCCTATAGTCTCATTCAGAGGTTAAATGAACCCCAGTTTCTACAGAAGGGTACCGACCCATATCAACAGTCTGATAGTGCACTGACCAGTCTCAAGGGCCGACATTACTCTTTAGGCTTCGGCTGAGAGCGTTGGGGGTAATGACGAGGCTATCAGCCAGAAACAGCAGATCGTGTTGGCGATAAATGGTTTTGCACGTTGATGGACTAGGAATCTCGCAGCTTGAAGATGTGGAAACTGTTTCGAATGACAGCCTTCAGAACACGGCACGCTTCGTCCGGAGACCTGATCTGGACTGGGTCGCCGATTAGCTACAAAGCCCTCAGAGTAGGGAGTATCCTCAAATTATCAACATAGAGCAAGAGTACCTTCGAGCAATATTTGACGCCTTGGTAGAAGGGATGCGCGATTCCATGCGACAAATTGCAACCAACATTGTAGTCATCTTCTCATGCAAGATCGATGTACTCGAGGTCCTCAGAATAGACGATATCTTCAATCAGATGGACGTACCTGCTGATGCCAGTGACAGGCCAGAATTCATCAACACCTGGTACATGCCAAACCCAACTTGTGCATTCTGGAGGCTGGTGCGGGAACCGGCGCGTCCACCGCAAGCATGCTGAGCTATCTAGCCCTTCCAGGGCCACACCGACAACCCATGTACTCCAAGTACACCTTTCCTAATCTCTCATCAGACTTCTTCGTGGCGGCAAAGGAGAGATTTCAAGGATGAGCTCAGCATGGAATACGTAACATCATACATCAGTAGAGACCCTGAAGAGCAAGGGTTTGCGGTGAAAGCACCACCTTATCATAGCGACCAATGTCACTCACGCAACGTCAAGTCTCTCGCCGACTTTGGCCCACGTCCAGAGGTTGCTGGATGCGGGAGGGTGGTTCTTGCTTCATGGGTTTCACTCAGTGAACAAGTGACCAAACTATGTCTTTGGTTGGTATTTTTCCAGGATGGTGGTGCATTGCAGCAGACGGCCGGCCAGATAAATCCTATGTTTCCCCTGCCCGATGCGGATGGGAGTCGGGGCTAGAGGCAGTTGAGTTCTTGACAGCGAAGAGCCCAACCAGCGGAACACCATTATAGTGGCAAAGCCCAGCGTCGGGTTTGTTCCATTGACGAAGAAGACAATCACGCTTCTCTGCAACGACGGCGCGAGCCAAAGGGCTATAGAGTCCACAACCATAAGCTCAGGGAACATGTTTTCCTGTGCCGGGATATTGTTTCCCTCTCGGACTGCGATCGACCTTTTTGAGTGACATTGATAAAGCTCCCTACTGTACACTACGGCAACTGTTGGACGGGCTCAACGACGCGACTCACTTTTGAATCCCACACAGCTATCAGGCTAGCTGCCAGAGCCAAGATTATGCGCCGCCCGTCGGGTTGTCCAGAACAATTCGCACCGAGGCTCTGTCAAACTCTGCAGTCTGTGAGGCTGATGACTTTGAGAATTCACTGAATATTGCTCTGGACGTGTTTGCAAAGTTCCAGGAGCGTCAAGGAGACGGTGTGCTGGATTCTGACTCTGGGTTTGCAGTCGCCAACGGTCCAAGACGAGTTGATGACCGAAACGGGAGTAGAGGATCAGCTAGTGCTCGAGGCGACCGCTTGGCTTCTTTAAACTGGGTCCCGCGTAAACAAAAACATTTGACGAGCGAAGAGATTGAGATTAAGTTGCATGCGATAGATCAGAACTTCAAGGTAAGCACTAGTCCACCACCACCTGTTAACTCAAAATAAGTTTATAACAACCCGACACTAAGTGCCGCTTAAGATGCCCCCTAAGAGCTGTCAATGACATACCTTGTCCAGATGAAGGCGTAGGCACAGAAGATGCTGGTATGATTCGTCGTGTTGGCCCTGGAGTCCGGACCCTTAGACCAGACGACCCTGCCATGACCGTCAAAGCTGGTATCTTCACCGCGCATGCCAGCATTCTCAAAAAGTTATGCATCCAGATCCCTGACAACATCTCATTTGAGGACGCCACGGCAATGACTACTGTCTTTTCAACGGCCGCTGAGTCAGTATTCAATGTTGCTCACCTAGAGAAAGGTCAGGTTAGTAAACGACTCGCTTGCAGATTCACTTGAGGCCGATTGGAAGGTAATAACTACCCAGATTTTCCAGTCATTCTTGTTTCACAGTGCATCGGGAGGCCTGGGCATCTGCGATCCAGCTGGCCAAGAAGGTTGGGGCAGCGATGCACGCCACCGTAGGAAAAGAAGGAAAAGACAAGTTCCTCATGGATGGGTTCAATATCCCTAGGAGTCGCACCTGCCAGCATCACGACACCAAGTTCGTCGAGGGCGCCACGCGCGAAACCAACGGTCCAGGCGTCGATGTCGCTCAACCTTCTGTCCGGTGAGCTACTCCAGACGACGTGGCGCTGTGTGGCTCAATACAGGACCAGTGTTGGGATTGGCAAGCGAGATTTGCTTGGTGGCAGCCAGCTGGAGATGGACGCTTTCCGTGCTGGTCGAACATGACTCACGACAGCTCGTCTCTCTCTCGCAGTGCTGGCGATGGTCCTGACGATGTATATTTTGTTCGTGAGCTTGATAGTCTTGGCTTTGCTGTTGAACTTGTCAAGGTCAGCGTGGTAAACACAGAAGACGTGGCTCGCGCCATATATCTTGCCACGAACCTGAAAGGTATCCTACAAACCTCCATGGTGCTTTGCGACGAGGCCTTTCTCCGCATGGCCTATGGAGAATGGGGCATGGCAATCTTACCCGAGGTCAGAGGCACGTGGGACCTCCACGACATTGCGTGCCAGGCCAGCATCAAACTTGACTTCTTCGTTCGGCTCTCTTCCATGACAGGTAGCACGGGCCTGGCTGGCCAATCCAAAATACGCGAGCGCTACCACTTACCTCGACTGCTTTGTGCAGTACAAGACTGCTTTTGGGCTGCGTGCCTCTTGTATTGATCTAGGGGCGGTTGGAGACGCGGGTTGTGTCACCGACGATGAACCACCCGACTTCTAAAGACAAGGAGTCTAGCGAACAACAGCGGAGTCTTACTGCGAGCTCCTCGAAGCTATCGGAAGAGTCATCCTGTAGTCCGCAGAAAGGTCAGAATCGGTGTCTAGCTATGTCGACAGCAACACGTTTTTGCTTAGAATACTCACTTATGTGCCCTTGGGTAGCCAGGAAGGTCGCGCCTTCTAGAAAAAAAGATGGGCGCATCATGGCGTATCACAACGCATCCATAGAGTCTGATGATGGCTCTGGGGCCAGCAGCAATTTTCTAGAGATCTTGTTAGCCAAGGCCAAGACGAAGCCATCCATGCTCAAATCCAAGGATGCGGGTGCAACTCTACCGATCGAGATTGTCAAGAGGCTGTTTATGTTCCTGCTCAAGTCAGAAGATGATCCAGAGGTGTCAACGTCTCTGGCAGCTCTTGGCCTTGACTCGCTGGTGGGAGTCGAGATGCAAAGTTGGTGGCGTCAGATCATTGGGTTTGGCATTACCGTTCTCGAGATACCGAGCATGGGAGCTCTTGAGAGTCTTGGAAAGCACGCGGCGCAAGGGTTGTTGAAGTTGAACGATGAAGAAGCCTCGTGATCTGTCATGGATTGTCAGAGAGAATGTCAAAATGATGGAGAATGAGTAGACAAACAAATAAACCCGTAGACAGAAGAAAAGAGACGAGGGCACACAACCATATACGAAACACCAGTGAAGAAGCGATGCACCGCCGATGTCAATATTGCTCGAACGGTATCATGTCGCAGCGGCTTGTTCCTGGCAATACTCACGGCATTTTTGGGAGAAGATAATGAAAAGAACCCGACAAACGAACATTCATAAAGAGGAGATAATGAGAGAAAGATCCTGTAATGGAGTTGTGAAGGAAGGTACCTAGTAAATGCCTGAGGTGCGAATGATTCCTGAGGCTGCAGTTTGGGGGTCGCGTGGTCTTACGTAAGCACTGAAGCGTGGAAAATGGAATGGGAGGAGGATGTATCAATTTCGCAGAGCCGACATGTTACGGCTGCTCTCAATGAAGAATGGTCATTATTCATTAATGAGGTTATCAAATTTATTGCGTTGAATATTTTTTAAAATAAAAAATCGTGGTCTGGACGTGAGAGATGCAATGTGTGCAGTCGCTGAACCGACACGACTAGATGCTACTCCTAGATGCTTCGAGAAATAAAAGTGATTCATGTAGAGTGAACATTTCATTTGCACCACAACAGCGTCAAAATAATGGCCGTTGCTTAATTACAATTCTTTATTATCTCTTGTATTCTGAAGTGCTGATCGAATTTTTTTTTTTTTTCAAGTCTCCAAGACATTTCTACCAGCATACAATATTGGAGATCCTCCAAGCATCTGTAATACCGCATGAGCTAACCTATACACACAAAACTCGACACTTCGACTTCAACACCTCTGACTAATGATGCTTACAGTTAGTAAGCACTTTATTGGATAAGGCTATTCTGGATTCAGATCTCATATTGCGCGAAATACTCCGTGTTGTCATCTCTCATCTCTGATATAGTGAAGCCACGTGGTGGGTTCGGGCAATCTAGGGCCGACAAGTGACGTCCTGACTAACAAGATTCCCTTTATCTCTTGATGAATCATCATTCTCTCACATTAAAATAGCCATCTATTCTACTACACAGACAGGGAGAATGGGCATCGTAGACCCATGAAGCCGTCACCTGACCGAGCAGAAGCATGATGGACGACAGGTCACTATACGTGCATGTATCAATCACTAGGACCCCCGATTCCATGGCTCAGTTTGCCGTACCTGGTATGATTCATCATGTATGACTCTTTTAACCCTGCCGTTACATCACTGATTACTACGCATTTACTGCTGAGTTTGCCGTGTGGTGCCGTGGAAGGGTCCCTTGGCCTAGGAATTGTATATCCGCGTATCTAGCCAATGCTACACACCATAGTTAACGAACAAATCCATAAAAACGTCCATTGTCTCAGTTTTCAGCGTATTCAACCAATAGGATAGCCGACCGACACGGTGGTTCGGGTGAAATCCGACCAGCGTCGTTATCGGAACACCAGCTGCAGGGCGAACCCGTACTTTTCGGAATTAAGGTTAGTTCTGCTGAGGTTTGGGAGGGTGGCCTCTCCACCAGGAAATGTGAGATGCTATGTACGAAAGTTGAATCATAGGGGTTCGATTTTTGTGGATCGCGGATGAAGCATCTCGACAGCCACCCTTGGGATAAGGGGGAGAATGTAAAGGACACGAGAACCTCCGTTGACAATTTGTGATTTTGATACAATAATGTCAGGAATGCCTAGGGTTCAATAAATAGTAGTTGTTTGATTTATTATCGATCTTTCGTCTCATTTGCTCAAGCATGTAGATGACTGGCGCTGTTGTTCAATCGGTGTAGAATTCCAAACCTCTATATATTTCCACAGGTAGTCGATATGGATCGAAGATGTATTTGAAATAGTAGCTTTATTCGAAAAATACTGAAAATTTAGTCTACAGCCAAGAGCTGAACAGTCTGGATGCCATGTATCGAGATTTGACACTTATATCGGTGCTGGAGTTGTTATTTTCTCTACCATATATCGGCTCACCACCGACAAACGGATGGATCGTCATCTAGTAGTAAGAATGCGTCGAAAATTGGCAAATCCCTTTACTTCAATTGATTTTCACAGCAAATAGGGCATGAAATGTTCTGTTTGTTGACATCATGGTAGATGATCGAGTCTTGTTAGACATCTTACCCGGCAACGCCGCAGATGGAATCTCTGCGCATTCAATCATAAATAATGACGATATTTCTGAATTATCACCTTAAGTTCAGATATTGATGCTCTCCTCATTGAAGTTCAGTCTAGAACTATCGTTGTATATATGGTGATGATACTGGACGTTGGCATAGCATGGTAAATATGCAAGGAAGAAAACATGCAAACAAACCCAGACCGCCCCATCCAATATTGGATGGGACAACGCATCGCACAGCTCACCTAGGATAATCTCGGCCTCGACTCAACACGCCAAATGCATATTCAGCCGGCTGATCCAGACAGCGTCAGCAGCTGAAGTCATGGAACCCAAAAGAAAGCAGCCGTGCACCCCATGTCGACAAACATGCACAAAAGTACACAATACCCGCCTCCACGCGCCGACATCCTCGCACCCAACGCAGCCACTACACGTTACACTAATGTACACTCTACCTTTGCCGGGCAAGGATTTTGAGGCCCAGACAAGATCTCGCCAACTTTAGGACCGACCGAAGCCGCAAATTTGCACCGGCTTGGCCAATCGGCGGAATGACGATGCGGGTTGGCAAACAAAAAGACTTGTCTCCACGTCTTCCCCAAAAAGCCCCCCCAGGAACGCAATTCAGCCGGGCTCCAGATCTTGCACAGAAGCGGCAAGGCGTCGTGCAAATGCGGTTATTCGGCCCGGCGGGGAGGTCAAGCCACCGATCCGCGTCTTAATGTGGGTTTCCCACAAAAGAATCAGATGAATAATTAACATGGGTGGTGGAGAGAGGGCGGCAACGGCTGAGGCTCCCTTCTGTCCGTTCTCAGGCACGATTTGGAGAAAAACAAGCCACAGAAACAAGCTACTGCAAATTTACGGCTTTAGGAAAACAGGGGGGCGGAAAAATTATTGCTTTTACCTTGTTTGGCTTGGTTCACAGAGCAAAAACAATTTCATTATTAACCATGTAATTATCCCGGAGGCAAATCCTCCACAGACACGCAAGAAGGCGTGAAGAGGGGAACCTCGTTCAATGGTCCTTTGCTTAACGACGGAAACATGGAGAAGTGTGGAGAAGTGTCTGGTGGTCTGTGAGGGTCTGGACAAGGCAAGGAGGGCCATGACAGTTTCGCCTGGTTGCAGGTTGCTGCTCAGCGGCAAGTCATGTCGAAGAGAAGGATCTGGGATTCTACGGAAATGGGGACCGAGTGCTGACCGCAAGTAGGATTATTCCGCCTTGGTATTATAGTATGTATTACTTTAGCCAGCGAATGAAAAAAGGGCTGGAGCAATTGCTTGACGTGCCTCGGGTACGGATACGGCGCAACATGGACGGAGCAGGCCGTGTAATACATATGCATGCTTGTGATGCGTCCTTGTATTTCCGGATACTGCGGAACCGCTTGTAGTTTTGGAGTCGAAAGCTGAGCTACCCAAACTCCCCAGTTTCCCTCTCCGTGTTCTCAGCTACTTTCGCCTGAGATGATCGTCGTTTCTCATTCTCGGGAAGCTCTCAGCTGGCCGTTAAGGTAATGCAATAAGGGTGCATTGTATGAAACCATGGCACGTTTTTCCCCACCCTTAGAAAACTTTGAATCTATTTATGAATCGGCGACGACGGAGAAATACATATGTTTGGAATGTTGTATCGTGAAAATACGACTTTATAAATCTACAGTCAAAAAGAGAGTTGTCGCAAACTGTATTCGTGGAAAGATGAAGCTGTAGTCCGATAGGATTCTGTTTACTGTACATCATATCTTGGCATCACGGCATACATGTACATACATAGACTATTGAATCATGGTGTAGTTATCCGGCAGCATCACCTCACTCGCAATTCGGTACAAAGAATTGCCCTCCCGACTTTCTTGTTTTTTTTTTTTTTACTGTTACTCCGCACTTTTGACCAGGCTCTGCTGGCAACCACGGATACTCGCTTCGGGTCTCATGATGATCCTGGCCAGTTCCTCTCCGAATGGTAGTAATCTGCAGTTACTTCTCCGCTTTTCTACTTAGCCGGCGACAACGAAGATGGATTGCGTCCTGTCGGGAGTAATGGCTAAATAAAAGAGAACATGGGGAAAAAAGAAGAAAAAAAAGAAAAAAGAAAACCAAAAGGTCCGGCTATTCATGTCGAGTCCGCGGTTGCTGCGAAAACTAATCGGCAACGAGCCGTGCAGCTGTCACTCATCATTGACTAAGGCCAAGCTAAAACCTAATAGCTCAGAATAGGAGATTTCGATTGACAAAAAGAAAAAGCCCCCAGCTCGGCCTGTCAATGACTGCCATCAACCGTCATTCGAACTAGCGGCTGGCAAATGCATTTGCTGGTTATTCAGGCTAAATGTCTTGAGATGCCGGTAAATCCTTGGTGGGGATAATTGGGCTTTGTGGAGAGTCTTGATGCAGGTCGAACCACACCCATGAACTGGGGTTCCGTATGGGGTATGGGGTAATAAGCTGCAAGCAGAGAGATGCATGTGGGATGTAACATCGTCATAGTCATACCGCCCAGTTTAAATATCGGCCGTTCCTGAAGTTGAAAATGAAAAAGAAGAAGAAGAGGTCAAGGAAGACAAGACCACGAGCCATTGAAGGACAGCAATTCCTCAGCTGGTCGCAATGGTGAATAACGCAGCCCTCGTCGCCGCCCTGTCGGCTCTGCTGTCTCCAGCTCTGGCACAGAACAATCAGACATATGCCAACTACTCTGCCCAGGGACAGCCCGATCTGTACCCTCAGACTCTTGCCACTCTCGAGCTCTCGTTCCCCGACTGCGACCATGGCCCCCTGAAGAACAATCTTGTCTGTGACTCTTCGGCCGGATACGTCGAGCGAGCCCAGGCCCTCATCTCGCTCTTCACCCTCGAGGAGCTGATTCTCAACACCCAGAACTCGGGCCCCGGCGTGCCTCGCCTGGGTCTTCCAAACTACCAAGTCTGGAACGAGGCTCTGCACGGCTTGGACCGCGCCAACTTTGCTACCAAGGGCGGCCAATACGAATGGGCAACCTCCTTCCCCATGCCCATCCTGTCAATGGCAGCCCTCA